ATGTTGACTAAACAGAACAAACCACTTGCAAACGTTGCTATCATGCACAAAATCATTTCATGAGAGTTGGTCATGTGTTAAACACTGGGACCTGGAGGTGCAGACCCACCTTGTACAGGGACGCGCTCCTCTCCAGGACTGCACTCTGCAGCTGTATCATCACTGCCGTCTCCATGTCTGAGGAACAGGCAGTGAAATTAGGAAAGCACTCGATGGTACAAAGTCAGGCTCAGAGTTATGAGGTGATCACGTTGTTGTTTTCTGTTAGTAAGAAGATAAAAGACCTCTGATGACACAGTGCAAGTCTCCTAAGAGGTCGTCTAGCTCCTTGGTTCTCTGGCTGCGGTAGTGCAGACGTTCCTCTGAGAGGAACTAGCCGACATGGAAGCAAGGAAACGGTATTACAGTGCATGAGCATTTGTTATTCTGAAGAAAACAAACAGTATGTTGACAAAATAAAGCACAAACCATGAAATCAAGCCCTTCTATCTCAAAATCTTCTTTCTCCACCATGCTGGGCAGCCGAGGGACGGAGAGCAGGAATCCAATCTGTGAGGAGAATTAAACAACGACATATTGACCATGGCTATTGCAACAGTTACACAGTGCAATGTGGGCTTTTGCCAGATGTGTGGATAAAAGAAATGAGCTGGGAGCTGTGTCGGCATGCAGCTCAGACCAGAGGGATGTAGATGACGCAGCAGGAGGGAATGCGGGCGTCCAGATGTTCCAGCTCTCTTCTGGCTACATCTGTCAGGAAGTCAGACAACCCCATCATCTTTCTCTTCTCTGGAGGAAGAGAGCATGGTTAAGACTAAATCAACTACCACACAACCGTATTAACGCAGGCTCATACACAGAATGAGCTCCAACCGGGCCTTTTAACTTTGAGTCCCGTGTGGAGGCACTTACTCTCATCGATTGCCGGGTCCACGTTCGGTTTGACGGTGAACCGGCTCTCAGCTATACTTGTTTCAAAATCCACCTACATGTGACCAGTCAAAGATGGAGTCAGTCCCATTAGCACTGAAGAACAAAGGGTGGACTAGCTGCGTGTTATTTTGAGTGAATCTCACGACTCGGCTGATGAGGGAGGCAATATGGTGGAGGTCATCAGAGAAACCTTCACCGATATCACGAAAGAGATGAATAGACTGAGGCAGGTGTCGCACCGTGTCCCTGATACACACCACGTTGTACACTGTCTGACAGAAACACACAAACACAACATTTTTACACACGTTTAACGTACCCCATCAGCCAGACATGGTGCGTTAGCTAAAACTGAGGCTCCAACCTTGTAGAGGCTCCGCCAGTCAGACACTTTAGTGTGAGACAGAGACATCCTGTGCAGAAGAGTCTAACACACACAAGCGCACACAGACCTTCAGGCAAAGTCACGGTTTCTTTGTTCAGCATGTGAAAGGATAAATGATCACAGATGTGGAGAACAAAAGGAGTCATAGTAGTTACTGGTATGTTACTGATGTTGCGTAGCGAGGATTGCAGGGTGTTCAGGGCGTCAGAGTTACGAGGTGACGTGAAGAAACGTATTACTTCCTGTCTCCTGTGTAACACGGCCAGGTCCTGTGTGGGCCGGAGAAACCACTGGCTGGAAAGGAGAGGAAACCACTTACATCTATGCCGCTTTATAGAAAAGGGTATGAACTAATAAACGTTAGAGCTTTTGTCTGCAACAGTAATTATAGCAAAACCACATGAGGAGCCGGTTTGAGAAGCTGAAACATTTACATAGATGCATGAAAACCTTAGACAAAAACAATACAATACATTTTTTTATAGAAGTTAACTTCTTCGACAAGATAATTTTGTTTTAGTCTTGATAGTTAAGTTTGTATCATTTTTATTGTCAGTACAATTGTCTTGTGTACTTCATTTTTAGAGCCTGTTTCACAAATTGGCTAAAACCGTTTCCTGCATATTAGAAGTCATAATACTGAGTTGTAGTAGTGGTGGGGGTGCAGCAAGTATTAAGTAGTAATAATAATGAAAATATATATTTCTCACCGTAGCAGTTTTGAGCCAAACTTGCACCTGCAGCGGTTCAGTATCCCTGCAACACACAATATCAACATGTATTTCTTGTAAAAAAACATCAGATAGGACAGCGAGAGCGAGTAAGGATGTCACTTTGAGGCACATATACCATATAGACTGAGTCCTTCCTTTTCACCAGAATGCAGCTTGTACACTGATGGGTGGACTTCCGATTTGAAGATCTGTAGTACACTAATAAAAATACAAGTCCATGGTGATCTCTAAACCAATGAAATTAATTAATTCATTAAGGTTATGGAAATTTAGAAAATAATGACTAAAGAGCATATTTGTTGTGGCATAAGGAACAAAAAAGTAGACATTTAGGAGATCAGCTGTAAGGGACATGCATGTCAGGTAAGATGGGCTATGTAGTGGAGAACAATCTTACCTGTAGGTGTCAGGGTCAATGCAAACAACACCTTTACTAGATTGGGAAGAAACAATACACATTTGAGAGAAGCGTCATTTTCATTCATAAAAATGTCTGCATCTTACAAGATGGTCTATAGATGGTACAGAGAAATTATAATTTTCAAATGAAGAAAATATGTCTAACTTAATACAGAGAGATACCTTCCCTCATTGACAAAACTCTTTCAAGGTCCCATTACGTGTTTCTGTGTGTGTGTGTGTGTGTGTGTGTGTGTGCCAAGCTCCATGTCTCTTACAGTGTGTAGGCGTTGAACTGTAGGATAGGAACTCCAACACTGCTGTCTTCCAGCTCCACTCCCACTCTCCTCCTGTCCAGACATTTCAGCAGAGCGCCCAATGCCCTGAGCTACACACACACACACACACACACACACACGCACACACACACACACACACACACACACACATAACACCAAAACATAATTTATTTTTGGGGGGTTTGAGATCAACTCCTGCACAACGATGGACTGATGGATAGGATGACGTGTGGACATTTGGCTCACCACCAGGGGTGAGTCAAAGGAGATAGAGGAGGAGATGTAGGACATTTTGTCTCTTTCTGAAATGTAGGTAGGAAGGAAAGGCAGATGGGCGGAAAGTAACCTCTGCTTACCGACCTCCAGACCTGCAACATGCCAAACCGACTCAAAATCAATCCATTCATTCTGGAAAATCATTGGCCAAAACATAAAATTCCTGCCAAAAATGTGATACATATAATATTGGATATTATAGGTGGGCGTCTGTTTACCAAAGTCAACATATGGATAAGTGACGACCTCCGGTTTGTAGTCTGGGTTTAAACCTGGGATACAACAGGCAAGTGTGAAAAAAAGCAAAATGAAAATATATTGCATTGTATGAAAGAAAGCGTTATCGTTAAAGTAGCGGTTTCACATGACATAATTGTGTGAGTAAAAGCCTCTAAAAGGTATGTGTAATAACTCTAATCTAATCACTCTTATCCCTTATCACACTCTCTGGCTGCAGTTAAAAGCATCCCGAATCACATTCCATTCCCTTGACCTGGAATCTACTCGTCTCATATCGTGTCAAAACCAAATATTTCTCCGTCCCACATTGAGATAATGTTTTCGCCTCACCGAGTTGTTGCAGGAAGCGAGTCATGCAGCGCTCCTGCTTTGCACTGGTAATGATGACATGAGGACTGACCTCCCGCAGGACTGAAACAGGAAAATGCAAACACCAAACTTATTAAGGAGCCTTTGCAGATATGTGAAGACTAAGCACAGGCTGAATGTGTGAAACGGGGCCGTGTATTGTTTACCTCTGGCCAAGAGGTGGAGCTCGTAGGTGTCCGGAGTGTCTCTCATGTAGTGTAAAGACGAGTCCTTACTGTCGTAGAAGCAGAGGCCCATCTGTCCCTGCTGGGCTAAAACACTCAGTAAAACCTGGTAATAAAAAAACCCACACACGTGTGGGCCTCTGACAGCTGCAACTATAAACTAACTAAAGTGTGAACGTAGCGTCTGAGTTTACTGTCGGTGAGTCTTCCTCCTCGTCTTCATCTCCCGGTATCTCCGGTGGACCAAAGTTCCTTCCTCCTCTTCCTCCTCCTCTCAGGCTTTCCAGTTCTGCCATAACCAGTTAATTCTACACATGACCAGACAAATAAAGCTAACAATTATTATGATTTTATAAGAAAAAATAACTAAATTATGACACAAGAAAGGTTTAGCTAGTTCTCACTCGAGGGTATTGATTAAATGAATCGACAAAGGCAAACCGCCAATCAGCTGGCTAACGTTAGCTGCGCGAGAGGCTAACGTTAGCTTTAGCCGAGCTAGCCGTCTAGTTCACGTTAGCTATTAAAAGCTAATGTACTGCAGCTACTTACGGGACGGACAGACCAAGGCTTGGGGATAATTGTTGAATGTATAATAGGCTTTTCTGTGACAATGTTTCTGTTCTTCTTCTGGAGCGCAGCACTCTGGTATTTCCCCTAATTATTTTTCACCTTACGGCTAAAGCGAGTTTATAGATCAGCACTCCGTACTAACGTGACCTCTCACCCCTTAAAGTCGCGCTGTTGGAAAAGACATGATAAATACTATAATTAAAATCTAATTTGATTTGGCCAGAGAACCTGAGCCCTCTTTAATATTACCACCCAGATGTTCATTTAAAGACGAAACCTTATTTTTGTAGTTTGTTAACTAATGTAAATGAGGTTAATCTGTAATTAATTTATTATTCATTCATCACAACATATTTCGTTTTGGAATAAAAGAAAAGTATTCTGTTATCTGGCCATTTTGTAATTTTGGTGTAACAATGACTTTTTTATTGTCAATATTAGCCTGTTGCATACAACCCTTCATGTGTACATCGGCAGGTTTTCAGTCAGTGAAAGCAGATGTGGCTTCATGCAGACTCCTGTGTAGTTTATAGTTTCATCTTCATCTGAATTATTTTGTTGCTTTTACTAAACATGATTTATGTTTTTCTCCTTTACAAAATAATTCAAACTGTAAGACATGACAAAGTTCAATTTAAATGGGAGCAATTTATTAAACACACAAAAAAACAAGCAGAAAGAGAATACCTCCCAGCTCACTGTTAACGCTCTAAAAACTCAGTGAAATTAATATTTTGTTATAGTAAATAAGATAAATAATAGATCCATTCGTATGGCTATAATATGTATACACATCTCTAAATTGCTGTTGCACTTCTGTGACTGACTAAATGTTTCCTATTGTTTTTGTGTTTGTGAATGAATTAGTAGGTGGAAAGCAGGTGGTGCTGGAGACAAGTGGGTAGAGGCAGTTTGTCCATTTCAGTTTGCCTCTTTTGCCCTAAAAACTGTTGAATTGACAGTGCACACAGAGCCATCAAGGCAGGGGGGTCACCTGGAAGAAAAAAACAAACGATTAGTATGTGTTTTAACAACTCAGGTAGACCTCACCAAAGCGGATAAAAACTCACGCGTGGCGCCGTTCAGGTATCGTAGTCGTATGCTGGCTCCTCCTCTCACGCTGCTCACAGCTGGGAACAGCTCCACTCCGAGAGGAAGGCCTCTGAAAGCCACGTCCAGAAAGCTGCCATCAACAACAAAGCCCAGAGTCCCTGCGTCGGCGTCCAGGACCAACAGGATGCGCTCAGGGATAGAAAGAGTCGCCTTTGTGTGGATCTTAAAATCCTCCACGGCCTCGGATTGGCGTCTCCTCCTCGTTCTTGGGTAAGTACCGAGACTCTTCCCGGCATGCCAGCGCTGATTGGTTTTGAGTTCCCAGCCCCAGGACTGCGAGTCCCGACCAATAAGCACGTTGTAGCCCGAGGCCTGCAAGGGGCAGTTCTGCCTGGAGACGCCTACGACGGCGTGACTTCCTCTGTCGTTGGGGCTCCAAAGCAGCTCCCAGACGTGAAGCCCGCTCTTCACCCCCATTTCTGCCCTCACCCCATCGCTGCTCAGCTCAACGGGCGACCGTGTGGCTTCCTGCCGGCAGGCCGACAGCAGGAAGTGAGGTGAGCGGTGCACCAGGCTCCAGTGTGAGCGAGCATCTGCCGGATTGACCGGAAAAGAGTTCAGAGTGACCGCCAGGCGAGAGGATTTGGGGACAGCCAGCGGGGCGAAAGCTGACGAAGAGGAGAGAGGGTTACTGTCTTCTCTGTTGCACAGCCAAACTGACAGTAAGGCACCCATGGAGCTGAACACATGGGCAGGTTACCTGCTGGGTATTAGCGGAGAACAACTGTGGAGAAAACAACAAGATGCTACTTTATGCAGGAAAAAAGGATTGACTTTCAGCTCCAGGGAGCTCCTAGTATACTAAAAAGAAAAGTGCTGCCACTAAAGATACTTTTCGCGATTTCTGAAATCAAATTATGTCGGGATAATGGACAGCAGAAGAGGTAAAAGTATAGTAGCATAATGTAGGTTCAGTAGTGGGAGAAGTATTGAATCCTTTAATGAAGCTATAGTAGGATTGCTAAATTGACTCTATTTTAAAAATGAAAAACACACTATTCGGTCAAAATAAAATCATAATGTATTCAATTATTGTTATTGTTTAATCATCCCTGATGCATTGACATTCAACATTTTAACCTAGCTGAGACAGGATACATTTTATATACAGGCTGGGGTTTTAATTTACAATTTGTTTAAAAACAACACCATTTTAGGTTATTAAAAAAGCAGATTGGCCAAGCTGTCATCTCTTTAAAATATTCAAGTTGTATCTCACTTTCCACCTCCGGGTGTGTAAAAAGTTGAACAAAGCAAGACGGGCCAAAAGAAAAATAGAAGAAAAAAACCGTCTCCACCTGCAATCAGGTGTTGGTCACCTGTCGGGAGCAGCTCACTCAAACGGACCGGCCGGATCGTGCAGAGATCCCCTCTCTGCGGCGGCTCGGCTGCAGGCTGCTCGGTGACGTCCCGCACCCGCGCGTTTATACCGGGGTCTTATCGAGCGTCGCTCGCGTCTTATCGCAGCTCGGTAACGTAACCGTTACGCCCTTTTTTTTTTTTCGGGGCGACCTCCGAGCCGGGAACAGCACAGTCCATCACTCGAGATTGACGTCCGGACAGATCCGCGGTGACAAGGACGAGATCCCGTGACGTGTTTGTAAACTGAAAAGAAACCACGGCGATAACGTCCCTCATCCGCGGTCCATCCTGAGATCATCAGCCGTTATCAATTTGTATCCCGTTCCGAAAAATGACATTTTTTCTTATCGCGTCCTGTAATGAATGTAAACATAAGTGGCGAAACACAAGAAGAGGATCAAACTTGGGCTTTTTATTAGCAAGAAGAGGAAAATAAAATAAATGCCGAATCGACTCATTATTCCCGAGCGCGCATGCGCACAAAGAGGAACGGCGAGATGGGCGATTTAAACCCTGGACGCCGTCTTCGAGCTTTCTTTGGCAAATTTAAATCTATACTTATGGTTATTTGTGGGTTTCATTCAATGTATTGATGCATTATCTCGTCTAAATTGATATTTTATTCCTGTGGCATGGGCCACTCATTTAGTTCTTCAAAGAACACTCAACAGGATTAGCTAAGGTTATTCGGAGATGGCATTAAAACTGGTTAAGAACGCTCATTTAAGTGCAAATTTACTTTCCTCGTGATTTATGAAAAAAGGCCTGTTGTGAATTAGTAGGCCCCAAGACAAAAAGTGTGGTAAACATTGAATTAAATGATTATTAAAAATATGATTGCAAATTGCCCTTCCATATCTATCACCCTAAAAACACAAAGAGCCTCCCCAAACCACCTTGCTGAGCATTAAATAAGTAAAGGCGTCTTGTTTGTGTCACCAATAAACAAGGTTGATGTTCGCAATCTGTTCAGCCTTGTTAAGGCTGCAGCCATGACTGAGGTCTGTATTTCCCGCAAGCCTGACCTACTTTCGTGTAGGTCATCTAGATTTGTAACAGTGCTTGGTTTTGTTTGTTTTTGTTTTTGATTAATATATCACATTCCTTTTCGATTTAAACATGACAAAGGTAAGACATCAAAAGATGTGTCTTCACACATATTGGAATTAAAAAGGGTCTTTGTAAAAATCCCCACAAGCCACTGGGGTTTTTCTGGATTGTTCTTTGTCCTGTTCCTGTAGCAAATTAGCAAATTGCTATTTATCATTTGCTACATTTAATTTGATCTTGTCTCTCATCGAGAGAATGTTTTTCATCTTGTAGCGGGCATCAGCACAACTGAACAGAACAGATCTATACTTTAGTACAAAGGGATCTAACTTTTCAACTAGATCTTATAATGCACGATAAAACTGATGATGGTGTTTCAAGTAGAATACATTTATGTTATATAGTTATCTAATTGTCCGTGAATTATCTTAAAAACAAGTTCATGCGGCAACGCTTCCCTGCTTGAACAATCCTACCAGATGACTTAGTTACATAATGTTTTTGTACCTCTTTGAAGAGAAACCCTATCAAATAAGACAAATCATATCAGAAGATAAAGGTGCTTGTTGATACTGTACGAGGAAGTTTACCAGCACACAGATAAAACAAGTTGTGCTGTCCTGTTGGTGAGGTCAGTTTCTCCAGCAGCCTCCATTAAACAACATTAATGTTTGTTGTGATATCAAATTCACACAGATGGTTAACTTCAATAGTTACAATATTATTATATTAGATGTCATTTAGCTGAGGCTTTAATCCAAAGCGATATACAATAAGTGCATTCCGACGATAAGGATACAAACCCAGAAGAACAAGAAACAAGAAAGTGCAATTTCATCAAATAGGCCGATTTACAACTTATAGGTACAATTTAACAATAGTCGGTTTTACCTTCTTCTCTGCTCATAATGAGATGATGGCGATACTGCTTTTTTCCCTCCCTAGTCAGATATAGCTAAAGGTCAAATTAGGGTTGTAGTCAAACCATTTTATGGAAAATATGCTCTTAAATGACAGTAATGTGGACAGGTCAAATGAAAAGATATTGGCTATTTTTTATATTCTTTCCTCAAACTTCAACACAAACCTATGCAATAATAGAGGCACTACATGAACTCTGGGTAACTTTATGAAAATAATGACAAAGATTGTTGTTGACCTCCATTCCCTATGATTTAAAAGAAGATGGTACAGTGATGCGATGTTACAGCAACATCGATAGCAGAATATTCCACGTATGTCTTTGTAGTCTTTAAGAAAAGGCCTATTTATCTTAGGAGTCTCGTTGCCACAGGTGGCACTGTCACGTCTAAAGATTTTGATTCCGGTCACGTGTCTCCAGAGCCCGTCTCTCACCAGCATTTTCCTTCTTGTAGTAAATGAGCCCAAAAACAACAGACCCAGCAGCAACCCTGACGTCCCGAGAGCTATTCTGTTCAGCTGTGATTCTTTTGCTGCATCTGAAAACCAAAACATTTGACAAGCAATAAAGCCATAAAACTGTTAAAACCAAGAGTTTGTAGTGATAAGAATACCCCCCGTCTCACTCTTACCCCAATCATAAACCTTGGGTTGCGTGAGGCTGGCATGCTCCACCACGCAGGAGATTTCCCCTCCAGATCTGGGTGTAAATTCCAGATACGAGTGTATCTGGTAGAGCCAATTCCCATTGGACAGCTCTTCAGTGGACGTCACATCGGACGTGACATTATTTCCATTCCTCAGCCACATCACTCTGATTTGTTTGGGATAAAAGCCGTATCCAGTGCAGAGCAGCATGCGCGGGTGCCTGCTGTCCGCTGCATGGACCGACCTCAGCCTGACTGAGGGCTCCGCTTGGTGAATAAACCCGTGGACAAACAAGTCAGCATGAGACAGCAAAACTGTCCCTTGTACGGCACCCATAAAGCTGAGTTTTGGTTATACTTAAGACAAAAGCCCAGACATTACTGTGTGAGTGTTTTCTTTATGTTTTATGTGAATCAAATATTTTTACAGTTAGAAAAAGCAGGCGGCCTGTCGATCGTCAGGTGAAATTACTCATCAATTTCACTTCCCAAAGTGCTGCTGTATTGGATCAGAAGCAACTTTTCGAGGAAGTGCTGCTCCAAATAACCGCCGACATCCAACAAAGCAAACTGGCAGCAAAGTAAACCCTGAACAAAGACAGCAGCTGAAACATAAAGCCGAGAAGTATTAGTTAATTTGCTTGTCTCTCATGACAACGTGCTGTTACGAACTGCAACACAAATAAACAATGACGGCATCGGTCTTAATGTTAGGCTACTTACCAGCTCTTGAACATGAAAGAAGAAGCAAAGGCCATGAAAAGAAGCCGTGACTATGCATGGTTACATATGTCAAACATTAGTAGAAGTTAACTGATCTTACAATGAAAAACATGTGGAAGTAAAAAAGGAAAAGGGCAGCAATGTCAGCATCGGTGGATGAACCGGCTTATTTGTATTTCATCTTGAACTAAAGCAGTTAACAGCACTTTTAATGGTTACCGGCATGAACTTTATGAATAATGGATCACACAGCACAATCAAAAATGTCACCTATATGTGAAGTAAATGGACCACAGTTAGCATTCTTCTTTTTTTTTATTTTTTTTTTTTTATACATGTGGCCATTGGTTGGAGACATTCAGATAATTCAAAACACTCATAGCTTCACACACTTCACACTTCCATTTTGCATAATGTGTGTAAAACCAAATCCATTCTGACAGTTCATTATGTCAATCATACAACATCGATCAGTTTTAAGTTTGCTGTATGCCAGAAGCTTCTGGTCATAACAGACCATGAAGCTGTAGCAGCAAAATCCATCAACGTACATATTGCATATATAGCATTTTGAATCTGGTGCAGTGATTCACAACCTTGTTGGTACAAAAACAAACAAGATACCCAGACTAATTTACAATAAAACATGGAACATGATTTCATTACAAATTCTCAGGCGTTTTTGCTTTTTATATTTCATGTAAACTTTTAAGGAATTCCTGATGTTGGGCTGCAGGTGGCGCTGGAGCTCCGTCGATGAGGGCCGGAGGAGCAGGCTGTTTGTTGGTGCTGCAAACCCATGAATGTCACAAGACTTTTGGATTGAAAAACATCCAAATCAGAATCACCTTTTGCCGTGTATGCATAGGCATGCAACGTTTGACGTGTGTAACATCTGCTATATAAGATATATGAGTGAGGATAAAGCAAAGGGCGAGATACCAGCTGTTTAAGAAAAGCCAATCAACTGCTAAACATCAGAGAATTTCGTGAAATTATGTAAGATTAATCTCAAAGAAATTCAATTTTTTATTTTAATTTTAAATTAAATACTTAAATGAATGACTTGTGATTTAAAGCCCAGTGATTTGATATGTATATTTTTCAAAAGCACATAATGGAAACTTAGAAGAAATAAAAAAAGAGTAAACTAATATATTCTAAACACCAATTAATGGTAACAACATAATATTATAACTATTATAATTAAATACTTTAAGTTGGCTTGTTTTAAACAATGTATTAATACTCTTCATTTCGCTTCCTTAAAACTCTTTTGACCAATGATTGATGCATTTTGGACATGGTTTTATAATCTTTTTTTTCTTAACTGTGTTAATTTACAGTATATATATTTTTAATTCTCCATTTTAGTCATTTGATAAAAACTATTATTTCTCACTCAGTCACATTTTTGGGCTTCATAATCTTTTGCCCAAATCAGGAGAATTTTGTAAAACGACCGGGAGGCGGTCCCTCCTTTGGCCGGCAGGGGGCGCTGGAGCTCCGCAGATGTTGGAGAGACGAGCCGCCTGTTGGTGATGTTCTCGGGCATGTGGCTCGGAGGAAAAGGGGGCCGTCTTCCTCTCCGACCGCTCGATGAAAAAAAAAAGAAAAGAAAAAAAAGAAAACGACCGAGCAGCACAAGGGCCGAGTGATGCACGACGGCAGCGGGGAAACGCGGCTGTACAGGCGGAAAAACAGGACTGCTGGCACCGCCGAACATGGAGTGTCGCCCCCTTTGCGGAATAAACCCGGTGTACGCTGATGTGGCCAGTCAGTGAGTTTGGAAAAAAAACCAAAATATTTGGCTTCTACTTTTTTTTTTGTCTTTTTTTTTCTTCAACCGTTAAAAAAAAAGAAACCCTCACATCTGCAACGATGCGGGCGGTGGACTGGAGACGAGCCGCTGCGGTTGTGCTCTGCCTCTTTGGATGCCTCGTCTCCGGAGCCGACGCCAAAACGTCAGCGGAGGGCTCGGCCGCGGAAGGTAAAAGAGTGCGTCAACGTTTAGACGGGTCCTGCGTGACAACGAGCTAACGTGAGTTAGCCGAGCCGCTCTGGAGGCTAACGGCTCCCGTAGCCGACCTGGATGCTGATGCGACCTAAACTCCGCGTTAGCTCGCCGCAGCGAGTTAGCTGGTCGCAATGAAGAAATGTTAATTATCCAGCCCGGTTTGGAATCACTGTGTTGTGGTCACATGCGTGCAAACAGTCTCTCGTATTGTTCAGAATCACGCAGTAATTAGAGGACCGTGTCCAGCTGCTGTGATTTGTTATTTTAGCCTTAAAAAAATAACAACACTGTTTTTCTCTTTCTTTGGTGAGTGCCCACCTGGGAAGAGCAGACGACCACCTTGGACCATAATGTAGTTTTAAGGGCTTGCCCGGTTAGAACTTTAAGAGGCTGCTGTCCCGCTGCTCAGTGATCGTGAACATCCACCTGGTTCAGGTGTCAAACAGGAAGTAGACGGATCCCAACAAACGCACACTTGGTCTTTGTGCTGGAGCGTCTACTCCTGATTATTGTATTAAAAAGTAGCCAGTTGTGGGAAAATCCCAATTTCCCCAGAGCCGAAGCTGCCTGGGTTTGTCCTACCGAAACCCAAAAGTTGACTTTAATAAAACATGATCACATTTTTTGTTTTAAGAAGTGTGATTCATCAATACTGATAACTGATTAATCGTTAAAGTCATATTTTTAAAGCTCAAATGCCAAACTTTTTCTTGACAGACTTTTTTTTAAGTGGGACAATTTATTTTGAAACCGATAATTATTAATCGTTCTTCACATTTGATTGACAAACTTCTAATCAGCCCTGCTCAGTACGGTGTGTGTGTATATGTGGACTTGCAATATGGAATTATATGCACAAAATTGGTGTCATGACATTAGTTGATGAATGATCTGGTGTCTGCAGCGATTAGTGAGTATCCTGTCTCTTACATCAACAGACTCATTCAAGGTTTGAAAGTCTGGCTGATTTATTATAATCTGTTGCCGTTTGATTCAGCCACAAACGTCATAGCTGAACTGTCACAGCAACTCGTGGAGTCACATCTGTTTTATCCCTCGCATGCATAAGCATGCAAACATTGCACACATTGTCTGTATTCACTTACATTCGTGTCTGGCCTACATTTGGTTACTTTACAGTACAAGTACAAATATAAACATACAGTAAGCCATGCTGTAAATCAACCACTGTTTCACTAAATCAATGCGGAATGTCTAACTTATTAAGTTAGGTACTGATATTTTATAATCCGGATCAGTTAACAAGATGTGTCTGGCATTTTTTTGCTCATGAAATTTGGACAAATCCACAACATAAGGCTCCGGTAGAGAACAAGCTAAAGTCTGTCCAGGCTTACGCATTGTTTTTTTCTTTTTATTTCTCATGCTCCTTTTCCGGGTGTTCGCTCTGCCTCAGATTGACCTTCAGCTGTCTTGAGTGAGATTATGTTCAGGTCGATACTGAGGACTTTCTCCTGGTCAGTCCTGCAGACAAGTTGGACGAGTGGAGCCAGACAGACGACGTACTCGGAGATATAGATCTCACTCGCGTTCCTGCTGCCCATAATAGGCCTGGCATTGCATCCGTAGCAGACAAACATTCACCGACGCTTCCAAGAAGTAGACCAATCCAATCATCTCTTACCAGCTAGGCAAACTGCATGTTAATCATGTGGTGGCGAGTGGCCAGCAGCAGATCCTCTTTGGGGGAAGACGCATGCGGTCATGCAAAAGCAGAGTGTTTTGGGAGGGGGTCGACAACCTGCTGAGCAAAAATGGTAATGGCCAACGTTATGGTATTATGTGGATGGGAATGGTCGCTGTAGTAAGACGAAGAGAGTCCATGTGCTCTCGAGGCAGAGATATGATAATGTCACCTAATTACTGTGTCCCCCCACTGAGTTAATGGGATCGGCCGTCTATCTAACCTCAGATTTAATCCTGTGAAGGGAAAACAGCAGGCCGGACACATTGATAGCCCCTTTCTTTAGTTGTGTGGGGGGCCGAGCTGTTCTTCAACAGACGTGTGTGTGTGTGTGTGTGTGAGAGAGATCCATGATTTCTTTTTCTGCGTTGTAATATTTATTTCGTTCACAAAACCTTTTTAAAAGGCCTCTTCCTTGTTTGTTATGGCTTCTGAACGGTAAACAACTAACTTAAATTCTTGTTTTTTGTTTTCGCAGTGGTTGAACGAGTTATTACACCCAGAATGACACAATAGTTTTGGTGTAGATATCATTTAATCCTTAACTGCATTGCTTTTAGTTTTTTTTTTCCAATAAATTTATGAAAAAATACAAAAAAATCCATTTCAACTTGCCAATTTTACAAGAACTCTTGCATTCTTGTCACCTGATTTGTTTCCTGTCATATTTAACCATGTGCTCCTGCTTGAGAAACTGATGGATAAAGTTATTTTTCTCACGCTTGTTAAGATCGTATGGGGCTTGTTGAAGAGCTGATCTTATCTAACCAAACTGATCCGCATTGTTGAGCCTTTTCTCCAATTGGGTGGTTGCCATTAAATCATTGCAGAAGAGGAAGACTGGGTATGGAGATGAAGTCATTTTAAAAAGGGCCGGTGGTGGAAAACCTCTTCAAAATTGGATAACAATGTATCTTTCTTGTTGTTGTCAGTTTCATGTATTAGAAGTGGGGAAGCTTACAGTTATGTTATTTCAGCCTCATATTTTGGTTTTGGTCTATTCTGCATTTTTACTGAACTAAATACACTTTTTTACAACTTTTATACAAGTTTATTTTGAGTAAATTAATTTGAATTATTTTTCAACTGACATCACTGGGATTGTGGACAAGCCTCATGTCAAAAAAGCATCTGCCCCCCCGCAACCCACCCTTCTCAGTTTGTAAGAGCACTAAACCCCCTCACACGCCCCACGGATGCCAACCATACCATGCATTTCCAGTTTATCACACCTCATTTTATGGTTCAGGAATGCTTCGCCTCAATTTAACTTCTGATTTTAAGCAATTAATTCAAGATTTAATGGGCTGAAAAACAGTTTGCTCCTCTCTGTTTACTCGCATTCAGACACGCTCGACCACCCTGCTGCTTCGGCTGCTGCTGTCTGGTATAATTGGTCTGAGATCACAGCGTTGGTCATCAAAACGCTCTTTGAAGCCTGTGTCCTCCATATGGCAACCAAAACACTCACGATAAGGAGTCACTACAGCGCGGGACAATTGTGGAGCTGCTGGTTCAGCCGCAGAATCGAGGTCTTCGGTCATTCTCCAGGTCGAGCATCATGTCTTCCCTGTGAGTCGGAGCAGAGAGGAGACTCCCAGCTTGTTTAACGATGATGTCATCATAGTAGTGATTTATTGGATGAGCGTTGGGGGTGGGGGGGGGGGGGGGGGACTGTTGCATTTGTCAATCTGGAGTCTCCCAGGGGAGTTCTTTTTGAACGCGAGCACAGCTGGTACCCCTAACAACATATCACTGGGAGTGGGACAGGAAGTGAGGTCATGATCCCCCTCTGTGAACACACACACACACAGACACACAGTTGTTAATGCAATGTGTAGTTTCTGTCAGACGTCTTTTTGTTCTCTTGTCCTCCCTTTTGTGACGGTGCAAACGTAATAACGGTGAGGAATGATGTTGAGGGTTTGGAAAGCAGCCACAGAGCAGATCTTCAGCCCAGACCTCTCCGGGTTGTGATCAACACGTCGCTCTGCAGGACCTCCTCACTTCCACCAATGCGGCGGTATAATTTGCTGCCGCTCTCTGTTTTTAGGCGGAGCCCGCTGCACTCGAGCTGAACTCTTACCAGATTTGTCACAGTGGTTCTCCGCTGACCGCAGGATCTGTGAGTGGGGGAGGGGGATCCGTCTAGCCAGGGGTATGCTTAGTGTCGGTGTGTGTGTGTCAAGGAGGGTGGGGTTTCAAGAAAGAGTTACGATGAAATTCGTTTGCAGTGAGTAAGGGGGAGGTGGGCATGTTTAGGTGAGGGGGGGGGGGGAGACCCTTTCAGCCTTGATTGAAAGGTCGGCGTGGGTCAACCAGCAGCCAATGATCAAAAAGGTTCAGGCTGCTGTGTGTGAAAGCACAGAGAAAAAGATTGTGGGTTCTTGTAGAATTTTAATTATAGTGTTTTTGCTCCACGTTTGTTTGTATGGTGAAATTAAAATAAAGTTGTTTTGTTTTCCTGCTTGGGATATAACTAACTTCACAGCGGTTTGACCTGCCTCCCAGAGGTGGAATGAATATACTGTATGTGTGCGTACCTTGTTTGGCTGGAAGTAAATAAATGTACTCACTGACGGCACAGTTTTGAGCTATGTTGCATTACCCACTATTTCTTCTACCACTTCACACGTATTTTTCACAAACTTTTATATATATATATACACACACACATAGACAAAACAAATCTTTTTCCAGAATCATTGGCTCCATCTTTAAGATGGAAACATTTGTTACAATGGATCAGGCTTTATTGATACGCAGGAGGGGAGGGGGGGGATTCATAAATTACTCATCAGTACATTTAAAGTAAATAAAATCAGCCCCATCGTATCAGCTGAAACGTTAAAGTGATGTACACATGAATGCTTCTATAATTGTTACCCAACGAAAACCTCTAAAACGAGTCGACCACTGATACAAAGTAGCATCGTCTTCTGCAGTCACATCCACCCGTTGTCACAAGGAACGTAACCGCAGAATAATTTCCATGCGTGAAGTCACCAGCACTAATAGCTGTGTTGTTTTGCTACGTGGACAGAACGAGAGCAGCACAGATGGATGTTGCAAGTTGATGACACGTTAGTTAAGTGTGCTTTATTCTAGGACTGCATTAAATGATAATTGAACAGAGTTAATACATTTATTTAATGGAGCATTTCTTTGTATAAAGTAGAATCAGTCTGACAGGATCTGAAGATATTGTATTGATCCATTTCATCCGCTTGCTGTGACCGGTTTGTTTTTCTAGTGGTGCCTTTTATTGTGAATGTTCACCCTCAACAGGCCGTGTGTATATTCTTTAAAATCCCCCTCACTTTTACGCGGGGTGTTTATACACCGTTGTTTCTCCCCTCTGGACCTTCTTAGAGAAAGGGAAATGCTCCATTGTTGTACGGGGGAAGTGCCATTGGCAAGAATCTCGGAAAACGTCTGTCTTCTTGTGATTGGCCACATGTGGAGGGCTCCGGCTCCGAAGCGAGCCCAGTTAAAGAGAGGACTGTACTTGAGACGGCAGTGATTATAACACCACTTTGTTTGAGGTCTGTATATCACTCCTCATCACCCCGACGCTCAGACATACGCACACACGGCTCAGCAACCGCTGTTGTTTGTTCACAGAGGTGACTCTGAAGGTTCACCTGAGCGATGCCAGCACCCACCAACCCCTGGGAGGAGCCACTGTGCAGCTCTTCACCAACCACACTCCTGTAACCACGGAAACCTCAACACCTGATGGCAACGCCTACCTGCGCTTCCCCTACCGCCTTGGGACACAGTTGGTCGTCACCGCAACCAAACAAGGATACGTGCCAAACTCTGTGCCCTGGACTCCCTCCAGATTACCTGGTAGGTGTGTGTGTGTGTGTGTTGCACATATTTAGATTCAGAGTGTTCAGGCTTGCAGGTCATTGCACTCGAAGTGTGCAGGCAGTTTGATTGTGCATGTTGGGAGTGGAATCGAAATATTGTGAGTTGATTCCAGGTGTGAGAAGCAATGCCGAGTGAAGCGCTCCATTACTCATTTATTACAATAAATGCCAAATCCCAGCGAGGGGTGCTGCTTGGGCTTCCCGTTCACCAACACAGAACACCTCCTAAGTGGCGGCAGTACAGTGTGTGGGAGTGCGTCGCAGCGGGGGGGCTATTATGAGCCAAGCGAACGGCGGCCAATTGGATTATTACGCTTACCAGTTCTGAACAATGGAGGAGGGAGAGGAAGGAGGAAAGAGGAAAAAGAAGTGTAGCTTGCAGGGTCAGACTTGTGTCCTGCACAGCAGACAGGACGGGAAGCAAGACTATTAAAAATGTATAAAGATGGTTTATTGACTAATGTCAGATAGCGATCAGTAAAGTCGCCAGGTTGATTGCTGCAGTTTATTCCGTATCTGATGGTGTATTTACTTTGTCTGCTGATGTACTGTGTTCATTTTATGGGGTTCATTTGTGTTCCAGTATTTTCCTCCATCAGCCTGGACCTGCTACCAGAGAGAGCTGCTACTCTGATGGTGTATGAAGATATTGTGGAGATTGTTTCTGGCTTACAAGGTAAATGGTGTGTGTGTGTGTCATGGTTGTATTCAGGTCATTATTTTGACAAGTTGACAATTGTTGGTATTTATTATCAAAGAAAAATAGTCCGTATATAAAATTGCTGACCACGCACCCGCAAGTCTGTATTTGCAAGAGGAATTGTTTATGTTATAGTTTTGGTGTTGGAAATTATTTTTCTTAAAATCTGATTTCTTTTATTTGTGTTGTTGATTTTGGATTTTTGATACCCAAAATAAACAACAATAAATTCAGATTTATTCTTCATAAGAAATGAAAACAATGCATCCTATCTTTTACATTAAATGTCCTACTGTTGAGTAAAAACCCTCCACCCACACATATACAAACTATGAGTCCGTCCTTGTTGGCCAGCCTCTTTTGTTGAGTTTTGTGTAATTATATTAGAGAAGGCTTTCGCAGTGAGACCGAATCGATACAGCGTCTTTGTGTGTCGTGTCTTTTGTGTGACCGACCGACAAGGGAGTAATTTGAGGTGTCAGCTGTGTTGTCCGAATAAAAAATATATATATACAGACACCGTTAACATTAACCGCCTTTGAGTGCACACAGTCCACAGCACGTGTCGAACTGGAGTGTAGTTTCTGTCCGACGCACTGCTGTGAACTTGGGTGCCCGGGGGAGAGATATACTTGGCGTTGGCACGAGAGAATAAAAGGGGAAAGAGGAGGATGATACGCTATGTGCTGGAAAATGGGGTTTTGAGTGGAGCAGTTGGAGAGAATAGAGGGGGGGGGGGGGGGAGGAGGAGGGGGGACGCCTAACAGTGTCCACCAGAATTTGTAACAGACGAGGTGAGAGGAAAGTGGAGGGGAAAAAGACAAGAGTCGAGGAAGGGAGCACACAAAGAACAGAAACGGGGTCATTTCCTTTCACAAAAACACCCCCACAAAGGAAATGACACTCACACCTGAACTGAAGCCCAAGCGTCCGAAGTTAAAAGATGCTCATACTGCGGTTGAGTACAACTAAAATCACAGTCAACTCTCATATACAGTTGGATGTGTGTCTCACTGCTCAAGAATGTGCACCCGCGACCACTATGACTGTGCGTTTAGCTGAGTCCAGCTAAACGCACTTTTCCCTGTTTATTCCTCTTCATGCAAAATGTGTTAATTGGCAAGTAGAGACTGGAGGGGGAGAACTGAAAAAGCAACTATTAATTGGACAGAAACAAAATATCGGGACGAATCATCACACTGGCTGAGCGAAGTGATGTAAAGTGATGTAAAGTAAAGTGATGCATTAGCTGTTCGATATTGATGCCGAGTTGCCTCCATTAGGCCTAATTTGATGGCTACATTTCTATACACACATTAGTAGTAAACGAGGAATAAAGAATTGTAAAACATCCTGGAACAAGATGGCAGGCAAAACCTCCTGACATACATTTTTTCATTAAATCTAATTTGGAAACAGAAACTTAATTCTTCCCTATTTTATTCACATGTACTTATTTTAACGACGGAAAAATTGGTCGGGTGTGACGTAGACGCTGCGCGTTGCGAGAAGAGAAACATTGAGTGGTGTTTGGGAATTGTTTCGAGAGGGACAAGCGCATCTAACTGGGAGGGAATCTGGTCATTTTACAAAATAAAATATTTTAAAGAAATAACAGAGGGTTTGTGGACAGGTGGTTGGGAACCTGTATATTTCCACCATCAAGAAGTGAGGGCCAGAATCATTTGAAATTGTTCTAAAGCTGAAAGAACTCCGTGTATAATATCCGTGTTTGCTGAAGCCTCTCTGTGTGTTGCGCCTCAAGGTCTCCGCCCTCAGCCACGTGTCGATTTCCAGCGCGGAGCTCTGACGCTTCCCTCCAACATCTCCTACGCCAACCTGACTGCTCTGCTCACCGTGGCCAGCTCCCCCTCGCACATCCAATACTTCCCTCACCTGCAGGTCCTCAGCGGCAACGGCACAGGTGAGGCTGGTGGAGACGTCCTCGACCGTAGCAAATCGGGCCGAGGGCAGAATCGAGCACAGGTGACGGGAGGAGATAGCCGAGGGTGTGGGGAGAGAAGAGAACCGAAGAGGCAGTGGTGCACCAGAGAGACTTTACCCCCCCCGAGAGAGAGGCCTCTCTATCTCTGCCTGACCTCCTGAAACTCGATCGTGTGTGTGTGTGTGTTTGTGTGTGTGTGTGTGTGTGTGTGTGTGTGTGTGTGTGTGTGTGTGTGTGCGCGCTCTGTCTAACACGAGCCTGCACGCTGTCAGGCTGGATGTGCGTGTCGTATGAATTTGTGCGTCCTTCAGCTGGAATACCCCTCAAAAGCTCCCCCTCCCCAGCGCACGCACCTTCTCCCCCCGGGCAGCACACGCATGCTCGTCCTTTGTGACACTTTCCACCCTCTCAGCTTTTTCGCCATCCACCCCGCTTCCTTCTTTCCTGTGTTTCCCTTGTTTTCTTTCCTGTCTGTCTCTTCTATGACAACTCTGCTTTATCTACGCTTTTCAAGTAGCCCCCCCCCGCCTCCTCGTCTATTCTCTTTCTCTGCTCTACCTCCTGTGCACTTTACTCCCACTCACCCTCTCTCCCTTTCTCTCTTACTCTCTCCTGCTTCTCTCACAGGGACAGAGGAGAGGTTTGAGTTGACTCCTGTGGCGGCCATCTCTGTTCACTTATTGGCCGGCGACGGAGTGGAGCTGCAAGTAAACGGGGCAATCACAGTCTCCGTTCCCCTGCCGGCCAACAGTGGCCTGAAAGAAAATGATCACATCCCCGCTTGGAGGTTTGACCCGCGCTTGGGTATGTACTGAGTGACAAAAACGCTACTCCAACTTTCTCTGCACAAAATCCTCTCCTCTACATGTCTGTTATCGGAAAGAAATGTTCTTTTTAAATATGCAGTGCTGTTCTATGAATACTTCTGTGTGCGGTTCAATGATTTTGTGAAATAATCAGAATAGACCATGTGCATATGCACACAGTGCAGCGATGTCACGACTGTAGCTGCAAGTCTGAGCAATGAATCAAATAATTCATACGGTCTTATAAAACATGCGGCTCCAGATTAATCAGAAAATCAAAACATAAATTGTGCCAACATCACAGGATTGCAACTTTTAGGTTTAATCTACTGGAGCGCAGTTAAATCTTGAAGTAAACAAAGAGCTCTGTGGTGCTCGCTCCTACAGAGACCAGTCTGGCCTCTCTGGGCCCTTTTTGATTCACCTCAGCGGTCGTAAATGTGTTTTGTAAGACGTCCCACAATGTGACACACCCAGTTCTTCTTGGACAGGCTGAGCTGAAAGACGACGCTGAATAGATCGTTGAGTCAGACGTGTCCGCACAACGAAGCATCCTTCTCTGTGTTCATTAGGATAACATTTCTACATCCACTGTGCCGTACGTTTCTGCTCTGTCAGGACCCATTAACATTCTTCTGGTGGTGCTTGGTGCTGCATTAAACATTTTAGTCCTCAATGCATGTGTGATAAAAAGTCTTGCTAAGTGAGGAGCATGTTATTGAGCCAATAAATGATGAAAATCTGGACCATCTTTGCTCTGATTGTTATAAATATGGTGAGGCTCTGTTTAAAGTGGCCAAAGTATCAACATCCAGAGCTTATAAAGAGGGCTTTGATAAAAGCTGAGCAAACACACACACACACACACATGCTCACACATTTGTTGCCTACGCACAGCCTGTAGCAGCAAGTATTTCCACAACAGAAGTCATCCTGGTCCCCTCACTCCAGGCTACATCTTGTGTTTCTTAGCAACCTACCAAATAAGTAAGATAACAGAGGGGCCTGATTAAGTTTCTTCACTCACTGTGTGTGTGTGTGTGTGTGTGTGTGTGTGTGTGGTTATGTGTTAAACCGAGGACAGAAAACCAAAACAAAGAAAATTATATTTTTTAATCCGTCAGGGGCCTTGTTTGAATAATAATTCAGGCTGATAAAAGCTCACTCACAAAGAAGTTTAGTTTTGTTTACAGTGTGCACATGGAACCTGTTTCTCAACTGTCAGGTCCTTGTGTATTGTTGCATGTTATTGGAGCGTGAGGCTAAATGATGTCACACAAGTCAAGTTCACCAGTAGGTGAGTGTGTCATTGGTAAACAGACACACCTTCACCCTCAGGAGTTTGATGATGCAAATCAGCTTGCTGAGGTGAGCCGACCACTACTTGAACAAAAAGACCCTGAGCTCAGCTGTGTTGACTTTGCATGAGTGGGCGAGAGGCTGAAGTATCACACCGGCTCTCTCGGCATTGTGAATGTTTGCTTAATGCCCGCGCAGTCTGCAGACTCTGTGCAGTGTATTGAGGCGTGGGAACGTGCAAAGAGACTCTTTTTAAATGTCAGTGTTACACGTCGGTCACACAGAGAGAGGACTCCCCTGTGACTCCCATGGGTGAATCGGGGCAAGACTGCGTGTGCCTGCGTGCGTGCGTGTGCCTGCGTGCGTGTGTGTGTGTGTGTCGTGCTGAGTCATTTAGCCGTGCTATTTGTCTTTGCCTCGGTTTCTCTCGTGTCATTTCCCTCATCTCTTGTTCCTTTGCTCCCCTTTTGATCGCTCTTGTTTCCCCTTTTCTCCTTTCAAACTCCTCGTAGATATTTCTTTCTTTGTTGATTTATCTTCTCCTTCCTTTACTTTTTTTGTTTCCTCGGCCTAAAAAATTGATTCAGATTCCTGATCTATTATGTTGTATAACCAGAAATGAAGAAAGAAACAAAGTGGTTCCCTGTGTAAGCCCGGTGACCTGAAGTTGGGGGAGGCACAAGTGAATGTTTCCTCTTGGAGCAGAGTTACAGTGAGCCGATCAATCAGTGACTCTGCTTTGTTCGGGCACTGCTGGAGCTGGTGTGGCCCTTGTACTCAGAGGCCCTTAGTGAGATTTTACTGAGCATGCTGCCTCCATGTGGGAGAGTTGAGTATTGCCAAAACACACTCCTCGCACTGTTGAGCTATCTTGAGTTTAAAAAAAGGGATCTTGACGTCTTTTCAATTCATTTTTGGGGAGTTTCCTGTCGGCACCTCAAGACCTGTAGCAAGCATTGTCATCGTCTCACGAATGTTAATTTTATCAAGGTGGATTCACCTCTTTTTATACTTGTTTACAATGTTTTATATGTGTTTTATTTTAGGAGTTTGCATCCAATACAGCTTTGTATTGCTGAAAAATTACTTTATAAACAAATTATTGTTGGCCAGATTGTCTGTACTGGTTTCCTATTATTTATTATATTGCATTATATGTGGTAGTAAAGGGTCTTTGAATGTCTTGAATTTAACTTTGTATCTTGTTTTCTTAAAAAAATGTAAAAACTTGACAGAATGGTGTGTGTGCAGGTGCCTGGATAAAGAGCAGTTGGTGTCACGTGCAGCGGGACGGCAACCGGCTCAGTCTGACCTACATCGCTCCTCAGCTGGGGTATTGGGTCGCCGCCATGTCTCCAATACACTCAGGTAAGAAACCGCTTTGAAAAAGATCGCAACACAGATATGTGTTGCCGCTCCAGTTTCTTTCCACACTCCAGTCGATGGCGTGAGAACATCTGTCTGGTTTGCTAAGAAGAATATGAAGAGCAACAGAATCAGTTTCTCCATCTGACCAACAGGTCCGGTGTTTGCAAAGGACATCAGCATGTACCACACCGTGTTCCTGTTGGCTATACTGGGAGGCATGGCCCTCATCCTGCTCTGCCTGCTCTGCCTGCTGTTGTACTACTGCAGGTGTGTGAAACTTTCCGTCTCCAAAACGAGGAAGCTGAGGCAACATTTTAGCAGTGTCACAAGTGACAATAGAACAGTTCTTCTGAATGCACGGTTGACTAATTCATCCATCTTTTACTTGACGTTATCTAGTATCTACTAAATAAATGCTACATGCTGTGTTTTTATTTTTTGTCTGAACCGCTCACCTCTAAATGTACCAGTATAATTTTGTAAAATCATTATGAGCCGCTAAAAAGGTTCTTTATCTGCATGTGGCTACTGGATGCCTGGATTTATTAGGGGATGAAGATAAGAATAATTGAAATGTAAACTGATGCTGCCAATATAATCATAATGTATGTTGTGTGTCTGTGTTGTGCAGACGTCGTTGTTTGAAGCCTCGAGGGTCTCACCGCAAGCTCACACTTTCTTCTGGGTTAGACGGCAATAGGAGGGACCAGGCCACCTCCATGTCCCACATGAACCTCATCAGCGAGGTCTGTGTGACTAGATGTGATGTCCTCGTTGGTTGGTGTCGGCTTTATATATGACTTCGCACTGAGTGCATTTAGAAAGTGTGTGTGTGTTACAGTTGTACCCGTTGCACTCTGCAGGTGCAGCTGGAACTTGTTTCTACGGCGACAGAGCCCGACATGACCACGCCAATGCTGAATCCTTCCTCGTACGAGCACCAGGACAATCATCGGCAACACAGCCTGATCCACCACGGCAAACACAGCCGCTCCTCTCTCGGTAACAGCCACCACGGCTCATCCCTCGGCAACCTGACGCCTCGCAGCAGAGACTACCTGCACTCCGTGGAGACGTTCCAGCTGAAGCCTGCCCTCTCGTGCGGGACGGAGAGAGGCTGCCGCCAATCCTACACCTCCGCCTGCTCGTCCAGCAATCCCCTTTCCGTCAGCAGCAATCCGGCGTCCGTCAACCACGTGGCCGCTACCCACAGAAGCGGCGTGGGGATTGTTGATTGCATCTCCCCTTCCTCGCCTCCTCGTTCCCCCAGTAGAGCGGAGGGCTGTGAGTGCAGAGCGCCGGACTACCTGCTCTCCCGCTCCGTGGACCACCTGGAGCGCCCCAGTCCCCCGTTGCTCTCCCGGCCGGGCCAGCTGCTCTGCTGCGGCTCTGTGGACCTGCTGAGTGGAGGAGATGGCTACCCGAGGGTGCGCCCTACGCTGGTGATCCCGGCACACTACATGCGCCTGCCCGGGGAGCACCCTCTGTCGGGCCAAGCCCTCCTGCTGCAGACGGATCAGCAGAGCGACTTGGAGACCATCCAGGCTGAGCTCAATGCCTCTCACTCCCAACAGCCCCTGGGGCAAACTCCCACCGACTGCGCCCCATGTCCCAGCAAGCCGGGTGAGGCAGAACGCCACGGCCTGTCGGAGTCTCTGTCCATCCCGGCCGCGCTCGGGGAAACGGGTGGTCTGGTGGAGATAAACAGTGAGGACACCTTGTGGGCCGAAAAGACTTTAATGGAGCTAAGAGGAGGGAAGCCTCTGCCTCACCCCCGAGCCTGGTTTGTGTCCCTTGACGGACGTTCCAACGCTCACATCCGCCACTCCTACATCGACCTGCAGCGGGCTGGGTGCCACGGCAACACGCCAAACGGAGGCGGTCAGCAAGGCAGCGGTGGCGGGAGGCGCGGCGGGAGGCGCGGCCAAAGCAACGACGCCAGCCTGGACTCCGGTGTGGACCTGAATGAGCCAAGATTGGGCCGCCGGAGGAGAGACGGCGGGCGGGAGGAGAGAGAGGTCGACCGGTCAAAAGGGCCGGCACTAGCCACGGCCTACACTCAGCTGGTGTACGTGGACGATCTGGAACGGGGAGGCAGCGAGGAGGAGGAGTCGCCGCAGTGCAGTCCCCAGGACAGTAAAGCAGGTCGCGTCCTGTCCCCCGAAGCCGAGGGTCAGAGAGGGGACCAGGGCCCGGGTGATGTGGAGGGGCTACAAATGCACGAGGAACCGCCCTCACTCTCCTCTTCATCCCCCGCTTCTCCTCCTCCCCTGCCCACACCAGAGGGAGAGACGTTCAGGACTGGTCATTCGCTGCTGTCGGTGTCTCCTGATGACGATGCAGCACAGGAGGATGGAGAGGGGGAGAAGAAGAGTCCCTGGCAGAGGAGAGAGGAGCGACCCCTGCTGTCCTTCAACATAAAATGATCCACAGAGGACCACTTCAAGGATGGGACCTCCATCTTTTCTTAATAGAAATACTCACATGCCCTCATGCAAACAAAGTATTTTTGGTCGCTGTAATTGTTCCTCCTGTAAATACGGGCCCTTCTCTAACAAATCTAGTCATTATTCTTTGTTCCAATTCAGGCTTAGAGGCTTTAGCAGTTAAGTCAGAATCAAAAGAATTACCATATTTTTGAATGGACAGAGGGCTTAATACTGAAAGGATTCCAGCTACAACAATAAAGGCAGAAAACTACCTAAAACCCTAAAACTAAAACCGATGGACTCTTGGGTCAAAATCTTACTTTAAATTGAACAATAGTAACATACTTTTATAATGTCATAGCACAATGTATGTGTTTATTGCTAAAGATGTTCCTTTAACTCCAGAACTAGCTTGGGAATCGTCTTTTTTTTAAACATTTTCTTCAGTATCAAAATATTTGATAGTACTGTTGTCCGTTCATGCACGATACACTGCAGAGGACAAAAAAAGGAGGACTATATTTAAATACATCTATTGATAAGAAATTGCAGTTGAAATTGCTGCAGTTGTAGACAGAAGGAACCATTACAGGTACTAACATTTTTGGAGATCTGGGCATGTCCGATTTGTTTTAGATCTTGTCCTTTATCCATGATGCCCCCCCCCACCCTGCTGCCTAGGTGATAACGTGAAGGATAAAACCATTTAAATAGACTTTTTTTTATTTTATTCTTTTTTTAAATGGAGCACTGAGACAACACTTCAGCACTGGGATCTTTTTCTAGTTCAGAGTACGACGGGACGATTCCGATCAGTCATGAACATCAGCGAACAAAATGACCACCGTTGTGCTCCACGCCGCCATCCTCACGACGCTTTACATGAACGGACCACTCCTCAGGAAAAATGTACAAATTACCTGAAGGAGACGAATGGACGTTGAGGGCAAGAGATTTTAATATTTTATGCACAACAAATGTATGCCTTTTTTTATATATATATATATATATAACCTTGTAATCATAGAGGAACTATTGTAGAAACGGATGGGTGGTTCTCGCAAATCACAAACTACAGGAACCCTTTTTCTCGAGCCATATTGGCCTGAGTCTTCTGACCGTAAAGAACACACTAAACCCTAATTGTTACGGTTGTGGAGCAGCTGTGAAAAATACAGCAAGGGATTTTTCGCTTTTTGCAGTTGCACTTAAAAAAATCTTTTAAGCGTGTTACTGCAACACAATCAGGCGTGACACAAACCTGTGAATCCTGTACTTTGAATGGTTTTAAGTATGTTGCTTGAATCGAGCCTGTCGGAAGGCTGTTTTGGGTTTTCGCCCAAACACAGAGGGGTTTGGACTGAAGAATTGAAACCACTATCCGCACTGCAACAGATAATGTGACACGCCATCATGCTGGCGGGTAAGGATGTAATACCACTACAAAACTAGTTCCACCCAAAATGAGTTGTGAGGTGTGATAAAATGAAGGGTTTTGTAAATGTTGAACCACTGATTGACATATTTTTGCTCTTACGGCTGTTTACCACTTTTATACGGCTGCTTGCCTTTTTTGTAATATTAATCACTATGATTTTCAATTGCCAACGTCAAGTATTTTATCCTAAAAATAGGCTGTTTTTATTTTATTGAATATTTTAAGGGATTTTCTCCCTCACCCGCCTTATTGAAAAAGATAGAGACAAACGTAACGGCTTTTCCCTGAAACCAAACTATCTTTGCGTGCTATGTTTCACCCTATTTGTTTTTACCATTTCCTCATGTTCCAAGTGCCTTTGAACGACCTGTCGCTACATCAACTTGAACATTTACTTTATTTATTTCTCACCTTCCTTTGCCTTCATCTTTTCTCCTCTACCTCAGCTCTCCCTCTTTCTGCCACTTGTGAAAGAAAGCATGCAGTAAACTTTGCTCAACACTCGCGTAGGTCAAGCTACACTGCAGACATATCCGTCTACCAGCTGCTGCAATCATAAAATACTCCACAGCAATCAGCAAGGCACCCATCTGTCTGTGTAAGCAGTTCATGATTTACAGAAAGGTTTCAGTGTAATACAGGATAAATGAAGCCAAGTGTGTGTGTGTGGGTGTGTGAGACTGTGATGTGAAACTAAACAGGTCATTACGGTGTGTTGTTTTTTTTTTCCTCTTATTTTTGTGCTTGTAGAGGGTGAATGTTTCTCTCAAATGATTTTCGGTGCGCAGGGCTGGTGATGCTATAGTGTTCGTCTGCAATGCTGCTGGCTGCCAGTTTGTGGTGTCAGACTGTGTGTACACGAAGAAGCGCTGAGAAATAATCAAGATACATCCACTCAAGGCTCATATAGTCAAAAAAGCATAGTGCAGTCTGTGTAGTTCTTTCCTCTACCTGGAGTGATGTGATGTGAGTTGGAGTTGTGAATGGCCTCTTCACTCTCAGTATCCCACACTAACACCCAGAGCCAGGTTGGAGTTGAATTACAGCATTCTGAGTGTGTTACTTGATTACATGCATTGTATTTAAAGCCTATTATTCAGAATAAACCGCCAAACTGGAAACATTTTTGTGTGTATCTGTTTTTGGAGAACTGAACAAACACACTAAAAACACTAAAGAAGTCAATTGCATCCTGAGAGTTTATTTCCTCTTTTTTTTTAAATGTTGTGTTATCATTAAAATGGTGTTTTCTTTAGGAACCCCCTCCAAAGAAAAGACTGTCAGATTTGAGTCCAGTCATCCTCCCCCATTTCTTATTTCACCAACAGCCTTGATCTGGTAAAGGGATTGTTTTTTAAAGGGATATAAAAAGAATATTATTAATAGTAAATCACTATTTAAACTGTCTTTCTCTTTTTATTAACATTGATGATACAGTTGAATAAAAACTTGCCTCCTTGAGGTATTTTCTATTGTTTAACGTATATTCCATTGTTTTATCACTATTATAGTATGTATCTTATACTCTGTAGCAATCAACTATGGAGTTTTGAAAAAGGTACATTGGAAATCCTATGGTGAGCAGCTTCATGGTTATTTTCTCATCTTTTAAGGACCGATCATATGTGTACACACACACACACACACACACCAATGTACCCCAAGGCCTCCCACACCTTAAATGCACCATATCAATCATTCTTTGCAACTTAATTAGTATTCATTTGTTTTGTAAATTGAACCAATAAGATATTATACCATATGAGACATTAGATCAGATGTGTTTTAAGCTCTGCTGCTATATTGTCTGTACTCACATGGCGCGTATTGTTTCATGCAGTTGAGTTGAATGGAATTACAACCGGCAGACAGCGACCGATGGAATAACCGGGGGCTCATCTCAGTTGCAGTCAGTCTTAAAATAAGAAAACCGTTCAATTCGGATTGTTTAGAACATAACGTTAGTGGAGTTGTTCTACCTCCATTGGCCTCTAGGCGGTGCGGTTTCCTTCGGCACTTTCTTTGTGTTTCCATCCCTCGCCTCTCGCCCGTGATCTCTTATCATTCACGGTGGGTGACACATTTTTTTTTTAAACACATTTTTTATGATGGCGGAGGACAGTGAATCCGCGGCCAGTCAGCAGAGCCTGGAGCTGGACGACCAGGATACCTGCGGGATAGACGGGGACAACGAGGAGGAGAATGAGCATATGCAAGGGTAAGGGCGGCCTGCCCGGTCCGGCAACGCAGTAACGTTATTTCAGCTTGTTTGTGCGCTCCCTGTTTGAGTGCGTGTCTCTGTGCGTGTGTGTGCTCGGCTCGGCGATGGCTAGCGCAGTTAGCTAACGTTAGCCGACTGAAACTGTTTGCTACAAAGCCCATCGTTTCCCGCTGATAACCACGGGAGAAACACCTGTGCGGTGTCGTCGTGTTTGTGGTTTGCAAGCGCGTCTGACTTCAGGTACGAATGTATACTGTCAGCGAGCGGGCGACTGATTGGATGACATGATGACAGCCAACCGTTAGCTTTCTAGCTAACGCTCGGCTAACGTTAGCTCAGCTGTCATTCGTTGCTATGGTAGCTAACGTTAGCTCACCGCTGCTGGGGCTGTGGGTCGAGAGACGAGCGCGAGTCAAACGACGTCAGCCTCCCTCCCCCCCGTTTAACGATGTGCTGTGCGCTTGTGTGCATATCTGTAGGAGTCCGGGAGGAGATTTGGGGGCCAAAAGGAAGAAGAAGAAGCAGAAGAGGAAGAAAGAGAAACCCAGCTCGGGGGGAGCCAAATCCGACTCCGCTTCTGACTCCCAGGAGATAAAGGTGCGAGGATGACCCACTGAAATGTAAAAAACAAAAACACAAGCCATGACCCACTAGCCCAGTGGGATCACATGCCACGCTGATGGGAGACTGGGTGCTAGGAGTAGTGGACGGTAAACGCGAAAAGGTGTTCCTGCACACTACCAACCCAACCCTGTGTATGAATGTTCCATTGGTATGTTAATTGTATATAAATAACCTACAGTTATCCTGATTAACCTGATCGTAAGTAGAAGCCACCGTGATATGTTAAGAACGTCCCCATGGACATCACCATTTTCCAGTGTCTTGTCCTGTCCGTGTACACATCAGCAGCCCTTAACCCGGTTGTGAGAAACCTCCATACTGTCTGCTACCTTGAGCATTCAGATACAACACTTGGATGCTGTTGCATGTTAACACTTGATGCAGGTCTTTGATCACTGTCTGTCATGTGGGCCGGTGCCTGCAAAGCTTGAGACTTCAATAAAACACAATGCAATTCAATGCACACTGAAAGACAGTGTGCATTGAATTGCATCGTGTTGCGTAACGAAGTAGGAATAATTGTACTTCCTCTCTAATTAATACATACATGAAAGATCTATCTGGATCTACAGACACACAACATACTTTTTTTGTGTACATGTCCCCTTTCTACATGAAGAATCCTGGTTTGCCCATTCAGAAGCTGCAGGACATCCAAAGAGCCATGGAGTTGCTGTCCTGCCAGGGTCCAGCAAAGAGTATTGATGACGCAGCCAAGCACAAGCACAAGTACCAGTTCTGGGACACTCAGCCTGTGCCGAAGCTAAGTAAGTACCTGTGTAACTAGGGCAGAGTGAGCAAAAGCATTGTTTATTTGATTTCATTGTATTTTAATTGTGCTGAATAAATAGTTTGTTGCTCAACAATTGAGTTATTATTAATCATCAGGCTTGCCAATTGATAATAGAACTTCATTTGCTTCCCTAATTTGAACATAGTTACTTGAGCTGTCAGCAGAGGCTGATTCCGCATCCTCCTTGAACACTGTGCCCTTTGCATTAGTGCCATCTACTGGTCTTGTTTTGTCATAGTCTGTGCTGCATCAAAGCCGTTGTCCCAAAGAGCATGTCAGGTGGGAAGTTCAGCAGGGGTTCAGCCACGCTGCTTGTTGGCATTAGATTAAGCTGCCTCCATGAAAAACTATTGGGCGAAGAGTCAAGTCTGTGCAGGAGAGCTGCTGCCGTTAGCTTTCCTGGCCAAACACAGCACAAGCCCAAACGAATCAGATTTTATATATAAAAATGTCAGCAACTTAGACAAAAGATAATTACGTTTGACTGCTTGAGAAGAATGCAAAATGTACAGATCCATGGGAAATATGGTGATATCAATATCATTTTTTTTACAGATGAGGTGGTGACAAGTCACGGGCCCATTGAAGCAGACAAAGAAAACATTAGACAAGAACCATATTCCTTACCTCAAGGGTTTATGTGGGACACTCTGGATCTCAGCAATGCAGATGTAGTAAGTTCTGTGTCTGACACTAAGCTATTATGTTATTTTATTGATTCTGTACACATGACATCTGTTGCCATCTGAGGAGAGGGATCCCTCCTCTGTTTGCTCTCCCTGAGTGTTTTCTCCCCATTAAAGTTTTCTTTTGCCATTGTGAAGTTCCCAGAACAGAGGATCAGTCACAAGTGCACTGATTGTAAAGACCTCTGAGGAAAATTTGTGATTTTGGTTTATTCAAAACAAATTGATTTTGTAGTTAAATAAACTATTAATGTGCAGATTATTTTATTGATGAATTTGTTTAGCCTAGCAAAATTACTGTTTTGTAAAGAGCAACAGATCAAATGTGTTGTTTTTTCCAAAAGTGGGACATTTTTTCCATTTCTACTTGCATACAGAAATGATACACAAAAATAAATAGGTTGCTGCGTCTCTTTCAGCTAAAGGAGTTGTACACATTGTTAAATGAAAACTATGTGGAGGATGACGACAACATGTTCCGATTTGATTATTCACCAAACTTTCTCAAATGGTAAGCTTCTAAGATCTCATGTTGTTCTTCTTGTTTAGTATTTTTCCTGACGTTAAGTCAACTGCTCACCAAAGATGCACTGAATATATTTGTATCAACTATCTGCTCCCCTCAGGGCTCTGCGTCCACCGGGCTGGTTGCCACAGTGGCATTGTGGAGTGAGAGTGTCCTCCAATAAGAAGCTTGTTGGTTTCATCAGTGCCATCCCAGCAGATATACGCATTTTTGACACGTGAGCCTTCGTTACGGATCATGTACATTTGAAGCAGGGCAGGCATGTGATTCAAAAGAGACCCCCTTCACTGTAATGCACACCTTCTTTCCCTCTGCTGATCTAGACTGAAGCGGATGGTTGAAATCAACTTCTTGTGTGTCCACAAGAAGCTGCGCTCAAAGCGCGTTGCCCCAGTGCTAATCCGAGAGATCACACGGAGGGTGAACATAGAAGGAATATTTCAGGCGGTGTACACGGCAGGAGTAGTACTGCCTAAACCTGTGTCCACATGCAGGTATGCAATGCAGTATCCGAATGTTGATCATTTTAAACCAGTACTCCCTAACTCTCTTTTGCTAATGCTTTTCTCTTTTTTTCTGTCTGTGTCAGGTACTGGCATCGTTCTCTGAACCCCAGAAAACTTGTGGAAGTTAAATTCTCCCACCTTAGCAGGAACATGACGCTGCAAAGGACCATGAAACTCTACAGACTACCAGATGTAAACGCTTAGACCTGCCAGCCTCGTGCCTTTCATTGCAATTCCTATTAACGACGGGGACTTATTTGACCTTTTTTTTTCTATTTAACCCACTTTAGAGCACCAAGACTCCAGGTTTGCGGCCGATGGAGAGGCGTGACATCCGCCAGGTCACCGAACTGCTACAGAAATTCCTGCAACGTTTCCAGCTTGCGCCTTCTATGGGAGAAGAGGAGGTGGCTCACTGGCTCCTGCCACAGGACAACATCATTGATACATTTGTAGTAGAGGTATCTGGAATGAGTTTCTATCCTCAAGGTACCTGCGGCCTGTCTGTTGATTTTTTCTGTCTGTTAACAGTTCTGCCTTTGTCCTCTTAGGGTGCTGGTGGTGTACTTACAGATTTCACTAGTTTCTACACTCTTCCCTCAACTGTGATGCATCACCCTCTCCATAGGAGCCTGAAGGCCGCCTATTCTTTTTACACCGTTCATACGCAAACCCCACTACTGGACTTAATGAATGATGCACTGATCCTGGCCAAGCTGGTAATGTTTCACCCTGTAGATTGATGTAAAACACATGCCACTACTATGAACCTGCTGTGTAGTACTGTTAAGTCAACTTTAAGTTTAGGGAAATAAATGTTATTTATTGGATGGCTTCTCTGTTTTTAACAGAAAGGGTTTGATGTGTTCAATGCCTTGGATCTAATGGAGAATAAGGTGTTCCTGGAGAAGCTCAAGTTTGGCATAGGAGACGGAAATCTGCAGTATTACCTCTACAACTGGAAATGTCCCCCTATGGACCCTGATAAGGTCAGCAGCATGATTTGTCTAAGTGAACATTCAACGCTGATAAAGCCAGGTGAATCAGGGCCGAGATTTATTTCGTAGCCATTAGTGGAAGTTGTCAGTCTTTAACAATTACTATTACCTCTGCAATTGTATTCGTAAAATGCTGTAGTGAATAGGACAGTAATATGATGGAGGAGTGGGGCAAAGTCACCCTTCCAGCGCACAAAAGATGTGAAGCCAAAATGAAACTTATTTGGGGGATAAAGATATTTGCTGTATTGCAAAATTATTTGTCAAATCTTTAGTAGGTTTGTGTGAACAGTCGCTTTTTTTTGTTACTCTTAGCTGGTTCCAAACTAGTGATTTACAAAAACTGTTGCACTGGTAAAAAAAAAAAAAAAAGGTTTGTCTTGGATAATAAATAGTGATTTGTAATTGAGGTTCTAGAAAAAATCTCTAGTGCTTTCCAGTAAAAGTTTATTACCTTTGCTATGTGAACTCATTCATTACCTACTGTGTGGCAGTATGGGGAAACATGACAAACTAAACCTAATCCAAATGTCATGTAACAGAGGAGAGCTATGGGAACCATAAATCCATTGGATTATTAGGAAGCAACAAAAGCAGTTTGTTTTATGTGTATTATTTTTGGAAAACTTTTCAATAAGGACCCAAATAAATGGTTACTACTACTTTGACTGCTGCTATACCGCCACAGCCCCAAAAAAGGGCCCTGTCACTGCATTTTGGGCTCAGTGCCGACATTACCAACTGGTGCGGTTGGCTTCACATGTATGTGTAGACTGATTTACAAAATGTTTGAAGTCTTTATGTCAAAACTCCCTTTGTTAACCACAAGTTCCCTCTTGGTTTCAGGTTGGCCTTGTCCTCCAGTAGCAGGTTCTCTTCATGGCTGCTGCACAAACACTGAAAGGTCGTTAGCGACTTCTGGCTATTCCTAACCTGGAATACTGACACACAGGTAGCCCAAGCAAGACAATGAGAACAACGACAACAACAGTAAAACCAACCTAGAGACGGTTCAAAAACATTCTCAGAGAAAACTCTTAAATCATCAACATCCTGAATGTGAAGTCATGCTATGCCTGAGATACTCATACAGTACAACGCTCCTGACATGCACCCTCACATTTACAACATACCAGTTGGACACACAAGAGGATGCCGTGACATTGTGAGTTCTGTTTAGTTCTTCTTCGTCAGCAGACACCTCTGCTAGAAGGGCCTGGCATGTCATTAAATCAACTGACATTGATCTATGTAAATGATAATCAAGAAGTAAAAATCACCACAACACCATTTAACGTTGTTGTCTCCCGACTGCAACTCCAGTATAAGAGAGTCGCGGAGGCATTTAAAGTGTTCCGGTTATCTCTCTTTCTCTCTCATATCATTGTGGTCAAATATTTCTCTGCTGGCTGTTTTGGGGCCTCAGTAGAATTTAGAAATGTTAAGAACATATTTCTGTGATAGCTGACTCAAAAAAAAAATGTTTTCCCCTCAAGCATTTACTAGACACACAGAAACACAAACTGTCCAATGACAGACTTATAAAAAACATATCTTCATCCAACTGGTGCATTGATATACATGTTTGTTTGTTTGTTTTTTTAATTAAAATTATACGGTTACCTGTACATTTAAAGCCAGATCATATTTATTCCTGTAGTGTGAGTTTGGGGCTTGGGAGGGCTGATCCAAAGTATTTTCCTCATAGATAGTGTAGATGTCACTAAGTTTGTTCAGATAATGTGGGTTTAAAGTGTTTTTTTTATTTTTATGAAGAATGTATTGCATCAATTAAGCACAATTTTTGAGTTCCTTAAAATGCGAAAAGTTCCTTTTATTGTAATAGTTTGGATTTCAAAATGAATGAGTTACGGTACAGTCTTGATTTTTGCACAGAAACGAGCCGTTTTGATGTTATAAAATGTGTTTCTGGAGTAGATTTTAAAAGAACATCTGCACCACATGTTTGGTTATGTTCACTAAGGTACTCGTGCAGCTCTGGGTTATGTGCACGTGGATGGTGTGTTCACTAATGATGTTAAATAGGCAAAAGTTGATATAAAAGTATGGATGACCAGCCCGGTGTAAGAGCATCAAATACCAATTCAACTATAACATCTTTTGATTATTTCTATTTACATATAAATAAAAAGTCGTTATGTCTAGTTAGGTTTATAGCATAAAAATGGCTTGCTCTCTTTAAAAAAGTAAAATAAATGTTCTCATTTAAATCTTGTTTACAGCAATGGTCTGTTGTCAATTTAGAGATTGCTTCTAGAAACGATTGCTTATTACTTTTAGTCGCCTGTTGCAAAGCAGGTGCCCTTAAAACCTATAAATACAGGACTTTGTTTTATTAATACAAACAAGCATAACTTCCTTCTCCTGCAGTAGAATGTTTAACATGTTAGTCAAACTCTCAGTCAAATAAAACAGACAATGTGAGTTTACTAAGTGTCCATGTGATCATTTAACAGCCTGTATTCGAAACGCAGCCCCTGAATGAACAAGTCTGTATCAGTAACTGCATACATTTGAAATTTGAGCTTTTCCTGTTTAAGTTCCATTTTTTTATTGACTTATCTGGATTTTGTTTTTTAAGCGTATTGTATTTGTGTCTGAAAAATATACTGTGGGTCTTTTGTCGTACAGCTAAACTAACACTATTTAAGCGGTCCTAATATTATTTAGTTATATTTTAGTTGTACTTTGCAACATTTGTAAAGACATAGGTCATCTTCTTTCCAGTATTTCCCCAAATTGTCCAGTAAAATAACCGATTTTTGGCGTAGTTTTAATATCGGTAAGATGAAGATTGAAGATGAAAAACTTCGATCATTCCGTGCTGCTGTTGTACTCAAAAGGTTAAAATGCTTTTGAATTGTCTCGCTCCAAGTCTGTTACTTTGTGTCTGATGCTCCTTTTCATGTGGCTCTGCGTAACTCAAGAGGCTGCTGCCGGTTTTTGTTGTACATTTTCTGTGAGTGATGTTATTTCCCTCTTATCCCTTTATATAAGAGAAAAAGGGTGACCCATGTAGTCATTGCTTTAGGGCTCAAAGATATTTTTTGTACCATGGAAAGGGTAAATGAGCTACATTATCAAAGACCAATGTTACCGGTGTTAATTTAACAATGAAACTGGGTTATTGAGTCAATGGTGTGCCTCATGGATGTGTCACTGATGTGTTGCCTGTAGCTGTTTGAATGAACTTCTAGCATGTCAGTTTTGCTACTGTGATCATTTTTAGCATTGATGTTACTAGCTACACCCTTGAGTGAGAACCCAAAGTACCTGCCTTATTTAAAAGATTTTTTTTATTACGATTTTGGCGTGAGGGGAAGGTGTACTTTTGAAACTACATACAGCTTTCTCTAAATGAACAATATTTTTATTCAAATCCATTGCAAGCTGTGAAAAGGCAGAAGAACTTGTACCAGCATCATTTTGACAGGACCCCAACACACACGTCAGCTACACCAGCATGGATATTTGTTTGAATAAACTCACTTTAAAAAATGTCCAAGAGCAGTGCACTTCTTTTTAACATGACAGGGACAATGGAAACACAAAATGAGCATTTTCCATTGTGTGAATTAGTTTCAGCTATGGTAACTGAAATAAACATTTTTTATTTGTCTGGTTCTTAAAGGTTTTATTTTACCAACAAAAAAGCCCGAAAGACGCATGCAGTCACACGGTTTAGTATCTCTAATTCAAAAACATAAATTTAATTGATTTCAATTAATGGCCAAGTTCCGATTCGTGAAAACTACTACATTCCAAACCATTTATTTTCCCCTCCCGCCTTGCTGCCACTGGTGTCCATTTCAGTATGAAAACAGCACTACTCGCTTTTAAGATGGGTTTCCATTCAATAAAAGAAAAGAAGTAGCTGACACATAGTTGCAGACTTACATTTAACAATGTTGATTGTCTATTAATATACCAAATTGGTTGTTTGTTTGGTATCAAAAAAGTGTTCAATATTCACATGGTGAGCACTGTAATGAATGAATGGACCATGATGGATGATGGACCAATTAAGCATGTTTCAGTTTGTCGCAAATTTTGATCACAATCGATCAATATCTGCCCCAAATTTGAGATTTTATGTGAATGAGTTACTGCAGTGGATCTCAAGTCGGGGGGGGATTCTAGGTATCAAAATCAAGTGAAAACAAAGCAATAGTCCTGATAATATCTAGACGGAGTCTCTGATTCACTTGACAGACTTGGCCTTCAACTTTTTTCTGTTCTTTGCCGGGTTAGCAACAATTCTTTTCACTTTGAGAGGTTGCAGAGTGCAGGAGGATGCAGATGGGGTGACTTCCCCAGAATCACAGTCAAGTTTCCTTTTCCGGCCCTTCTTCTCTTCAAACTCGTGCTCCTCCTCCTCCTCTTCCACGTCAACGTGCTCTTCAGGTGTCTCTCTGGGTGCCGCCGTCTCTTGCAGCCATGCAACATTTAATGAAGGCACTCTGGGTGAAATGGCCTCAACAGCGTCACTGAATACCTCCTCTTCCTTGGAGGCACACCGTCTGAACCCCAGGGCGAGGACACTCCTCAGGCCCAGCGGCTCGGACGCGCTCTGGCTCAGGCGAGGCACTTGGCAGGCCGGCACACCTCTCGTCGCGCTCAGCGCTATCAGATGATCCGTCATGTGTGGCGGCTTGACAGACTTGCACACGAGCAACAGCTTGAGCTCGTTCCTCTCCAGGGCTTTGGTGACCTCGTTGATGCCAATGGCCAATTGTTTCCGTGCTGCCACATCTGTCCAGCCGTTTTTGGGAGAATCCTGTCCCTGTCCATCCTGGGTCACAAGCTCTGCCGTGGCAGCAGGTTTAAAGTCTTTCTTTTTTCTCCACGGGCGAAACACTTTTACCTCTTTTTTTTCAAGACCAGCGGAAATCAGCTTGTCCTTTAGAGTTTTCAGGATGAAATGCATGTCTTCTTGTGGAAGTGGGCCCCATTTTGAAGTGAAAGGTGAAGTAAAGGAGGTCTTGACTGGAATATGCTTTTTGATTTCCTTTTTAACCGGCTTTCCTGTGGCTGCCATACTTCCTCTGAAATGAACACAAGAAACGCCTGTAGAATCTATTAAAAACGTTTTTGAAATAAACACGTTAAAAGTAGTATAGACACATCTGGAGGCAGGAATACAAACACTTGAAGTGGAAAACTTCCACTTCAGTTTATTGAGCGAAGTGGATTATTATACAAAATGTCTTCCATCAATATCACTCGAGCCAAAATAACGACGCTTAGGCTCGGCAATACAAATAATGATTATCAATAAAATAGACGCAATTACATTTTACAACCTATATAATATTGTGCCATTGTTGCGAGTGTAATAGTAGGTTTTAGCGTGCTTTATCTCCAGTTGAATGACTGCAGTAAGAAAAAGACGAAGGTTTGGTGGGTAAAGAAAGTGGGTAAAGAAAACGGTTGACTGCTGTGAACACATCAACATCCTAAAAGTCAACAACACACTGAGCAAAGAGGTGGTATTTAGTTCCTTTACCTGATTTCTAATTTTCGCCGAAAAGGAATTCAATAGCTCCGTTGACATTATTGGGCAAACAACACGGGTGGGTTAGTGGGCGCTGCCATTTTGTTTGAATTGAAAAAACTTTATTTAAAAACAACGTCAACAAAGCTGCATTCAGGGCGTTAACGACAGTGACGACGAATTCGACGAAAGCAGAAACAATGATTTCATAAATACATCGTTTAAGTATTCATTTTCATAATTATTAATGTGGATTGTTTTGTCCGTTTCGAATAAAAACAATTTGTATGACCTTTGAAAATTGTGTTTTCTGTATTCCCCAACGACCTCCAAGTGGAGGGGGGTGAACAAAACAACATAACAAAATCGCGCATCATATTACTACATACTATAAACACCCTTTGTTTTAACGTTTCGCTTAAATGCACTATCACTAATTTAATCTCTCTCTCTCTCTCCCTCTCTCCCTCTCTCTCTCTCTCTCTCTTGTGTGTGTGTGTGTGTGTGTGTGTGTGTGTGTGTGTGTGTGTGTGAAGATCCGAGCGGCCAATCAGATTCTCGGCAGCTCTGCGCTCCCTCCTCTGCAGGCCTCTCCTCTGCAGATTGAATTGCAGAGAAGAGGCCTGCAGAATAGCCGACGGGAGGAGGAATACTTTCACCCGAACTACGCTGTTGCATCTGCGAAAATGTCTAATCGGGTAAAAATATTTACTGCCTTTCTATTCATTTCAGTGGCAATATAGGCCTACCGAAGTAGCACTGTAGCACTGCTATAACGAGTAAGAGTATTCACATAATACTGAATGTATACTGAATGTAGTGCCATCCATCTTTGACTGTATGGGGTGAATTGATTTAACAATAGCGAGTCGAAAATATTTATCTTATTCTTGCTCAATGCCCCTCCGCCCTCTGGTGCTGCAACTACAGTCAGACGAACGTAATGCAAGCAGAGCGCTTTAAAATGAGCCACACAAGCAGATATTATTATTAGGCTACACGAATAAAGAAAAAAACGTATTTTATTTGAGGAGATAAAAAGATATTCGACTAATACTTAATGGTTGAACTTTGCAGGGTGCAAAAAACAATTTCAGGGACATCTAAATCCCTACACTACACATTTGAGGCCATGTTTTACTGATTGTGCAAAGGGTATCCAATGGTTTATAAATGTCAGTACTGCTATGCCCTAGATCTTTTGTGAAGTAGATTATTCAAGTAGGCACCAAAGCACTGGAGTCCTGAATAAAAGACCATTGTTTATCTCAGTTGTGCAACAATAGGTCTCCCAAGCTCTGCAGCATGACTAGAATACTATGCTCAGATTTCCTATTGACTGTCGTGTATAACTGATTAATATGCACATATTCAAATTCTCGTATTCTGTGATTTCTGCAGACTTCTGCTGAACTACAAATCTTAAACTGTTTCATTTGTCAGGCTTGGGAAAGAGCAGAATACAATAATATACAGACATGCTGACCTTGTGCAAGCTGAGCTCTAAAGTACAGGGAATTATTTAATGTCAAAATGTCTACTATCCGTAGGCAGAGTTTGAGAAGATGGCAGAGGATGTGAAGAAGGTGAAGACGAGGCCCACGGATCAGGAGTTGCTGGACCTGTATGGGCTTTATAAACAAGCAATAGTTGGAGAGGTTAACACCGGTATGACTTCCAGCAAGAAAAGGTAAAAGCCACGCAGTGTTCCCTGGCTTCTGAACATGTGCTTTCTGGTCTCTCTGTGTGCCATCACAATTATAGATCGACCAGGAATGATGGATTTGAAAGGAAAAGCCAAGTGGGATGCCTGGAACTCAAGAAAGGGTATCAAGTGTATCATGTGGATTTTAAAGTGTCAGCTTAGGAAAAATAAACAAAGTTATTTTACTTTTTCAACCCTTTTTCTCTTTCAGGAATGTCCAAGGACGATGCAGAGTCAGCCTACGTTACACTTGCAAAGGAAGTCGTCAGCAAATATGGCATGTAAGACTTGTGCTAAATGGAAGAGGCAAAATTAATGGAAAAATGACTAAATGTCTACTAACTTAATAACTTAAGAAATGTCCTTATCTCTACAAGTATCCTTCTGAGGCTACAATTTCAATGGATAAAAAAATACATTTAAGATTAAAATTTAATTTAATTTTAACAGAGATTGTTAATTGAATAATTGAGATACATCCTAGGAGAAAAAAAATCTTTCTAATTGCTATTCATCTCATTTATGTAGTTTATTCCTGCAATCTCTATTTGCAGTTTTGCACAGCAATATATTGTACACACATGAACTATGATATGTAGCTTGATTACTGAACAGGAGAGACTGAGTTCTGTCTAACATGAAAATAAAACCTCTGACATTTTCTTTGGTTTTGTGGTTATTTATAACATAATACAGTTCAACAGCAACACAAACCACATTTTCTAAATCACATCTTTGTAAGATTTTAAACTAACAAGGATCATTACAGCCTGAATGAAGGTCTGATTTTTTGGAGGATTATTGGGAGAATATTAGACCACATTAGCTTTTAGCTAATGGTCCCTAATAAAGTATTTTTGCTTAGAACACAGTAGCAGTAGAAAGGGATTACTTAATGACCTGTACAAATAGGAGGAATGTTTACTCCAAGCAAAACCTCTTTCAAAGTTGTCTTTCACAACTTTTGAAGCGATCCTTTAAGGATTACGCTTGATTGGGTTTAATCCAAACCGTCGACAAAACTGACCCTGTTCATAACTACAGAAAAGTATGGAGTCAATTGTGTCCACATACTAATGGCTGCATGGTGTATTTGCAAGAATTGTCTGGCTTTGCTGTTTAGAAAGGGTTATCATGTCATTGACCAGTATATCTGCATCCAATAATTAGAAATACACAGTGTGGATTTTTTTTCTGGTGTCATCGCCTCATTCTGGGTAAAAAAAAGGGGGGTTGGCGCATGCGCAGTAGGATCTTCCGTGCTCAGCCGGTGTTGTGAGTCAACGCAGATTCAGTGGGTCAAAGGTAAACGGTCTGCAGACAGCAGCACGCATAACTTCACTTGTGTCTGGACGCGGGGACATCAAGTGAACACAATCATTTTTTAGGTTAGTATTGTCGTGCATCGTTTGTGCATTTTTACATACATACATTGTATTTGTACAATTTAACGTATTGTTGCACGTCCGACATTGTTGTTGACAGTAACAGAGAGTAATGTTCTCCACCTCGCGCTTACACTGATCCTAACTTTGCCCTGTTTACTGGAAAAACTTGTTTTAAGTTGTTAAAACGCAAAAATTGCCTATTTATCCAATAGACGATTGCCTACATGAGCTTTGGATAAATTACCGTAATTGTCGATCCAAATTGATAACCAGACTGTTGTCACAGTGATTGTTTACTTGTACATCTCACAGTAATCATTACAGATGTTTTCAAAGAAACATAAGTTTTACTTTGCAAAGTAAATAGTTCCACATAAACTAGAATTACTGCTTTTTGGTTTTGAACTCCCTGTATATGAAATCTCAAACATTTGATTTAGGAAAATATTGGCACACATGTTTATTTTTTTGCATTTTGTCTTAATTCCTTCCAGAAAGAAGAAATGGATAATCATCCGTCAGAGTCCCTAGCGGAGCGGACCTTTCAGTACCAAAGCAGCATGCCGTCCTTGCCTGTCCCGTCACTAGAGATGAGCCTCTCAAAGTACCTAAATGCAGGTAGGATAGCAACTTTGAACAGTTCTGTTTAAGAACTTAAGGTTTTCAAACTTCAAACATTTGGGAAAACAAAAGCTGTAAACCACTATTTAGGTAATATTCCACCTCTGCAATGAGCCCTGTGCAAGATGAAATATGGTTAATAAGTGTTATTCTGTAGTTTGACCCTTGAGCGGAGCAAAGCCGTTATCATTGAGCTCGAACAAAGTTCCTTTGCACCATTGTTCAAACAACAAAATGCCCCTAATGAATTTCAATAGGTCACTGCTACCTAAACATTGTAATAGTACACACAAGTTTTATTTCGGCCTTGTATGTTTAGTATGTTGTGTGTTTCATTTTGGTTGTATACGTGAGCATTTTCAACCTTTAATGCCAGCAGAAGAGGCTGAAACTTCACAATGACCTGCAGGCTCTAAACTGACTAATTCTGTACTGACATGTTTCCCATCAGTTCGACCCTTTGCACGTGAGGACGAGTTTAAGGCTACAGTGGACATAGTTCGGACATTTCAAGAGGGAGTTGGCAAAGAGCTGCACCACAAACTACTGCAAAGAGCCGAGACAAAGAAGAACTGGGTGTGTAATGGAGTGCTGAGTGCCTTGTTTTGGAGTTACAGATGATGATCCTCAGTCATGGATGTTTTACTTCTGTGAGAATTTTTCTTTTTATTCTTCAGCTGGAAGAGTGGTGGTTGGATGCTGCGTATCTTGAGGTCCGCGTCCCCTCTCAGCTGAATGTGAACTTTTGCGGCCCGGCGCCCTACCTGGAGCACTGCTGGCCCCCGGAAGAGGGAACTCAACTGCAGAGGGCCAGTATCAGCACCTGGCACACACTACAGTACTGGGACCTGATCCGCACGTAAGACACATTTTGCACTGTTTAAGTGGTGTGTTAAGTAAAAGTTGCTCTTTCCTTTACTTGAAGTTAGTTATATATCTAATGTGTTTTTTTGTCTTTCCCTCGTGTATTTTAGGGAAAGACTCCCTCCCCAAAAATCTGGCAACACTGTATTAGATATGGACCAGTTCAGAATGTTGTTCAACACCTGCAAAGTACCTGGAGTAAAGAAGGACACCATTCGTAACTACTTCAAGACCGGTAGAACAATCGATTCATTCTTATCTCTTACTTTCAGACCCGTCATCCTATGCGTGCGCTCACGTTCTCGGCTTACAAGTCACCGTTGTGTACAATGTATATTTTATGCTGTGCCGCAGAGCGTGAAGGTCCATGCCCCTCCCATTTGATAGTCATCTGTCGTGGAAGGATCTTCACATTTGACGCAGTCTGTGATGGACAAATTCTCACTCCTCCGGAACTACTGAGGTAGTGATATAAAAAAATGTATGTTATATGGCGCTGGGAAATAATAAAAAAAATTGTATTTAGTAATACACATTTCTGTTTCTTTTAAATGATATATGACACTCTGAAATCCTGCAGAAACCCTGTAATTGTGAGCTTGATCCCAGCGTACAATGTGGCCTCACTTCCTTTTGTGTGTGTGTGTTGACCTTCGTAGGCAGCTCATCTATGTGAAACAGTGCTGTGAGGGAGAGCCAGAGGGAGACGGAGTGGCTGCTCTCACTTCAGAAGAGAGGACTCGTTGGGCGCTGGTAAATTGGGAGACTTGTGCTCTGAATCTCATGGATTACATTTGGGAATGAAATTCTAATAATGCAAAATCATACTTCAAGATCAGCCCTGTCACCATTTACTGTCTCTGCAGGCAAGGGAGCATCTAATAAGCATTGACCCACAACACAATGGCACAATCCTGGAGACCATCCAGAGCAGCCTGTTCGTTGTTTCCCTGGATGAAACCACTCCGTACTCCACTCCAGACAACTACACAAGTGTAAGCACTGCACAGGGTTTAAAAACTAAAGAATTTTAACAATGTTACAGAGTTACACGTGTTATTGTGTGACTTCTGATCACAGTTGACCACAGAAGCCCTCACTGGAAATCCCGCCATCCGCTGGGGTGACAAATCATACAATGCACTCTCCTTTGCAGACGGCACGTTTGGATCCACCTGTGATGTGAGTTAGTGTGTGTTTGCGCGCGCCGGGCTAAAGAGGTTTCGCCACACTGTTAAATCAAGCCCATATGCCACGTTTTTATGATCAAGAAGGTTGTTGCCCAAAATCAAATAATTCTTAATGCTAGTTGGAAATAATACAAGATTGTTTTGCAGCACGCACCATATGATGGCATCGTACTGATTTCTATGTGTTGGCATCTGGACCAGAAAATTAAGGACACAGAAGGCAAATGGAGGGTAAACTAACATTTATTCTCTACATACATGTAAATAGTGAATCTGTCACTTTTCACACCATGATGACTATGCTTTGTAGGGCTCAGAAACAGTGAGACCCGTTCCCCGCCCCGAAGAGATGGTGTTCACGGTCGATGAAAAGGTCCATAGCGACATTCGCCACGCTAAACGGCAATACTATGAGTCGGTGAGACACTTTTCAACACACCAAGTACAGTAACAAAAAACGGCTGATGCAGAATAACTTGTCTATAGTCACAACTGTGTGGGTTTCTACTCTGCCGCTGGCTTTATAGGCACAGGACATGCAGATTGTGTGTTACGCCTTCACAGCATTTGGAAAAGCAGCCATCAAACAAAAGAAGTTGCATCCAGACACCTTTGTTCAACTCGCTATGCAGTTGGCCTACCAGAAAATGCACAAAAGGTACGTGCTGGTTTCAGTTTGGGCCACGCACTTACTGATTTTTGAAGCCTCAGGTGAAAAGCCCCAACTGTCTCTTCTGGCCCCCCACAGGCCTGGAAGTTGCTATGAGACCGCAATGACTCGCAAGTTCTACCACGGCAGGACAGAGACGATGCGACCCTGCACCCAGGAGGCTGTGAACTGGTGCAAAGCCATGATGGACAACACATGTGACGTGAGTGAGTGAGTCAGTGCGTGTCTGAAAATCTGTAGCAGAATCCCACACAGCGTATGGAGGTGATTTCTTTTTTTAACATATTACAATGAATATTCTTCCAGGTTGATGCAAGGAGGAAAGCCATGAGGCTGGCCTTCATTAAACACAACAAACTGATGGCTGAAGCCCAGGAAGGAAAAGGTTGGTTCACTTTGCAAACATGTACGCTGAGCATTTAAGAGTTCGAGCAATCCTCTGTAAGCACATTTCATGAAACCAGAACACTCCCTAAAACTATGTTGAAGACAGGAGATTGATTTTGAAGCTAGTATTTGGATTGCAGCAATCACATCTTGGCATTTTTGGCATTCTTGGCATCAACTGTTCAAAAACAAATACATTTTTTTTGCCAAAAATGTAGTTTAAAAAAGTGTTGTTAGAATGTTAGAAGGTAAACATGTTTTTAACTAATGCACGATTTATAATATCATAAATAATGAAATAAATATTGTTAAATGTAATGCTACGTTCTAAACGTGTCTTGTTTTTAAATGGTTCCCTCAAATGCTAAGTTTCTGATTTAAATCCCTCTCCAAACGGTACAGTGCATTAAATACTGTCAGTGCAGAAGCAAAAGATGCTCAGGCTCCTGTTTTACTGGATTGTAAATCCACATCATTTTGTGACATCGTTGGCAGGTTTTGACAGGCATCTTCTCGGGCTGTATCTGATTGCCAAAGAGGAGGGACAACCCACTCCAGAACTCTTCCTGGACCCCCTCTATGCAAAAAGGTACCGTCTGTAAAGTCTGTCTGCTTTTTGGCACAGGGTGTCCACACCGGAGTGCTGGTTGTATCGTTGGGTCCGTGTGGGTATCAAACATGCTTTTAGTAGAACGTTTTAAAATAATACACTTGCAATTAAAGCATGTCTTTTTTTTTAATATTACGGTAAGACATTTTGGTCTTTTGCTGAAATACCTTGTTGATTTAGTATGGAAATCATTTTACTTGTGAATACTATTGTTTGACTGATGCTGAGTGCTGGTCTGATGCTGATGTTAAATTAATAAGCTCTATTCCTGAATATCTATTGAACTGAATTAAATTGAATTGATCGTCCCGATATCCGTTGAGCTCTTTTATCATTCATTTTACGGTTTATTGTTGTTTCATGAATTTGGGATTTCACAATAAAGTTGTAAAAATACTTGAGCATTTTAGGTTCTAATAAGTGATCCGTCCGATAAAAATAACTACAATCCAGAAACGTAACCAGACTCAAGGCACTGGATTCGATCGTGAATTTTTCTGTCTGCCTGTAACTGAGTTGTGTATTTGTCTGCAGTGGTGGTGGTGGTAACTTTGTGCTGTCGTCCAGTCTGGCGGGCTACACTACAGTTCTGGGGGCCGGGGCTCCCATGGTGCACCGCGGCTATGGCTTCTTCTATCGTATTAGAGATGACAGGTGAGCAGACAAGACTAAAGCATGTTTCCATAATCCTGTTTCTTCTTCTGAAGATCCTTGGCTTCAATGGTCATGGTCCATGTGTTACGGTGTTAAGACTTCAGTTTTATGTTGGAATGTGAGTTTTCTTGTTAATTCATACTAACTAGTTACATTTAAAAAATATATATAAACCACACAAAATCACACACGAGGTGCTTTTCTTTTACTACAGCGCTGCATTGAACCTATGAGCGTAGATGCCACATTTTAAAGAGCTATATCCATCCGATTTGAATGGCTAGTCTTTTATTTTATTTGCCCAAGTTTATTGCTGCATCTCCATCAGCTCAATCAGATAACACATCGACTCTGAATTAAAGCATTTCAAAACTTGTTTTTTTCCCTGCCTGCTCTTTATTCCCTCTGTGATCAATATACTGTAAACATTGTGCACGTACACTCACACAGACGCTCACTGTAATAGAACCCGTCTGCCCAGCTCAATTGGTTTAATTTATACATAGCCTGTAAATTAATCTATTGTACGACATGTGTAATCAGCCAAACATATGGATTAATTGTGATCACAACATTTTACATGCTCTTTGGCAGAAGAGAGAGAGGGAGAGAAGGGTAACTTCAATACAAGTTATTGCAGCTTCAGGATCTGCACTCATATCCACTTTGTCTTCTTCCCTCCAGGATTGTAGTCTCCATCTCAGCGTGGAAATCTTGCCGTGAGACCGATGCTGCGTCATTATTCAACAACTTCTGTAGCTCCTTGCATGAGATGTTCCACTTGGCCACCACATCTCAGCTATAAGAACTCACACTCACACAATTTGTACTGCATGTGAAGCCACCGGCTTTGGTATTATTACACATCTATTCACTTAATTGCATAGTGGTGAATAAGACAAATTATGGTAAATTATTTTGTTATTAATTATGTTTTTATGAGTTCATACTTTATAACTGGATATTATTCATTTTTAAATGTTGCCTTTACATTAAGCCGATGCTGAGACTCAAGTGAGTAAATATTCAACTGACACTCAACTCTCATGGTGGACTATGAAGAAAAGAACTGTTGCTTGAGTGTTGTTGGCATTTGATTTCTCTATTATGATAATAGCACTTACGTTACTCTGTGACTCTGTACATTCAATTGTCTATATACATTATTTGAATTTGAAGGTAACCCATGCAGTGTTGAGATTGCAGGGCAACTCGTTGCTGGGAACTATTTCAAGTCGGCTCACACCGGCTACCGTCGCAGGACCAGTAACATTTCTACTGTATTTTGATCATTTCCACTTTCTGATTGAAATCGATGCTTCAAAATGAAATTAAACCTTTTGAAAAGGAATTGTCCTGTATTGTAGAGATTTCACCCTCCAATAATTATTGGCTTTATTCCTGCACATATTTTTAGTTAAGATGATTTTATTTGCCTTTTGCACATGGAAGTCCTTTACTTCTGCACGTCGGCCACATGAAACAACCATGTGATTGTGTTTCTGCCCCACTGTGAACCAGCATTTTCTCAAGTAGTGCAGGTGGAGACCGATGGGCCGACGGCTCGGAGGGAAATGCTTAAACTATTAATATCTGGAGATACGATAACTAATTGTGTTGCCTTCACAGGCGATGAGGTGTGGCACATTTATTTGGTAACTCCTGTACAGTACTTCTGGAAAGTGTTGGTTTTCTGATTATTACCTTTTATTCAGTCACTGCACTTTTCTTTAATTTGGGTCGTGTGTCTGCTAAGTGAAAGACTGCAGAATGTCCACATGGCTTTGTAATGAATGACTGCTTTAATCATAAATTAACTTTACAAACTGTGACTTTATCTACATTTTCTTATCACACCTCCATGTCAAGTTGGGTTTTTGTCCTGTCTCCACGTTTGTTTTCCTGACTTCCTGTTTTATTTTGGAAATGAATTCTCCTCTCGTTTCAGGTTCATTGCCCTTCCTGATGTGTCACCAGTCTGATTGTCTTCCCTGATTCCTGATTGTGTCCACCTGTTCCCTCTTCCCCCATGTGTTCATATAGTCTGCGTCTCCCTTCGTCTTGTGCCAGTGTGTCATCCTACGTCGTCATACCAGCCAGTGTCCAAGAGCCATAGTTTCTCTAGTCTCGTGACCACAGTTTTACCTCGTTCGAGTAATTTTTCTTTGTAACTCTGTTTGTTCCAGCGTCAGGTCTCAGTTAGGTTTAGATAAGTAGCTTTGTTTTCCTCCTTTTGGAGTGACCTTATTTTTGGATCTGTTAGCACTCTGTATGAATAAACTGTCACCCTACACCTGCTTTGCGTCTGAGTCCTGCCTCCCGCCCGGTTCTGACATTTCTCTGAGTATAAAGCCTTGGACTTTCTTGATAAAGTTGAATTTAAAATGTACTGTGTGATTTCTTTAACAAAGATTATTGAGATGCATCATAGAAGGTAAAAAAATACAAAAATGTTCTAATTGCTATTCATCTCATTTATGTAGTTTACTCTTGCAATGTCTATTTGCACAGCAATATATTGTATTCACATGAACTATCATATGTAGCTTGATTTCTGAACAGGAGAGAATGTCTAACATGAAAATAAAACCTCTGAAATTTTGCTTAATGACCTGTTCAAATAGGAGGAATGTTTACTCCTCTTTCCTCTAAAACAGTGGTTCTCAACTGGTCTGGCTCCGGGACCCACCATCACCCCTTAATGACAAGCCACGACCCAAATCGAGGAACATTCTCAACTTCTCAAATTTGTTTAATGAAAATATAGTGCAGTTTGAACCTGAGATAGTATGTAGACAGAATACGTGTGCCAACACAAAAACAAGTTTAATGAAAAAGCAAAACAGCCAGCTGTCAATTCTAATTTTTATTTCCTCAGGCAAACGCCCGCGACCCATTAAAAACGGGTCCGCGACCCACCAGTTGAGAATCACTGCTCTAAAACCTCTTTCAATGCAGCCGTATGAATGTTATTATGAAGCGATCTTTTAAGGATAACACTTGATTTGGTTTAATCCAAACCGTCGACAAAACTGAGCCAGTTCATAACTACAGAAAAGTATGGAGTCAATTGTGTCCACATACTAATGGCTGCATGGTGTATTTGCAAGAATTGTCTGGCTTTGCTATTTAGAAAGGGTTATCATGTCATTGACCAGTGTATCTGCATCCAATAATTAGAAATACACAGTGTGGATTTTTTTTTCTGGTGTCGTCTGTTTAATTTATTTATTAAATGAATGTTATGTAACGTCGCCTCTTACTGGGTAAAAAAAAAAAGGGGATCGGCGCATGCGCAGTAGGATCTTCCGGCCTCAGCCGGTGTTGTGAGTCAATGCAGATTCAGTGGGTCAAAGGTAAACGGTCTGCAAACAGCAGCACGCATAACTTCACTTGTGTCTGGACGCGGGGACATCAAGTCAACACAATCATTTATAAGGTTAGTATTATTGTGCATCGTGTCGGGAAGCGAGGAGTGGCGTTTTTACATGAAGTATTTGTACTATTTAACGTATTGTTGCACGTCCGACATTGTTGTTGACAGTAACAGAATAACGTTCTCCACCTCGCGCTCACACTGATCCTATTAACTTTGCCCTGTTTACTGGAAAAACATTGTTTTTATCTAAAATATCTCATATTACAAGTTAAAGCTCTGAAAGAAATGCTGATTTAAACAATAGAACTGTAGCCGATTGCCTACATGAGCTTTGGATAAATTACCGTAATTGTCGATGCAAAATGATAACCAGAATATTGTTTACTTGTACATTTCACAGTAATCATTACAGATGTTTTCAAAGAAACATAAGTTTTACTTTGCAAAGTAAATAGTTCCACATAAGCTAGAATTACTGCTTTTTGGTTTTGAACTACCTGTATGTGAAATCTCAAACATTTGATTTAGGAAAATATTGGCACACATGTTTATTTGTTGTATTCAGTTTTAATTCCTTCCAGAAAGAAGAAATGGATAATCATCCGTCAGAGTCCCTAGCGGAGCGGACCTTTCAGTATCAAAGCAGCATGCCGTCCTTGCCTGTCCCGTCACTAGAGATGAGCCTCTCAAAGTACCTAAATGCAGGTAGGATAGCAACTTTGAACAGTTCTGTTTAAGAACTTAAGGTTTTCAAACTTCAAACATTTTGCAAAACAAAAGCTGTAAACCACTATTTAGGTAATATTCCAGCCCTGTGCAAGATGAAATATGGTGTTATTCTGTAATTTGACCCTTGAGCGGAGCAAAGCCGTTATCATTGAGCTCGAACAAAGTTCCTTTGCACCATTGTTCAAACAACAAAATGCCCCTAATGAATTTCAATAGGTCACTGCTACCTAAATATTGTAATAGTACACACAAGTTTTATTTCGGCCTTGTATGTTTAGTATGTTTCATTTTGGTTGTATACGTGAGCATTTTCAACCTTTTAATGCCAGCAGAATTAAATCAACCACTTTCACAAGAGGCTGAAACTTCACAATGACCTGCAGGCTCTAAACTGACTAATTCTGTACTGACATGTTTCCCATCAGTTCGACCCTTTGCACGTGAGGACGAGTTTAAGGCTACAGTGGACATAGTTCGGACATTTCAAGAGGGAGTTGGCAAAGAGCTGCACCACAAACTACTGCAAAGAGCCGAGACAAAGAAGAACTGGGTGTGTAATGGAGTGCTGAGTGCCTTGTTTTGGAGTTACAGATGATGATCCTCAGTCATGGATGTTTTACTTCTGTGAGAATTTTTCTTTTTATTCTTCAGCTGGAAGAGTGGTGGTTGGATGCTGCGTATCTTGAAGTCCGCATCCCCTCTCAGCTGAATGTGAACTTTGGCGGCCCGGCGCCCTACCTGGAGCACTGCTGGCCCCCGGAAGAGGGAACTCAACTGCAGAGGGCCAGTATCAGCACCTGGCACACACTACAGTACTGGGACCTGATCCGCACGTAAGACACATTTTGCACTGTTTAAGTGGTGTGTTAAGTAAAAGTTGCTCTTTCCTTTACTTGAAGTTAGTTATATATCTAATGTGTTTTTTTGTCTTTCCCTCGTGTATTTTAGGGAAAGACTCCCTCCCCAAAAATCTGGCAACACTGTATTAGATATGGACCAGTTCAGAATGTTGTTCAACACCTGCAAAGTTCCTGGAGTAAAGAAGGATACCATTCGTAACTACTTCAAGACCGGTAGAACAATCGATTCATTCTTATCTCTTACTTTCAGACCCGTCATCCTATGCGTGCGCTCACGTTCTCGGCTTACAAGTCACCGTTGTGTACAATGTATATTTTATGCTGTGCCGCAGAGCGTGAAGGTCCATGCCCCTCCCATTTGATAGTCATCTGTCGTGGAAGGATCTTCACATTTGACGCAGTCTGTGATGGACAAATTCTCACTCCTCCGGAACTACTGAGGTAGTGATATACACTCAAGTACACACGCCACACACAAGCGTCATGTTTAAGGGTTGTGCCAAGCGCTTATAGAACTGTTCACTTCACCGGCATCCCATTTATGACCCCAAAGAGGTCTCTGCACTCGCATTATCTTTAGGCAGTGGACATTCAGTGCTTTCTATTTTGCTAACATGTCTCCTTGCCTCCCTCACTTACGTCTTAAATCTGCCAAAAGGAAGATGTGAGAGATACAAGTAGGAGACATGAGAAAGCAGGAGCCAAAGCTCCCAAATAATAACTCCTTTGTTCCAGAGCATCGCTCTTCCGCCTTGTTGATTGCTTCAAACTGTGCCACACAAACGGGAGTGGGACACATCACATCACTAGATGAAAGACCTCTGTTTATAATACATTTGTGTTTCCTCATCCTCCACGATGGTACATGTTTGCTCTGCATTTGGATAACATAGTTATACACGAATACTCGTGGCGTAGCTCTACAGAGTCTTAAGCTGTCCTGTAATAAAGTGACAATTTATAAGAACGACACCTGTTGAGGCACCAGAGGATTGGACTGAGAGAAATAACCCACAACTGAAGGAAAAAAAATATTACAAAAATAACTTGGACCTTTCCACAGCTTCTCTATGTCTGGGTTGCATTAATTTAATTAATTAGTCAAAATATATGTTACATAGCGCTGGAAAAAATGAAAAACTACAATTTAATAATACACATTTCTTACACGTTTCTTTTAAATTACATGATACTCTGGAATCCTGCAGAAACCCTGTAATTGTGAGCTTGATCCCAGCGTACAATGTGGCCTCACTTCCTTTTGTGTGTGTGTGTTGACCTTCGTAGGCAGCTCATCTATGTGAAACAGTGCTGTGAGGGAGAGCCAGAGGGAGACGGAGTGGCTGCTCTCACTTCAGAAGAGAGGACTCGTTGGGCGCTGGTAAATTGGGAGACTTGTGCTCTGAATCTCATGGATTACATTTGGGAATGAAATTCTAATAATACAAAATCATACTTCAAGATCAGCCCTGTCACCATTTACTGTCTCTGCAGGCAAGGGAGCATCTAATAAGCATTGACCCACAACACAATGGCACAATCCTGGAGACCATCCAGAGCAGCCTGTTCGTTGTTTCCTTGGATGAAACCACTCCGTACTCCACTCCAGACAACTACACAAGTGTAAGGGTTTCAAAACTAAATATTGTATAACAATGTTCACTATTTTGTAAATGGAAAGAGTTACATGTGTTATTGTGTGACTTCTGATCACAGTTGACCACAGAAGCCCTCACTGGAAATCCCACCATCCGCTGGGGTGACAAATCGTACAATGCACTCTCCTTCGCAGACGGCACGTTAGGATCCACCTGTGATGTGAGTTAGTGTGTGTTTGCGCGCGCCAGGCTAAAGAGGTTTCGCCACACTGTTAAATCAAGCCAATTCTTAATGCTAGTTGGAAATAATACAAGATTGTTTTGCAGCACGCTCCATATGATGCCATGGTACTGGTTTCTATGTGTTGGTATCTGGACCAGCAAATCAAAGACACAGAAGGCAAATGGAGGGTAAACATTGACTCAGATTTATTCTCGACATACATGTAAATAGTGAATCTGTCAGTTTTCTCACCATGATGACTATGCTTTGTAGGGCTCAGACACAGTGAGACCCGTTCCCCGCCCCGAAGAGATGGTGTTCACTGTCGATGAAAAGGTCCACAGCGACATTCGCCACGCTAAACGGCAATACTATGAGTCGGTGAGACACTTTTCAACACACCAAGTACAGTAATAAAAAAAATGCCTGATGCAGAATAACTTGTCTATAGTCACAACTGTGTGGGTTTCTACTCTGCCGCTGGCTTTATAGGCACAGGACATGCAGATTGTGTGTTACGCCTTCACAGCATTTGGAAAAGCAGCCATCAAACAAAAGAAGTTGCATCCAGACACCTTTGTTCAACTCGCTATGCAGTTGGCCTACCAGAAAATGCACAAAAGGTACGTGCTGGTTTCAGTTTGGGCCACGCACTTACTGATTTTTGAAGCCTCAGGTGAAAAGCCCCAACTGTCTCTTCTGGCCCCCCACAGGCCTGGAAGTTGCTATGAGACCGCAATGACTCGCAAGTTCTACCACGGCAGGACAGAGACGATGCGACCCTGCACCCAGGAGGCTGTGAACTGGTGCAAAGCCATGATGGACAACACATGTGACGTGAGTGAGTGAGTCAGTGCGTGTCTGAAAATCTGTAGCAGAATCCCACACAGCGTATGGAGGGGATTTTATTTTAACATATTACAATAAATATTCTTCCAGGTTGATGCAAGGAGGAAAGCCATGAGGCTGGCCTTCATTAAACACAACAAACTGATGGCTGAAGCCCAGGAAGGAAAAGGTTGGTTGTAACCAACGTATGATTTATAATATTATAAATAATGAAATCATTATTATTAAATTAATTAATATTAATATTTTGCATTCCACATGTTTGTGGGACACAAAGAACATTTGGTGAGAAACACTAAATGGGAACATCAATCCCATAGAGTAACTTTTAAAGCGCCGGGAACTTGAGCGGAGTCATTTGACTACATATGATATACATTATCAAAAAGAGTAACAGTTAAAGAACGAAGTGTGCAACACGTAACAGTAAGCCAGTAAACAGTACATTTCTAATCTTTTTAGAATGCTTTATTAGCTTTATCAGACTGCCAGTATAATTACAGCTACCTTGGTCAGGACTGCAGTAAGCTTATTATTAAAGCAGCCAATGTCTACCAGTGGTGCTAAGACGGTGCTAATTAAAATGATGATAGAAATGGAAAATTTGGCTGTTAGCAAGCTAATGTAAATAATATGTTGTTTTGAAGCCTGATATTAAAGTTAAGACAAAGTGAAAAATTCCTTAAAATCTCAAGATATATTATGCATACTGTATATTTAACAATGTGTGTAAAAATAAAAGACATAACGCCCATTTATTAATATTTTTATTTAAAAATTGAATTATCTTTTCATCTTGTAAAACCAAATATGTGCTTACTTAAGCCGATACCAAACTATTTTCATCTTTCAGATACTAGGGGCCTCATTTATAAACGTTGTGTACGCACAAAAGAAGGCGTACGTCGCTCTCTACGCTATAATTGGTATTTCTAAAAAGCAAACTTGCCGGAAAAATGTGCGGTCCTTCACGCAAGCTCGGACCCATGCGTACGCACAAAAACGGGTGAAATGAGAATCGTCGGCAAATGCAAGAAACACGCAAACGTATGTGAAAGTGTGTAAAACTAGACTGTTGTGTAAGAGAAATGCCAATACTGCCTCTCATAAATAACACGAACACCTGTTTGATCGATCTGCAGCGTAAAACAAACATAAATACAAATTAACACATTTTCAAAAAGAAAAGTGAAATATGTTCTGCAATAATATTGGCATGTTATGCAATTCATCCTCAAAACACAGCTGTTGCTTGTCAGATGCAATCAAATGGAATAAAATGCCGTGATGCCATCACAATGCGTAATGACGCGAAATGGCTGATCTTGCGCTCTTCGAAGACGTGGCACATAGAAGGATTCGCGCTGTAGTGCAGCACACCATCGGCCTGTTTAAAGCCAGATGGCGCTGCCTCGACTGCACTGGAGGGAGGTTATTGTTTACTCCTGAAAAGGTGTGCAAAATCGTGCTGGCATGTGCTGTGCTACATAATGTAGCACAGCACAGCTGTCGAGGCACAGCTTCCAAACGTGCCTCGACCCCTTGACGGCGACGTTGTCCCAGACCCTGTCCCCGATCCCCAATCATTGCCGCCAGTCTCTCATCAAGAGGGGACAGCTCCGGTGTCCCCTCTCCCTCACCAGTGGCAGACATACTTTGGCGATGGCGCGCTAAACGTTTTTTTGCATCCACTTTGATGTCAGGCCATTTTTTCTTTATTTCGGCCACGGTCCGAGGTTGTGAGGCTGCAGCGTTGCTCTGCAACCTTTTGCCACTCGAGTGCCTTATTGGCATTAGTAATGCCCATACTGTGCCCTCCAAAAAGCATTTTACTTCTCCTTTCCACCTCCCAATGATCATTTCGACTTCACACTGAGTGAAGTTACGTTTCTTCGTTTTCCTCTCAGTGTTTGCCATGATTTCGCAATCGATGAATATTAATTTGTGGGCGTTCCACAGACTATATATGGGCAACTATGGGCGTGACATGAAGTCGCAAAAGCTGCGCTGCATTTAGAAGTGATTGTGATTTATTAAGGGAAAACTGCGTAGGACGTGCACGCGCACTGTTTTATAAGTCTGAATATTTCTGTGCGTACGCACGTCCTATGTTTCATTCGTACGCCACTTCTGGCGCAAATCCTACGCAAGCTTTTATATATGAGGCCCTGGGTGTCTGTAGAGCCACGGCCTTCTGTAGCTCCGTTCTAAACGTGTCTTATTTTTTAATGGTTCCCTCAAATGCAAAGGATTTGATTTAAATCCCTCTCCAAACGGTACAGTGCATTAAATACTGTATTTCACTTGGAAACACTGACAGTGCAGAAGCAAAAGATGCTCAGGCTCCTGTTTTACTGGGTTGTAAATCCACGTCATTTTGTGACATCGTTGGCAGGTTTTGACAGGCATCTTCTCGGACTGTATCTGATTGCCAAAGAGGAGGGACAACCCACTCCAGAACTCTTCCTGGACCCCCTCTATGCAAAAAGGTACCGTCTGCGGAGTACTGATCTGATATTGATCTCAAATTAATAAGCTATTTTCCTGAATTTGTAGAAGGGACTACTCCATATATCTATTGAATTGAATTGAATTGATATCTGTTGATCCCTCTCATCATTTATGTCTGTTTCTTGTTGTTTTATGAATTTGAGATTTCACAATAAAGTTGTAAAAATAAAAAAATAAAGTTGTAAAAATACTGCATTTTAGGTTCTAATAAGTGATCCGTCTGATAAAAATAACTACAATCCAGAAACTTAACCAGACTCAAGGCACTGGATTCGATTGTGAATTTTTCTGTCTGCCTGCAACTGAGTTGTGTATTTGTCTGCAGTGGTGGTGGTGGTAACTTTGTGCTGTCATCCAGTCTGGTGGGCTACACTACAGTTCTGGGGGCCGTGGCTCCCATGGTGCACCGCGGCTATGGCTTCTTTTATCGTATTAGAGATGACAGGTGAGCAGACAAGACTAAAGCTGTTTTCTAATCTTCTAACTAATTACAGATTTTTTTAAATGGAAACCACACAAAATCACACACGAGGTGCTTTTCTTTTACTACAGCGCTTCATTGAACCTATGAGCGTTGATGCCACATTTGAAAGCGCTATATCCATCCGATTTGAATGGCTAGTCTTTTATTTTATTTGCCCAAGTTTATTGCTGCATCAAAATTTTTAAATTTATACATAGACTGTAAATTAATCTATTGTACGACATGTGTAATCAGCCAAACATGGATTAATTGTAATCACAACATTTTACATGCTATACAGCCTGTAAATTAATCTATATTACGACCTGTGTTCAACCAACCAAAAAGATTCTTGCTTTGACATCACTTGATCAATTGTAACCACAACATTTTACATGATCTTTGAGAGAGAGGGAGGGAGAGAGAAAGATGGGTAACTTCATTTCAAGTTAGAAATTGTGTCCCCTGCAGTTTCAGGATCTGCACTCATATCCACTTTGTCTTCTTCCCTCCAGGATTGTAGTCTCCATCTCAGCGTGGAAATCTTGCCGTGAGACCGATGCTGCGTCATTATTCAACAACTTCTGTAGCTCCTTGCATGAGATGTTCCACTTGGCCACCACATCTCAGCTATAAGAACTCACACTCACAAAATAATGCACAGGTGACTATCGACAGCCAGCGAGTGTCATGTTTGTTCTCAGCAAAGATCAATGCAAAGGTACAACATTTGTACTGCAAGTGAAGCCACCGCCTTTAGTAATATTACTAAATATTAGTAATCAATTCCCTTTCCTGCATAGTGGTAAATAATACAACTTAGGGTAAATTATACTTTATAACTAAATATTATTAATTTTTAAATGTTGCCTTTTTATTCATTCACATTAAGCCGATGCTGAGAGTCAAGTGAGTAAATATTCTTCTGACACTCAACTCTTACGGTGGACTATGAAGAAAAGAACTGTTGCTTGAGTGTTGTTGGCATTTGATTTCTCTATTATGATAATAGCACTTACGTTACTCTGTGACTCTGTACATTCAATTGTCTATATACATTATTTGAATTTGAAGGTAACCCATGCAGTGTTGAGATTGCAGGGCAACTCGTTGCTGGGAACTATTTCAAGTCGGCTCACACCGGCTACCGTCGCAGGACCAGTAACATTTCTACTGTATTTTGATCATTTCCACTTTCTGATTGAAATTGATGCTTCAAAATGAAATTAAACCTTTTGAAAATAATTATTGGCTTAGTTCCTGCACATATTTTTAGTTGGGATGATTTTATTTGCCTTTTGTACATGGAAGTCCTTTATGTCTGCACGTCGGCCACATGAAACAACCATGTGATTGTGTTTCTGCCCCACTGTGAACCAGCATTTTCTCAAGTACTGCAGGTGGAGACCGATGCGCCGACGGCTCGGAGGGAAATGCTTAAACTATTAATATCTGGAGATACGATAACTAATTGTGTTGCCTTCACAGGCGATGAGGTGTGGCACATTTATTTGGTAACTCCTGTACAGTACTTCTGGAAAGTGTTGGTTTTCTGATTATTACCTTTTATTCAGTCACTGCACTTTTCTTTCATTTGGGTCGTGTGTCTGCTAAGTGAAAGACGGCTGAATGTCCACATGGCTTTGTACTGGAATGACTGCTTTAATCACAAATTAACTTTACAAACTGTGACTTTATTATCTATGTTTTCTCTGCTTATAAAGCGTTAGAAATTGCAAAATGTGAATAAAATTGTACTTTCTCGAAACACCTCAAAGAAATCAATATCTTTTGAACAAACTGATTTTATAAATGTACCAAATAAATGACAAATAAAGTTAAAATATTTTCATATTTTTGATTGTTTTGTTAAATAGTTACCAAAATATTCAAATGAAGCAATGTTTCAGAAACAGAATACAAAACTTTATTAGTTGCATTGAGGCGCATTCTACAAAAGGTTTGGTAAGAGTTGCATTTGTGGAAAACAAAGTAGGAAGTTCAATTTTACAATTAGTTATACACAGTCACAATGTGTATTTAAACCTGTTCTTCTCTCATATGTCAAAATATCTTCTGTGAAAAAGGTCCATAAAAGCAACAACTAATGAACAGAAGGTACACATAGCTTTTTGGCTGAAAAGTGACTAGTCTGAACCAATCATAATCAAACTATGAAAGGCAAAGTCACAAGTTTCTAAATAAATTGTGACCAATTTAGATCACAGCTGTTTCACCACTTAAGCCTGGCAAACAAAGAGATCTAAAACAATAGGTTTTACTAAGGCTCCCGTTGTCCTCTCCCTGTACTCATTTCCTCTGGTGGCCCATCTGTTTGTCGACCAGCATGTGGTAGACTCCCTTTTGGGCCAGCAACTGTTGATGCGTCCCCAGTTCCATCACCACGCCTCCATTGAAGACGGCGATGCGGTCTGCATTTTGGATGGTGGACAGACGATGAGCCACGATGATACACGTCCTGCCCTTACTGGCCTCGTCCAACGCCTCCTGTACCACCTGGAAGGAGAAGGAAAGGAAAGGCCGTCACCTCACATGTACCAGTTTTACCCCCCTAAACCTTAAAGGGTCAAACTGGATACGGCCCATCTGAAGTTTTTTTCTTTGTCCTCAAATATTCTTGTTCATTTGTTTTACTGTTGCTACCATTATTTATTTAGCAACTGGTGACTTTGTTTGCCCCCAACACTGACCTTCTCACTCTCGGTGTCAAGTGCAGAGGTGGCCTCGTCCAGGAGCAGCACTTTGGGGTTGCGCAGAATGGCGCGGGCTATGGCTATGCGCTGCTTCTGGCCGCCTGACAGCTGAGCTCCTTTATCACCCGCCTGAGTGTCGTACTTCTGCTCATACAAACGAGAGAGGGAGAGATATATCTTATTGATATATGTCTAAAATAATGACAGAAGCATCCACACTCTTAATCCATTCACCTTTTTGTAATTAATGGATTAGAAATTCATCCCAGCAGTTACCTGTGGCAGACTTTCGATGAAGGTGTGAATGTTGGCTGCTTTAGCAGCGTCCTGTATCTCTGCTACGGTTGCGGTGCGGCTGTTGTCTCCGTAAGCGATGTTTTCGCCTAAAGTGCAGTCGAACAGCACAGGCTCCTGGGATACGATGCCGATCTGTGATCTCAACCACTGGAGGTTCAGCTGTTTTGCATTTGTATTGTCCAGCAGCTGAAGAAGAAATCATTAACAGTAATTGATTTTAATTAAAGTTTTTCAGAGCAACATTTTCTACTAAATACGCCACCAGCCAGTTGCTTTGTAGCTCTCTTTTAACCAGCTCTCATTCTTCAAAATAAGATCTGGTTAATAACTATCTGTGTTTGTTATTTAAAAAAAAAAACGCCAAATATATATATATATATATATATATATATATATATATTTATATTTTTTATATATATATATATATATATCTTTTTTTTTTCCAGAAGCCATTTAGCAAAAACTGGAATCCCATTAAGATCAAATGAAATGGTTCGTAAAGTCAATATAAAAGCAAACATCACACTAATACAATCCCACAATGGGTGTCTCATCAGTACGGTGCTGTAAAGAAGTCATAAACACGTTGGCCAGCTAACCATTAGCCAGAAGACAGTAGGTGAAGAGGCACCAGCGTTAATCACACAGCGTGGGCGTGTTTTATCCTCTCACCACTCGCCCCTCCCTGGGATCGTAGAACCTCTCGAGCAGCTGGATGGTGGTGCTCTTTCCGCAGCCGCTGCTCCCCACCAAGGCCAAAGTCTCTCCCTTGCTCACCTTCAGATTCAGCCCTTGGAGGACGGGCACATCGGGGCGTGAGGGGTAGTTAAAAAATACACTTTCAAAGTGCACATTACCCTCGAATTTGTCCTGGTGGTTTTATGGGACGACACAGAAGAGGGACATGTTAGCTTGCGTGTAAAGAGCCGTGGCGTGAAAGACGTGTTTTTGCGTTACGCACAGGTGACTCCCCCTCCTCTGAGAGATTGTCGATGGCGGACACTTTGTTCAGCAGCATCATGAGGTGGGAGGCTGAGATTTTGGCCTTGGCATAGTTTGGAGCGAAGGAGTTGGCCTCTCCGAGGGCCATGGCACCGTACAGTATAGCGGAGATGACACTGGGACAGAAAGTCAAGCATTCCTTAGTAATATCACATTTATGTGTTACGTTTTAGCTTTCTCAATACCCATGTTTAATTGACCTTAAATTACCATACAATATTAAATTAAATATTTACATTTCAAATCATTTTATTTATGATTAAAAAAAACACATTTAACAATGTGCATCACTTTAAATATATTTCCTAAATATATTTCGATAACTCAGCCTGAGCTGGCTCTTGGAAAGAATCAAGATTAGAGGGTTTACATTGCGTGTGTGTTGCATAAGTGAGTCATATGTTTTTATGGTTTTATGTTGGTTATATCACCTTTGCACTTCCTCTTTATGTAACAGCTAGAATATGAAGGCAGATGCTTCTTTCCGTTAGTAAAACACATGTGTTTGTGTGTGTGTGTGTGTGTGTCCTGGACCAACAAATACATTTTGTGTGATGATGTCTTTTTGTGTGGAGCCAGCTCGTTCCCAGTGGCCTCTCACATACTTCAGGCCAGCGTTATGATTAAAAGCCATATAGAAAAGCTCCTGCTCTTTCATAACCCGTGTTTGCATGCAAACAGTTCATCTTCTCCATCATAAACTAATCCCCCGATTAAGAGATAACACAGTCATGCTTTACTCACAGGAAGACTCCCTCAACGTCCATCCTCCCCGTCACAATGAGCCAAGCTCCGAACCGGAAGCAGCCTGCGTAAGCAAAGTAGATCATGGCCTGGGTGAGGGAGAAGGTGAGACCGTGCACATGGGCGTTCTTCTGCGAGTTCCTGCCCGGAGTGAAAGAAAGGTGTCATTAGTATTAAAATAGATGTATAATAGTAGTTTATATCTTCCCAGGAGAAGCTGGATTTGTGGTTTAATGACTCGTACTTGTATGGTACTTCCAGGTTTTCCTGATACAAACTCTCAAACTTGGGTTCTCTGTTCAGAGAGACGACAGTTCGGATGTTCCCGATTGCCTCTGTAGCGATCTGTAGAGACAAACCATAATAAAACGACATACAATAATAGGCATGTTACTCTGGCGCATCTCACTCTGATTCCCAACCTTTCCAGCCTTCTCCAGCTCCTTCTTGTCTTTGGCAGCGTATCCGGTGAGCGCCTTCATCTCCACAGCTCCAGCCGCCGCCATGAAGGGCACCACGGCCAGGACGAGCAAGGTCAGCTGCCATCCGTACACGAAGGAGATGATCACTGACGTGCCCATGTTGGCTACGTTCTGCGCCAGCGAGGCCATGCGCACCCCCGTAGCCTGAGCGGGTGTGAAAGATGGGAGCATACTGAGTGACCGGAAAACACTGATTTTTGTGTGAGCGTGTGTGTGTGGGACTCCTGTTGAGACTTACTCCTTGCACTTGTGCTGCGTCTGTGGCCAATCTCGTAGTCAGCGCTCCAACACTGTTCTTGGGGTGGTCGTACCAGCCGAGGTCCTACAGGGAAACAGGGAATGACATTTTCCATTGGCCTTGAAAATAAATCCATGCTCTTCTAATAAAGCGTTGGTGTTGCAGGCCTGACTCATACAACCATTCATGCTCACATCCACACCTACGGCAGATTGATCAATTCAAGTACGAGGAAGCTGAACCCAGAACCTATGCGCTAAAACGCCAATTTACACAGGAGATGCCGTCAGGCCTGAGAATCGAACCCTCTTACTGTGAGCCGTGCTTTTATGGAAGAATTAAATCCTGGGAGCAAGAGCAGAGACGAGAATGGTGGGAAGGTTACCTGTCTCATCATGGCTTTAAAGGCATCGCGTCTTAGTTTCATGGTCAGAATCTCTCCAGATTTACCAAAACAGAAGCCCTGTAACAAGTTTACAGACAGGCGGTATGAGCACACGTGGATATTAACTTTTATTACTAACTGGCGTAATATTCTTATTTATTATTTTATTATTTATTTTTGTTGGTTTTAGTTAAAAAGGTTAAATGTAAATTAAAGTATTCTGGGGTTTAGGCACATATGGTCAAAGAAATAGTTGTACTGTTAGGGAAGTTTGTCTATTGGCTTTTCTTGTTGGGAATTACATAGAAAGATTGAGACCAATATTCTTAAACTAACCAGGTGCCTTCAAATATATTTGATTGACAAAAGAGTGAAAGCTTATCATCTGTCTCAACAGGAAATCAAATAAGTGTATTTCCATAAAAATCTAACTTTGAGGGCAGTAAACCTCCTACTGTAAATGAATATACATCAACATGCATGTGTATTTGTCATACCTGTAGAAACATGGTGATGAAAGTTACAGCTCCGATAACAACAAACATCAAAGAGAAGAATGAAGATCTTTGCCTGATAATCTCTGGATCTGGTTCTGCAAACACCTGAGATGTGAAAGAACCGACTGTTTCTATCAACACCTGATAAATGTTGCATCATGTCACTGTAAAATAACCTTTGTGTTTCACAGATACTCGGAGGAACATACGGTGATGATCTTGGAGAAGATGATGGCAAACAGTGGTTGCATAGCTCCGTTAATGATGGCACAGATGGTCCCAACCAAAATGTACGGCCACTCGTTGCGGTTGAGGTACAGCAACTTAGGGAACGACATGGGGGCAACATCTTCATCCTACAGGGAGACATTCACAAAGTTGGACTCGGGTGTATCATTTAGTATGTAATTGTTGGAATGGGGGGAAAGATCAAGGAGAGGAAGGTTAAGGAGAAGAAAGTACAGTGCTATCGAAACGATCTTTACAACTGGGTTATTGTGGTCATAGTACAGCGGCAGGGTTAGGACAGAAAACATAACATCTGCAAAGGGTCAGAGCGGGACACCTGATTCCAAACTGGATCAAACTGAATTTAAAAAAGGAAAAGCTTAACAGTCATCCTGAAATTAAAATGACTCTATGTATTTTTTGGCCACTCGTTTAAATATTCAAGATGAAGCTAAATAAATATGTAAGACTGAATGCCTACTGTCCCCTATTTAAATCAGGACCAGTCAAACAACTCACAAACAAAAGGTCACGGTTCAATAGCAAGGACAAATTACAAAGGGGAGGGGGCACAGCCATGATTCGTCCCTCGTTGTGATGTTTAGTAAATTAATCTAAAAGAAGAAAGACAAGCTAAATGAACCCAGTCAAAAGGCATCTAACAATAAATGTACTACATGTGGCAGTAGTGTTTAAGCATGAGAGTATATGATATTGTTTGCCCTGCATAGACCACATTGAGAGATGTCTCAGCACAGCTCACCTCTTCTGTCACGCAATCCTTCAGCTTTTCTTTCCCCTCTTTCTCTCCCTCCGAGGCAGTGAAGGAGGTGCCCCTTGTGGACTTCCTCCTGTGCAGAGAGGACTGGGAGAGGGTCCTGGCTAACGGGCCCTTCTTGTCTGCAGAATGCTCCCACTCCGCCTCCTCCCCCTCCTCCCCCTCTTCCCCCTCTTCCCTCTCCTCGACATTTTGAAAGGTCTGCGACAGAGAGAGAGAGACGGGATGGAACCACAGAATCAAACGGTAAACAGTATCAAAGGGGACCATTCTGAGATTACAAAATTTCCCTGGGATTCAAGCCCAACCAAGTAGTGTGAGATGTTTCCATGTGTGTCTACCTGCATAGAGACGAGTGTGTGGTAGACTCCCTTTTCTTCCATCAGCTTGCTGTGCGTCCCCAGCTCCACAACTTGTCCTTGCTGAAAGCCCGCGATGACGTCTGCGTTCCTGATGGTCGAGAGGCGGTGGGCAACAATGATGGTGGTACGACCCTGTCGGACCTGCACAAGGGGACATTTTGCCTTGTTTTTCCTGTGCCGGGCAAAATTGTACATTGACGAAGGTACAACATCTTTTTAAATATATTTTCATCATTTAGTTTGGAGCCACACCACTAGTGTGGGGAACCGCAGTAAAAATGCCGATGTCACTGTAAAAGCTCAAGGTGAGCTGAAGCTTTTCTGAACGAGGCAGAGCATGCGTCTGTGTATCTACCTTGTCGAGTGCAGCTTGAACAATGGTCTCACTTTCAGAATCAAGTGCAGACGTGGCTTCGTCCAACAGAAGGATTTTGGGGTTGCGGACCAGAGCTCGAGCGATCGCAATCCTCTGCTTCTGTCCTCCACTCATCTGAGTGCCTCGGTCGCCCACCATCGTCTCAAACTTCTGCTCAATAAAAAGAGTCTCAGCGTAAGCAAGTTGTGGACAGAATACTTCATACACGCAGAAAACAGGGAGCCGTGAGTACAGTCATACGTTGGGAAGGCCCATGATGAAGTTGTAAGCGTTAGCCTCCTTGGCGGCCTGCGTGATCTCTTGGTCCGTCACGTCGAGTCGGCCGTATCTGATGTTCTCGGCGATGGTGGTGGCAAAGAGGACGGGCTCCTGACTCACCACTCCGATCATCTCTCTCAGGTAACGGATGTTGAGAGAACGGATGTCGTGTCCGTCAACGCTCACCTGAAGTGCAGGGGTCAAACGCGCACAGCATCTTAATCCAAACACAGCCATGAGTGTTAGCAAGCAGCCTACCCTCTGTTGTTGTTAAGATGTATGGTTTAACACTGACATCCTTCTCTTTGGGAGAGTTGGATGAGAGGATTTGATGCAACTCTCACGACGGTATGCTAGATATAAAGCCAGGCACAGTGAGTGGCCAGCAGGGACTGTGGGAATACAGGATTTGAAGTAAATGGGCCGAAACAAACAAAACACTATATTGATCTTTATCTTTATGTGACGCCGGAACTTATTGAAGAAAACATAATAATGTGAAAATGGTGAAAAATGGTGATAAATCCTGTGAATGAAGCGGCTTGGAAAATATCACTTACAGATCCTTCATGAGGATCGTAGAACCTCTGCAGCAGCTGGATCGTGGTGCTTTTACCGCAGCCGCTGCTGCCAACCAACGCGATGGTCTGCCCGCTCTTCACGCTCAGGGACAAGTCATGTAAAATCTACAAATTATAACAATATCAGTCATGACATACAGCTTTAAGTAATATAATGCATGTTCTAGTTCATCCAACCCTCTAAGGGAAACCTACTTCGGTATCTGGCCTGGAGGGGTAGCTGAAGTGGATGTTCTTGAACTCTATGTTTCCTGTGATGGAATCAGGCTTGAAGCCGGCCTCTGAATAGCTGTCGATGGTCGGTTTCTATTGAGACAAGAGTTTTACTTCTTATAACTCAGTTCTGTTTTTATTTGAAGTCCGGCCGCGGTTGGACAGCGAACCTGATCCTATCACAACCTCAAACAGACAATAGGAGGAAGGAGGCTAGCCTTCCAGGTTTTGGTGAGTCTATTTAGAAAGACTAAATGCTCTTTTTCCCACATCTCTTTGTATTTTCACTGCACACAGCAATTCTCCCTCAAAGGCTGAGCTCTGTGTTTGAACAAAGAATGAGACGGTTTTACTTCCCTCTTGGAAGGACTCACACTTGTGTATTTCAGACTTCACAGAATAACCTAGCCACTACAGAATACAGCAGCTTTCCTGATCAGACATCACGAAGCGCTTCGCAATAAAAGACGCAATGTAAAGGTAATTAATAAAATATAGATGCAAAGATGTTCATTGATCTTAGATCCAAAGGGAGAGAGTTTTAACTGTAAAATACGTCTCAGTACAGAGGCTTCTGCTTCACCTCGCATCTTCATCAGTGAATGAATGTGTGTGAAAGAGTGAATGGTGACACGTAGAGTTAAACGCTTTGAGTGGTCGAAAGCCGAGAACAGGGCTAAATAATTACAGTCCGTTCACCATGGCCACCATAATCAACAAAATGCCAAGGCACAAGGTAGCTGATGTGCATTTCTGCGAGACGGGTACAATATTTATAAGTTATTTGACCTCATGACACATTCACAGTTCAGGGCGGGTGAACCACAGCTGTGCAGAAACCAGGTGACCTGACAGCAGGTCCTCCAATTAGAGCAGAATTTGACATATCCGTTGGCCGCATCAAAGCAGCTCCCCAGAGAGCCAGAATGCAATGGTGCATGTTCAGTAATGCAAACGGACAACTGTCCAGCAGCAAAAACATTACAAATAACATCTTGATCACACACGTGTGCTTTTGGGAAGCATGATGCATTACTTACATGATCGATAATGTTGTACACTTTATGTGCAGCTCCTCGAGCGGTGGCAAATGTCTGGATGTTAGGAGAGGTCTGACCCACAGTGAACGCTCCAATAAGCACAACGAAGAACACCTGAGGAGACACACGCAGCGTCAGCTGAAGCAAGCTTCTTTTTTCGCAGTCTCCCTTCGCTTCAAGCGGAAGCGCTCGGAAGGAATTTGGTGATTATTCGTCTACTCACAGTGAGTACGGTTCCAATGGTGTACTCCTCCTTCAGGATGAGTGTACTTCCGTACCAGAAGGCCAGAGCGTAGGACAGGTAGATCATCAGGAAGTTGATGCCAAATGCAAAATTGGCATATGTCGCCTTCTTTATTCCCATGTTCTTTGCATCCTCCAAGTTTTTAATATATCTGCAGTGCAAGAAACACACAGAGAAAACAGTTCAACAGAAGGAAAATGTAAACATAAATGAGATTGCAATGGGATCCTAGCAGCATCAGTACGAAGCACTAATCTCATTCCATTTTATGGCTTTTAACCAATTAGAGCTTTCCCTAAGGGGTTGCCTTGGACTTCATTTAGCCCTGCATAGACAGATCCTTTCCTTCAGATTATTACAGCATTAAAATAGAACGGCAACATTTTGGATTTGGACAAACTGATATTCTTATTGATTCCCACAAACACTATTTGTTTTCTATCCTTAATATTTGTTTGCTATTATTTAAAACCCCCGTTTTATGAGAGTTTTTAAAATCTTTTCCGGTTGTGTGAAAGGTGCAGTGCAAATAAAGTTGTATATTATATAAATACAGTGTTTTATATATTTTATAAACCACTGTACATACCTCTTGATTTCTCTTTCCTGACCACTGAAGGCGAATACCGTCCTCACAGCAGAGATCACCTCTGAGGCCACAGCTCCAGCTTTGGCATATGCAGCCTGCTCTTTAGAAGTGAAAGTCGCCAGCAACTGTCCAGAAAGGGGGAGACAGACGTAATGTTATTAACAATACCTGCGGAGGCTGTCTCCTTATGATACACCTGTAGACAGCAAGAGAAAGGCAGAAAGATGGACTGATGACAAAGTGAAGTTTAAAAGAGAAACACAGAGATGACGGGGAGAAGCTCACCTTGGAGAAAATTCCAGCTGAAATGCCGAGCGCAGGACTCACGGCCAGAATGACGAGAGTGAGTTTCCATCCTTTGACGAAGCCGATGGTGAAGGCTGTGATGAAGGTGCTGAAGGCCTGAATAAGCTTCCCGGCCTTGTCACCGATACCCTCTTGGATCTTATAGACATCACTATACAGATATAATGCGCTTGTGAATGAAGGAATAAACATCTGCTGTGAAACTTAAGTGATCCTGATTTTAATCTTTTAACTTTGATTTTTTTTTTTGCTTGTTTGATTGTCATTTGACTTTGGGTTTTTTTTCAAAGAAAGAATTCTCCAATGGGCGACTGGTTACATCCGTTAAATCTCCAACATCTTCTACGATAGCATAACCAATAACTTCTGGTTCAATTGCTAAATTCATCAATTTATAATTTTACTGTTACCCACTCTGTGAGACGTGTGTTGAGCTCTCCAGTTTCAGAGACATCGAACCAGCCGATGTCCTGCTGCATGATGCGGTGGAAAAACAACGTGCGGATGCGTTTCGCCTGCCGCCCAGCAGAGAGGGTCCAGAAGGCCACCTGCCCGTAGGCCACCACCAAGACGACAAAACCCAATATGGTGTAGCTAATGGCATATCTGCAATAAGAGAAATATTCTGCTAAGACTCAGAGAAAATGTCCCTTCTCTATTTGGTTTAATAAAGTGGAAGTTGTTAAATGACATTCCAATTGAAGATCCCCCAAAAAACTTCAAAAGCAAATCCATCAAAATATTTCACCCCCAAACGGCAACTTGCTCAGTTTCTGCTGATCATGTCTTACTTTGTCATTTCATCCTCTAAGGTGCTGTTTCTTGGTATGGTGATGTCTAAATACACAAGGTAACAAACAACATTGTTAAACGGTGTTTTTTTCTTTCTTTTCTCAACATCATCATCTGTCCATGGCTGGAAACTCACTGGTGGAGTTGATTTGTCCCGACGCAGAGGTCACAAGGCTGTCCGTCATGTCCCCAAACACAATACACATGAGGGGAAGCGTCACGCCGTTGGCGATGGCACAGACCGTCCCGGCCAGGATCAGGAGAATGTCCAAGCCTTTAGCGAACCTAAACTTCACTCACATAGGAGCGTAGTTTAAGAAGGACCAAAAACAGAACGGCAGAAAATCAGAATCTGTATGTCGCCCCTGAAATGGGATGTAAGAACTTGTAATTATGCAATCAAAAGGGGGAAAAGACTTTTATGTCTGAGCACCTATTATATTGTCACAGCAGGGGACATGGGGAGTCAAACCCAAACAAAAGGAGGATGTGCCGCACCCCCGTCCTCTCCCCTCTTAAACCTTTACAGTCAAACATTTCTCACTCAATTCGATGAGAAAGTTTTTTCTAAGTTTATTCATTTATTTATCATTTAATTATATGGAAATATTAAAACAGTAACTTTAATGCAACATTTCTAAAGTATATATCCAGGTTACTGACATACTACTCATGGAAAAGATAATATGATCCTGGGTAAACCTGTTCAGGGAGTCATTTTCTGTCTTTTTAGCCTCATAAAAGCATTTTTTATTTTGCTGCCTATCTATAATAGGCAGCAAATAATAATGAAGGCAGCACAGCTGTAGAAAGAATACAACTGTAGAAAGTATAAAGCGTGTTTCTGACAGAAAGAGTTCGCTTACCACATCGATGGGGCCAACCATGGGCAACTTTGGCTCTTTTTCTTTCTCCTTTTTCTTGTCTTTGCTTTCACTGTAACATATTTTTAAAAATTATGGATATATGAAATATTCTGTACTTGGTCAGAGAGAGAGAGAGAGAGAGAGAGAGAGAGAGAGAGAGAGAGAGAGAGAGAGAGAGAGAGAGAATTTAAAGCGCACCTTAAATGTCCGTTGGGTTGGTTTTTGGCTGCGGCCAATTCATCCTTTTTTTCCTTCACGTCCATGTCTGGTTGTTGTCCAATGATTCCCGTCCCAATACAACCTACTTATCTGATCTTCTATGAGATGAAAATAAAACAAAAAAATCGAATCACCAAAAAGCCTCATCGGGACTCAAAGCGCAGCTTTCTGTCAGTAAACTGTATCATTACTCAGCAGATTATAGTCCAACGGTAAGAAGCAAATAAAGGAAATAAAGCACAAACCTTCTCCTTCTCTCTCTCTCTCTCTCCCGTCCTCGGGAGCCTCATCCAGACCGTCCGGCTGTGAACTGGACTGATATTCACTTCACAACAGGAAGAGGCTCGGAGGAAGACCCCCCCCCCCCCCCCCCCTCCTCCGCCCCCCCGCTCGCTGCAAGGTGGAGCTTGAATTCTACGACGCAATTATCAAAAGCCTTTTAAAAACTGCCCGTTTCAGTGTCGTAATGTACGTTTAACGGTTTGTACCGTTCGGGGGAACGCGTTTAAACCGGAGCGCTTTAATATTTAATATTAATACTTCAAGGCGAAGACTCGATGAGCTGCACATCTGGCAGAGAAATAGTTCCACCATCGATGTATTTGTATCAGTCAGTTATATATATGTATATCCCAAGTCAAGTCAAGACATAAGAAGTTATAACAAAAGCTATATAATTACATCATTCATACTCAATAACCCCCCTCAGTCTATATGCTGATGGGAATATTGTGAATTTGTAGAAATTGCCAAGCTTCCAAATCAGACCACAATGATGTCAATGTGAAAGATTGTGTCACTTCCTTCTTGTGGATCATATCTTTTTTAGAGGGATTTGCTTTAACATTGCTTTATAGGAAAATAATAAACGAATCATTGTGCTTTATAAAACAAATGATAAACTGTGAGTTGTTGTTCTGATATTGACCCCTGACTAAAGGTGAAGAGCAATCACAGTTTGTCTATTTGGTGAAATGCGCGTAGTACTTTTAACTTTTGAAGTGGATTTGTTAATGTTCGACAGCCAACATACCGTTTATAGGATTGACACATTGTTTTGTTAGTAAAGTCCAAAGGTTTCGGCTCGGCAAGTGTCTTTTCGTGAGAGGAGCAGATTCCACACGAGATGATGTAACAGAGGCACATAATGAACTCAAACTGAACTCTAAAACAAAGAATCAGCAACGGGAGCCTGGAGGTGGGTTGTCTGCGTTGTGCTGTTAGAGCTGAGGGCCGAGGAGAGCTCGAGCAATATTGTTGTCTCATTGTCTTCCATAAAAAACACCGAAAACAGTAATGGTACCTAAGTGCTTGAGTGTTTTCCTCTTCACAGATCTTTATACTTTAAGTATATAATATATATATATAGTCCTGTTAGGCTGATGGGGATATAATACATGATGCCATTGACGATGTTGAATAATATTGAAAATACTGAATTAGTCAGTCATCTTCTGTAAGGCTTATCCTTTAAAGGGTGGCAGGAGCAGCTGGAGTTAATTTACATGGCAGGCTGACATAGAAACAGAATCACTCTCTCAATCACACCTACAGGTAATTTTAGAGGCACCAGTCAACATGACGTGGAAGCCTTTTGGAGTGTGGGAGGAAAACCGGAGGGAACCTGAGAAGAACATGTAAACAGGAAGGCCCCTGATGTCTGGCTGGTTTGACCTCTGAGTGCTACTTTATCACGAGATATCAAATGAAATACATATTATCGATTTGACGTTTGTCAATCGTATCCATGATTGAATCAACCGTAGCTTGATATCATATGTTTTGTTCAAAATCTGTTGTTTTTCTGCAGTCAGAGAGATATTAAATTTAATAAACTCCAGTTAAGTAAAAATAACAAGAAATCTCACATTGAATCTTCACTTACTCTTTCTGAAGAGAGTGAACTTAGTAAATAGAGCGTCTCATATAACAAGTGATTATACTGCATGTAATAAGCCACAATGTTGGCTAAAGGTATGGTGCTGTTTATTGATCAACGGACAGCACAATTACAAGCACAAAGAAGTCTGGCATTAACAAATGTGTTTTAATTTTACAGTTCTTAAGTTAGATGGACACACACTGAAGTGCAATAAAGTCAGACTTTACCCATGTTATCATACCCTGTTACTACTATTACTTCGTTATACTTTCCTTTGAAGGTAACGGAAATATCTAACAGTATTAAAATAAGTGCAAAATATAGACACACACTGTATTGTTCTGTAAATACAGGCACTTTTTGTTTGAATCACGTTGATGTATTCCATCTCATTTGTTCAAGTTAAACCAAAGCAGAGCAGAATACAGTTATTTGGTTATTCAACACTGAGTCATACGTAACTCAGTATAGCTCAAGATTTTTACAGCAGTGTCACATGTTTCCTTAAAAGGCTTGTGACATTGACCTCACATCAGGGTAAAAGTCACTCCTGTGGTTTCACGTCTCTCAAGTACACACGTGGAAACTAAAACCTCACGCAGCAGATTAGTCATGCGTCATATTTAAATATTTAAATGGGGGCGCTTGTGTGTCAGCTTACATGTCACACCTTTGTGTTGATTTAAAATCCAACAATTAGATAGATCCTCTCATACAGACAGCCACACAAAATGTATTTTGCAAATTACCCCCAAAAAGTGTGGATTTTATATAAGAGCATTATAAAGATTCTAATATGCAACAGTCCTTGACAGTTTTTTTGTGTCTATTATGTTGTACTCCACATTGTTTGCACATTTCAAAGGCTTCGTGGGGTGACATTATGAACATCCAACATTTGATCGGAACGGATGATGACTTGTATGTGTGTTTTACACCAGTGTAAAATCAGCAAGAATGTTATGGTCAGTTTTCCTTAAGGCCTCTAGATGACGCTCCTCTCCTTCAAGATAACTTAACTGAATTTAAAGGTAGTTAAATATCACAATCAATGATCTAAATGTGGAAAACACCATTTGTTATTTTTTATAGGTTACTATCAACAGCCTAATGTGTTTTAACAGAGGAGAAAAATCTTCAGGTTAAATTATGGTTGATTGAGAAACAACAGGGCAACTGGGTAACAGCAGGGGACCACAAACGTCCCTTTCCCGGGGCCACACTTTCGAGGTCCGATTTAGGGATCCTCACTGCTCAATCTCAATCGTACCAATGCATATGAGCATTTGTGTTTGTTTTTGTTGTCGTAATGAAGACACCAATATACCTTCATACTGTGTAACTTGTCGGTGTGAAGTCATGCACAGCCCCATACGACACAACACAACAACAGGCAAGAAACAACAAGACACGACCTTCTCATCACCAGGCATAGCATACGCACATTTACATTGTGTGTCAAATTGAATTTGTCTTCTCCTCAAAAATAAAATAAATGTTTTGATGGAATCCACTTTGTAACTATTTCTGCTGCCTTGTGCTGTGTGTATTGATGACAATTATCTACTTACACATTTCCTTTAGTTCCCCAAACAATAATAATAGTAATGATATAGACTCGCACTAACAGGCTACAAATAACGTCGTTATTTTGTCAAGTCCCTCTACAGTTTTTGGGACAACATCCTTTTTCAGAGTCCTATGAAAAGGTTGGAAAGATTTACCTTCAAAATAAAGGCAGGCCAACAGACCCATTGAATTATTTAACTCAAAATCAGTATTTGGTGGAATAATAGTAGGCTATGATGTATAAACAAAGCTAAATATGGTGCATGAAACAATATTTAGACGTATATGTTTCATCTATTAAAACAAATATGTGAATTGTTGTTATATTTTATTTGCTCAGAATTGTAATATTATTTTATTTATGTTCAGAAAAACGCTATGTAACGCTATATATTGTATATATGTTTTAATCTATTTTTGCTATAGTATAATTGACAATATTTTCTTTTTTCACACATGCTGACCTGTAACGTCCGCCTTATTAAGCGATCTGCTGCGGTAGCTTTTACTTTGAAGGTACCACCGGAAAGTCTTTTTACACCGCAGGTTACGTTTGCGTTCCGCCCGTCCTTCCCTCCGAGCAGCGCGTACTCCTCAGAGCGGACGGACGGCCGCTAGCCGAACCCCGGTGGTGCAGAGCCGACTGAGCCGGGGACTGCGCACCACCTCCGCCCGCAGCGGCCCGCACAAGGGCCCGGGGGGGAGGGATGGCGTCGCTCGGCGCGGGGCTGCATGTCACCCGCAGGCGCGGAGCGGGCAGGAGCGCCGTGGTGGAGAGAAGGAACTTGCTCACGGTGTGCAGGTGGGAATCCCTCACGTTCTCTCTTCTAATGCCGGGAGGATGAAAACACGTCACAGATTCGTAATTTGGAAATGAACGCTTGGTGTTTGTGTGTGAGGTTATAGCTCGAGGAGCAGGACGGCAGAACCGGTCTCCACACAAATGCGCATTCTCCATCGGTACAAGACGTTACTCCAAATGCACGGGCGAGACAATGATTCCGCGTCTCCTCTGAATGAAAGCACTCAGTCGTTATAGAAACTATATCATTGCGCTATCGTGACGGTTTAGTAGGTCACCTTTTGCAGAGATTCTCACTCACACAAACACAAACACACACATAGCATAATCAGCATAATCAGTTCAGTATAGAATTAAGACCAGAATTTTAGAAATATTCATGAGTTCAAATTCCACAACCCCACCCCAATACAAAAACTGGCTTAATGTTAGCTGCCGAAGACAATTCTTAAAATGTTTTTTATTTGCATTATTATTATTATTTGTCAAATTGCTTTATTAATGTCACTGCTAATATGATATTCACATTTCTTCGATTTTCCTTATTGACAATTTAAAGACACTTAACACACTACCAAGAATATAATTGAAGATATTAATTGCACTTTCATTTTTGCTTTGTTGCCGTAAATTAATTCAATTGATTCCTCAATTGATTTATGAGAAATACGCAGGTTGATAAGCGTGACTGATGCGTAGGTGTATACAAACTTTCCACCAGCCCTTTTCTCATGGCCTCTTTGTCAGAGTATTGATTTGTGGTCCTTTCACAGCTGCTGGCAGATGTCAGATGTCCTGCGGGGCGTTGGAGTCAGAGGAGCAGAATAGGTCAGAGAAAAAGCAAAGACATGCACCAAGGAGGGGTAAAGGTTCAGAAAACAAACTGTTCATGCATCGCTGGTTCCAGTCGGTTGAAAAGTAGCTCGCGAGCCGGAAAAGTGGGGGCGCCCCTGATTTAGGGGGGGGGATCTATTGGTAGCAATTAAATAATCGGTATGTTTTCTTATCCTCCCTCGAAAGTACGAATTGTTTCATTACCTTTAGAAGGCTAAAAACTGCTCCTTTTTTAATGATTGATCAGTTCTACTGCATTCAAGTTTCCCGATTAACCAAAATGGAAATCGGCCCTAATTGATTATTTATTCCTGTGCTAGAAATGTCTTCTGTGCTGAAAATGGAGACCTTTCCTGACCAAAGGTTTAAGACAAATATAATTGTGTGCATAACCTTACGTTGTCAGGTGTGAGTTTTCAAATGTTCAAATGTACGTTTTCGAATGACTCACAGTTTGAATCCATTGTGTCGTGTCGGTTACTTCTCTCATTCATAAGCACAACGTCGATCATTCATAATCGTTTTGAAATGGAATGTTGATGATTATTGTCCGTTGCTTAGCGACTGGATTCTCAGGACTTCAACCACCTTTAGCAATGACGTGAGCTTCCACATTTAAGGTTCCTTAAATAATGAACGTCTCTGGGATTCGCTGAGCTTAAAATCTAGCTAAAAGGAGAAGCGCAGTATAATCTACACAGAGGGAATTACCTATATTTTAAATGCTGTGATGAGCAGAGTTGTTTTTCAAAGTATCTGAAAGTTAGTATACATGAAATGTGATCAAGATCTGCACTTATTCATGGAAAGAAGAGCTATCGGTTTTTAACTTCTGTTGCTGCACGCACGCACTCTGTGGTCACCCTGCTGCTAGGCAACCAGAGCGCGATAACGTCTGATTGTTTAGCTGATGTTAAAGGCAACACACAGTTTGGTAGAATTTTCACAGCAAACACATGCACACAGACACACACACACACAGACACAGGTTGCAGCCTTGTCCATTACCTCTCATGTCTTCCGGTCTAATCAGTTGAAACCAGATTAGGCCGAGTTCACATGACTGTTATCGGGCAGCACATCACGAACTGGTTCCATCACAAAGCCTCATTTCAACTATGGAGGCCATATGTGTTTAAATGAATGCAATATGAAGTAATAGTCTTTATAGGTTGATTGTTTCATGCCAATTAAGATTCTGCGTAAATGTTGCCATACTGTCTTTAAAAAAAGCGGGGATCAAGATATTCCGACTTTTAGTACATGTAACTGAGGTGCTGGCTCCTACTACTCCTGTAACGGGACCAGAAGTACCTTTTGAACTGATAAATAAAACAAAGCGTTTGCATTTTCCTTTGACTCAGGTTTTCCGTGAAGACTCTGCTGGACCGCTCCTGTTTTGAGACGATCGACGACGGATCTCAAGAGTTCATTAACTTTGTTTCCATCCTGGAGCAAATCCTCAGTCATCGCCTCAAAGGTAAACACTCGGCTGGTACTCAGGCTATTTTCATACTACTGAGAGAAATATTTTCTTTCTCGCATTTTCATTGGTGTAGTTGGTAGTGTTAGCAAACATGGGAAGAGGCAAAGGGTTGATCCTTGATAATGGAAACGAGTAGAACCCTTTGTGGTTAAATGTGTCTTCATAACAAAGACGATATGGAAACATGCAGAATTTGAATAAATCGCAGTGAAGTTTAGATCTCGTTTTCCTTTCATTGAGATTAGTGTCAAAATATTCTCAGTATCAAACACAGTATATTCCTATTATACGTATAATATATTATTGAAGTTGATATTCTACTATATTCAATAATCTGAAGGATCCACTTCTGGATAATTAAACTTCTTTGCATTTCTGTCAGCCCAAACAGCCGCTTAAACCTAATTCAGGTTTAATTCTTGAGTTTAGTTTAACTATGATCCTCTTCTTTTTGAATAAAGTATGAATTTGCTGTGTGATTCTGAATTACTTATACCATCATAAATGCAGATTCAAGCTGGTGTTTATTCATCTATCTTTTCCTCTCAGGTCAGACAACTTGGTTCGGCTATGAGAGTCCTCGGAGTTTCTGGGATTACTTAAAAGCTGCCTGCAGCAAAGTCCCTCATAATTGCATCCGAAGCATCGAGAGCATGGAGAACGTGCGATCGTCGAGAGCTAAGGTGAGAATGCTGAGGCAGCAGGGAAGAAAATAACGTGGATCTCTAAATGTCAGACCGCCAAATACCAGAAAGCGTGTTTGGATAGATACATTTAGCCATATAAGCAACGTGAGAATACGCAGACCGCTACACCGAGAGCTCTCTCAGCTTCCACTAACTGAATGCTGCTTATTTTCCCCTGTGCAGGGCCGGGCATGGATCAGAGTGGTCCTGATGGAGAAACGATTATCAGAATACATCTCATCTGCACTGAAGGACTTAAAAAACACAAGGTCTTAAATGAACCGCAGACTGTTTCTGCTTTAACCCAATTATATGTTTTCATCAAATCAAGTATAGAACAAGTTTTTAGAAACATTACGGTGTTGCAGGATAATTTATATCTTCTTTCACACTATCAGTTGTCACACAGCAGTTGTCTAGATCTGGAGGAGCTGAATTACTGCCAACAATGTGCTCACGTGTGTTGACTGTAGGAGATTTTACGAGGACGGAGCGATCCTGCTGGGAGAGGAGGCGGGGCTGCTAGCTGACACACTCATAGGAATCAACACCATCGACTTCAGGTTTTAATCACATTCTACTAATTCTTCCCCCGGTGCGCGTTGTTGTGTGTAGATTTCTCTGCGAGAAATTCAGTTTTTGGTCTCACTGGTAAAGTTATAATCCCTTTTTGAAAAAGCGAGGCAGAGCCAAAAGGCGTTCATGTTAATTAAGCTTAAATGGACATTTTTTATCATTACAGTATAAGTTTCATGTTCTTTATTACAAAAAGCAGATTAATTATAGAGAAGCGGTCACTGACAACAATAAATGAAAACTGATGAAGTACATATTTGCATAGTTATCCAACCCCCTTTAATTGGACCCTCTTAAATGGACGTTACACCTGTAAATCGTGTAAAATAAATGTAAAACAAAACTAAGCAATGCTTTGATTTTCCACCCTGTCTTTTAGCTTCTGTCTGAAAGGAGATACTCTGGATGGCAGCTGCCCCGCCGTGATTGACTACACGCCTTACTTGAAGTTCACTCAGAAGTACGTGTGGTCTAATCACAGTTTGAGTGGTCGGGAGGCCACGTATATTTTTGTAGGATGGACAGATTTGGCTACCGCCGCTGTGCCGGATGCACTATTATGTCTCTGGTTCCCTGTGCAGTGTGGACAGCATCAGCAGCGACGAGGAGGAGATGAGGACTTTGGGGAGCAGCGGCAGTGAGGGCAGCACTCCCGACAAGATGGCCACGGCTGCCTCCATCTTCACAGAGCAGAGCAACTTGGTCAGCAAGTGCAAGCGCTTCGAGCAGAAGTACCGGATGGTGATCGAGCAGAAGGTAGTGTATTTGTGTTTATTATTATTATTATTAATATTATTAGTGACATTTTTCTTTGACGGCATGGTCATTACAGGCTGAAATAGTGTAATTCCAAGGGGGGAGACATTTTTCCATTAAACAACATCTGTAGTTTTTCTTCCATCTTTGGCATCAGCTGTCATTCAAGATGACAGCACTGACTGCAACGGTTGCTTTGAGCCGAAACTTCCCCCACCAGTACCGTTTTAATGCAATAGACCGAATTGGATAACAGAGTGTGTACGTGTGTGTGTTTGTGTGTTTTTGTCTCAGGGTTACCTGGAAGAGCTGGTCCGTCTACGAGAAGCCCAGCTGTCAGAGGCTGTGTCTCATAACAAAGCTCTTCAGCAGAGCCTGGCAGACACACACCTCTCCCACACACTGGAGAAAGAACAGCTTGAGTACATCGTACTGGAACTACAGGACCAACTGTAAGTTCATCCCTGTGTGTGTGTGTGTGTGTGTCAGTGCTTTTGGGGTTACTGACAGCGAGAGGAAGAAGACTATGCAGCAGATCCAGCTGTGAGTCTGACATTCAGGTCACAGCAAGAGGCAGGCGGTTTTCGTTCATTGCTGAATGAATCGCTGCTTTAACCATGTGGAAAAGCTGCAGACTGCCAAGAGGATATTGGTCACCATCTCTGGAAATTAAGCTGCAGTCTCAGTTTTATGATTCATTGGATGTGTTCAGATGCAAAAAGCACCAGTGGCAACACACAGAGAAACTAAGCATGACAATGAGAGTCCAAGATTACTTACTGAGATAATTATGCAGGCAATAGTTTGGATAATCAACCGTGAAAAACATAAATTGTTAATAAAATGAATATTCTTTAGAAAAGTGTTTTGCTTTGTTTAAATTTTCCCCTTGTAATGTATCCATACAACACCCCAGTAATTTCTGCCAATTGTCCACGGGTCGAGATCTAATTTTTGTTTATTGTAAGTTGGCTAACAAACATCTATTGTCTCCAGGACGGTGCTGAAGAACAATGATTTACAGTCCAGGCAAGAGTTGACAGCCCATCTGACCAATCAGTGGCCATCTCCTGTCGCCTTGGATACCAACGCAGTTGCCTTGGACACACTGCTGTACAGGAAGGGCAGGGGACAGTGGGAGGTGTATGTAGATGAGCTCACATCCTCCAGCTTCCAACTAATTGTTGGAAATAAACTTTTGATATTGCTAAATCCAAATTATATATAATTATTGATTTTAATTGTTCGCAATCAACTTTGACATATAATAATCATTTATCTATATTAACTAACTGGCAATTTCTGCTGTCTCATCTCATGTGTAATTCACATGAGTTAGGGATCAGATAGATGGATAAATACTCAGACACAGATACGAAAAACCTCACACATTTTTATTAGCATTTGATTGTTTGTTTAAAAGTAAAGCTATATGAATAAACTGTTATACAAAAATTGTTAGATAAAAATAACCCCACTTTTATATTTTGTTTGTAGCAGGTTAGTGAAAGGACCTTAACTGATTGGATTGATCTTACCCTACTTCACAAGAAATATTAAGTAAAGATCTTAATCTTAAACTAGGTGTACTGCAGCAAAATATGGAAATTATTGGTCTGCTGCATTTTAAGATACCTACATAAAGTGTGTCTGATGCCTCTGAAAGCCAAAAGGTATCCAATATTTTTTGGGAGGAAGAGGAAAACCAGCAAATGGTTATATTTTTATTTTTGCATCTATTCAATGTTCAACTATTGAAAACATATTTTCTTTTGATTGCCTGGTTGTTACAGTACTCTTTGTCGTCTCTCTTCTAATTGCAGGAAGAGTTTCCAGAGTCTGCAGCAGTTGTCTGCAGACATGAGCCTCTCCCAGACGTCTCTTGAACCGTCACACACCCTGAGTCTGGAGGCCCGGCCGACCGGCACACACTGGCATCACCCAGGTACGTCTCTGTAGCCGTGATAGCGCTACCACCGACGGGTTCTGTACAGACGCACGGACACACGATGGGAGTAACCAGTTTTTATTGTCCAAAAGGGGGATGGCAGTGAGCAGGAATAAGCCCGTCGTTCGCACTCGGCTCCGCTCTGTCCAGCTTCGCTCAGCTCTTGCGTTCTGCTCCCGTGCTCCGCTCAGCTCTGCTCGGCTCAAGTTCTTCCCCCCCGACCTGGATCCTGCTCACTGCTTTTGAAGAAGGCAATTAGTGCAGATTCCTCACACCTGCTTACTCTTCACCTACCAGCACCGTCCCCTGAACCACTCCCCCGCTCTCCCCCCTGCAGCTGAGCTAACCACGCCCCTCCACCACAGTCTCCTTCTGGCCAGCATTGTTTCCCCACAACAAAGTACTGATGATACTATGTTGTTGTTTAGGTAAAGAGGAAACTCCATCCCTAAGAGGTCTGTGTGGCTCCCTGACCTCAGTCGCCAGCTACAAGTCGTTGGGCAGCCTGAAGTCCAACGAGTGTTTGGCCAGTCCTGCAGGAGAGATCAGCAGTCCCGGCTTCACCCCCTCGTGAGGAACAGAAAGCTACATGAACGAATCTCCGCCAGGGCCAGACAATCCTGGAACTTTTCTAAAGTGAAGAAGTTTTATATTGCTTTGTAGACATTTAGTGTGTGAGAGAGCTTTAACAGATGGAAGTTGGGTTTACAAGTTGAGAATCTTGTGTAGCATCATGTTCTTTGAATTGTATTGAATCTCAAAAGCAGCTCCAGATGTTTAATTTATGTACTGTTCGGCTAAAGATCAAAAGGTTCCCCAAGAGATTTTAGCAAAATACTAATGGGCTCGTCGGTCAGTCTCCTGCAGATGAGAGAGTCCTTTTTATTATTTTCTGTGCCATTGCTGCTGCTAATGCATTCATTTAGTATTATCTTTGATTTATGATAAATGTAACCTCACTTTTGTAACATTTCGTCAAATAATTGCTATAATGCCGTGTCACGTTTTGTGTAAGGTGTAAATGTTTTCAGTTTTTTATTTGATTATGATGTCAATGTTGTGCATAACTCATGCAATATCGTGCAATATGTTTTGTTCTCAGGTGTTTATCGCTTTGATTAATATTTACCATCCACTTCTAGGTTTACTTTAAAGTTCAGATTAATGAGACAAAGACTCCTGTTATTATTTGCGTAATGTCGGTGCACACTGCCATGCATTTGTGTGACCATCAGAAGCTGCTTGCACAAGTTTAGACTGTGTTTTTACTGTGTATCAGCAGAGAAGCCAGGTCATCATTTTGCTTTAAACCTTCAACATTTTTGAGTGTATCACAAATCACAAATGTAAGCCGGTAAAAAACAATGTGTGTGAATACGCTGTAACATGATAGACTGTCGAATTAAATGCAGGTCTCAAAACCAAATGCTTGTGGAGGCAGCTCAGAAAATCCCTGCTGAGTGGAAGAGTGGAAGGAAGAGTGCCGGAGAAACAGTGTAAATCAATGGTTCCAAACTTTGGAGGAGGAAAAATGTTCATGATCCCCCGTCCCAAACAAAACAAACAAACTGAACAAAATTATTCATGTTGAAGTAACATTTAGTGACCCCCCCCCCCCATCTATGCTTTTTCAAATAATGGAATAAAACACAGAGGGGCGGCACGGTGGTGTGGTGATCAGCACTGTCGTCTCACAGCAAGAAGGTCCCGGGTTCGACTCCGCCCAGTGGCCTTTCTGTGTGGAGTCTGCGTGGGTTCTCTCTGGGTTCTCCGGCTTCCTCCCATTGACTTTAAATTGCACGTAGATGCGCGACCCTGTGCCCAGGATAAGCGGTTTGACGATGGATGGAATAAAACACATAGCAAACCCCTCGAGTAAACCAGATTGCTCCACCAGATAAAAACAAATGCTGATAAAGTTCTATCGGTTCAAACAAAACATATTATGCAAAAATGGATTTCTGCAGCTGTAATTAATCTGTTTTTCACATTTCAACATTTCAACATTTTTTTTCAAGATAGTCCAACCTCTGAAAATGTTCTATTTGGCAATAAAGAGTTCTACATTTCTTGTCTTTTCAAAACAACAAAAACGTGTTAAACAAAGTTAGTGCAGATATGTATGAGCAATCTCATATTCATAAAACAGGCTTTTTTAGTATCAATGGCTGCCAATCTTTTCAAACAAGGTTGCAGACTTGATACGGCCTGAGTTCTGAGTGAGGCAACCGCAGTCTGCTTTCTTTGTACTTTTGTAATATGGAAAGTTCTCAAAGTTCTTGAAATAAAATAATTTCTCTATGCGCCGCATCCTTAATACCACTGTGACCCACTAGAGTGTCACACCACACTGTTTGAGGAAAATATGAGCGGGGTATTCATCCCTGTGGAAAAACAGAATAAAAAAACGTTTTGAGCAATTTGTTATGCCGAAAGGTGAGATTGTGTTGAGTAATCTAGAATATGAATTATGCTGGGTTAATTGATTTGCCGATTGATTTGATGTAAGAAACTTCATGTCACCTTCCATTACAGCACTCTAGGAAAAGAGTAATTATTTAAGAGTAAATAATTCGGTGCCATTGATGAAAACTCCACTTACAAGCGTGATAACTGTTATTATTGCTCTCAAAACATCTCTGCACATATTTACAGCAAAGAAGTCTTTTTCTCTGTTGGTGTGCCGACATTTTTCAAACTGTTCGAAAGGATTTTTCAGCCCTAATATTTGTGACTTTTTTGTCATGGAGAAAAGTCACTCACAAGAATTTAGAATGAAGTATAAAAATGTCACAGGGACAAAATATATCTCATAGAAATCTCATAGAAACAGAAAGTACAAAATATATTTGGTTAAAAATGTAATGGAAAAAAAGTAAAAAATAATGTCATATAAATCACAATAATTATCTCAAGAAAAGTTAATATTATTGGGTCGAAAATGTTAATGGAAAAAAGTCCATTAATATTACATTGACAAAGGTCATGGAAAAAAATCCCAAAAAGTATTTTGGGAAGATACACATATTGAGTCAATGAATTACATGGAAAATAAGTGAAAATATATTGGAAAGTCAAAATATGTTGGTTCAAAAAATGTAAAGGAAAATGATAACTTTGCATTTAGTTTTACTTCTTAAATCTTATTGTTATAATTATTAGAATGCATTATTATTACCAGGTGTATTATTTCCATTGAATCCTATATCAACACTGCCTGAGGTTTCCAGCTCATTTTGTCTCTGTTTTCCCATTGCTGGAGTTGGACCCACAGTGTGTATACACACCGCACCTGCAATAAAGGAAAAACCTGTTTTTTTGCTGATGTACAAATATACATTAAATTCCCACTTTGTTCTTCATTTACTCTACGCTGATAAAAGGCCGCGTCATGTACGGTGCACCCTTTCAAAGGGTGATACGCCCCAAAGATAAACACTCTTTTTAAAGTGAATGTACCTGCCCAAATGGCCATTGTTTGCCATGTGGTATCTGCACTGAAACTGCGCTCTGATGCAAGAGTGACGTCAGACTGGGTATAAGAGTTGTGGCCATGCCTTGGACCTCCTGTTTGTGTTAAGCCCTGGACCCTTTACACCGAAGACCTCCTTTTCACAGGCCATACGCAAGACTCAGGAGGAGAGACCAGGTGAGATATGGAGCGAGGTGTCCTCCAAACTGGGGTTTGTCCAGTCCATCGCCATGGAAGTCTTTTCATTTAAATGAAATGCACTTAACTGATTTTGGCCGATGTATTCAAGATTCAAGATTCAAAGATTCAGAGATTTTTATTGTCAATTACACACGCCCTGTGTATTAAAATTCTTGTGCTTGCCTTTTCTGGAAAGCCAACGAATTTTAAAATAAAAACAAAAATACAATATTTACATAAATGTACATGAAATAAAAATAAGGCAGAGAAGGTTGAGCAGGTTGTAAAAAAAAACTTAAATTAAATGAAATGTGTGCAATATAAATGAACAGTACAGTAACAGTAAGTGAAATCCTAACAAGCTAAATTATTGCCTCTCTAGTACTATTAAGGAAATAAGCTTAAATTGGCTCTTGGTGGAATTAAAACCTGGAGAATCTTTCAGGACTGGACGGGGTATTTGTTTTTGGAGAAACACAAATAGGGCTGGAAAATATTACTAGATTTAAAGTCAACCGGCATCTTTATCTTTATTTTGAATAATACTGTCCCTTACAACAATATCTGTTTTTAGATTTTAATGTTCACTTCTACTCACAGCGATGGAATTCCAGTCGAACGTGATCAACGCGCAGCCTCAGGTCTCCGTCACACAGTACACCGTGTCAGCCGGAGTATCCGATTGGAGTTCAAACGTGTGCGACTGCTGTGACGACTGTGGCATCTGTAAGCGTTAACACGTGTGTGTGTGTGTGTGTGTGTGTGTGTGTGTGTGTGTGTGTGTGTGTGTGTGTGTGTGTGTGTGTGTGTGGAAGTGAACAAAAAAACGAACACAAACTGTGAAATGAATTCCAATGTGACACGGCACCTCTCACCTGCAGGCCTCTGTGCAACATTCATCCCTTGTATCCTGGGCTGCAAGGTGGCTCAGGACAACGGGGACAGCTGTTGCCTGCCTTTCCTTCCGGGTGCCATGATTGCTCTTAGGACGAGCATCCGCGGTAGATACCATATTGAAGTAAGTAAAAAAAATGGGCGCTATTGTGTCGTAAACTGTGAATCTGGTCGGAGGAAGGTACTCCTACAGCCAGCCAATGTTGTTTGCGTGAGATATCGGATGTTTGTCAGCGGTTAACGGCTGCGTGTGGTTCTCCCCAGGGTTCGGTGTGTGACGACTGGGTAATCATGGCCTGCCTCCCGCTGTGTGGACTGTGTCAGATGGCACGTGAGCAGAAGAGGAGAGGATAAAAAGATGGGACGTTGAATCAAACTTTAAAAATGACAACAACTATAAATAAAGAATATGTGGTAAATAAGAAGGAAGGCTTGGAACAGGTCGCAGAATGTAATGGAAGGAAATGCAAAAATGTAATCAGGCCTCTTAAATTGATACTTACTGTGATGAAATTGTGTTAATGGTGAATTTACGCACATTTATTTGCAATTAAATCATACCTAAACAGTGCTTTCCTTGCATATAATATTATTCAATAATGTATATCATCTAGGGGGGATTTACTCAGATAGTGTAGATTTATTCAGGAAACAGACTTTCAATAAAAAAAACTCTCTGGATTAGGACCTCGTGACTGAAAGCAATAGAACGGGTTGCAGCCTTGTTCCTCTTTCTGATTTACTGTGAACTCCAGAGGTCCACGATGCAGTACAAGCAGCTCTTTGAAGACGCAGGGTGAGGTGAACAACATTCACTTTTAACAGGTGCAGACATAGATAATAATGGCATTAACTTTAAATTCAAACATAGTAATGTAGGAGGATGTTGGATAATTTGTAACATAAAATATACAATAATACGATTGACTAATGCTACTGTTACTTATGAACAAAATGTTAAAATAATTTAGTTATATTTTACTTTAGTGTTATTCTTTCATTCCAGGCCAATTTATTTTCTGTTTAGCCAAAGATGTTCGGTATCAGATGTGTGAAAAGAAAAAGAAACATCAGGCGCCAGAGGAGGAACACAAGCCCAGCGTGAAACGGGATATGAGAGCTCTTTAAAGAGGAACCCTGTATTCCCCTTTATGGAGGGGAATATAACACCTCAGATGGGATTATTGAGTTATGTGACAAAAGATTTTCTAGGGAAACTATTATTATACATATTTGTGGATTGAGTCCTATTTCGTACACGTTTCTCCAAGCCGTTTGTCCAAGTTTGTCCTAGTAAGTTTGACAAGTTTGTCCTAGTAAGTTTGACAAGTTTGTCCAAGCATCCAGTTATTACACAGGAGACGTACGGCCGGCTTGCTCCACACACACGGATACTGTCAATTACAACCAGGCAGTGTCCAGTATCCAAAAGGGTTATTGGTTTGTGTTCAAATAATGCTGTAACAATGTAACATAACTTTTGCTTTTACACGGGACACAAACAGCAGTCCTGTGTTTGTCTGAACCACCACACCTTCTCTTATGCCGCTTACTTACTCACTCACTTGCTCTGCATGACGCTTGCTGTAATGCGTCAAGTGCTCTGCCCAAAAGCAGAACAAAAACATTCCCACGCAATGTAGTAGCCATGGTTTGAAGAAAAAAAAAAAAGAAGCGTTGTTTCCTGTTAACTGGACTGTAGGCTCCAATAAAGTGCATCTTGATGGTTCCTGTTCCAGCGTCTGCGCTGGCTTTCATAACGCAAAAAGGAAAATTTAATTCAGACTTTTGTTGCGCAGCGACAGACAGATTCACTGACAAACTCGTTCAGCGACAGTAAGCGTCCGGCTGGTGAATGAGGAATTAATAACACTGAGTCCAGAAAACAGCAGAGTGACAGCAGGGGAAGCGCCATCATATATTCACCAGTATCTCATGTGAAATAAGACCAAATCTTGACCAAACCAGAGTTGGTGAATCTTGGAAGTTGAAAGACTAAGTTGATGACTTTTACATTTTGTCATTGTCAAGTTTTAATGCAGTGTGTTTTGCAATTGCTGAGGAAAAATGACTGTGTTTTACATTGGAATCTTGCGACTTTAAGAAGAGCATATTAAATGTATGTTTTGAAATTGAATTCATTCGGTTTTAATACGCCTACATGTATGAATCGGTTTACATTGTTTTGATAAATTCAAAAATAATACTGCTATTATTAATTGAAATGCACAAAATTATTTTAAATGAGAGTTAAAACATAAACATCCACGCTGCACACTTTCTGGATCCATCATTCCCAGGAAGCATCCTTGACTTTGTAGAAACACTCTTTATTTTGAACAATATGTGTACGTTATTCCATGTGCAATAGCTCAAAGAATATATTTAAAAGGTTGGCTTGCATGGTTTTACAAGAAGATAAACATCACACATATATAACAACATGTACAGTAGGATTAATGGCAAAATAAAGACTGTGGTAGCAGCTCTGTATTAAATGTTAAATGCAGGTGACTGGACATGAAGCGTGAGTTCTGCTCTCTTTCCTCAGATTGCTGCACCTGTTCGGTTGAATGACCAGCTGCCTTCTTCACAGAGGTTTGCCACAACATATTCAAACAAAACAAGAAAGTAATCAGAGGACTGTCCTGCTGATCTCAAACCAGACAATATGGCGGGTTTAACCTATCAGCTCTTTTCAATAGCCGTCGTCCTTGGTGCGGTTCAACCCATCGGGGGCTACAGCTTCAAAAACTGCATCGGAGACTCATACTCAAAAAACTTCAACTGCATCAACCGCAAGGAAATGAACACGAGCGCCATTATCAAGGACCTGCCGCCAACTGCAATCAATCTCACCATCTCCTACACTTTAATTGTTCACATCCCCAAAGAGAGCTTTGTTCATCTACCAAACCTCCGGAACCTCAGATTGGATCACAATCACTTGAGCAACATTGATGACGATGCTTTCCGAGGCTTGAATGAACTCAAGTCTCTCAACGTGTCCTTTAACAACATACGGGAGCTCAGCCCTTCAGTGTTTGACAACTTAAACAACCTGAACTTTCTCTCACTGACGAACAACAGTTTGAAGCAGCTCCCCCGGGACATTTTCTCCAATCTTTCCCATCTGGACACTTTAGTGCTGGGACAAAACTTTCTGACAAATTTCTCAGGGATCGCTGAGTCAGTGTCACATCTACAAAATCTGAGCGTACTGGATCTTTGTTCTAACAACTTGACCTCTCTCAGCCATTCAAATGCATCTCTACCCAAATCCCTCACAACATTATTCTTGTGTAAAAATAAGCTGGTCAAATTGGGATGTAAGAATCGGTTTCTCGGGTTCATCCAGGTGTTGGATCTGTCACAAAATCTCCACCTCGATTCGACGGCCTTTGAAGAAGTCGATCTCAGTCATATAAATGATCTGCGCCTGCGTTCAACCAGTGTCGATGTGCTGACGTTTTTAAATATCAGCAATGTCAATGCAAGACATGTGGATTTCTCTGGCACACATCTAAACAACACCAGGCTGACAAAGTTGTGCAGGTTGTTACGGAAAAAAGGAAAAACGATTAGAAAATTAAGCCTGGGTTATAATCAGATTCACAATCTAACAAATCAAATGCTGGAATATTGCCCCACTATCACGGGGAACCTGGATCTCACCCACAACAACCTAAATAGCACAAGTTGTCTGGAGTTCATCAATAAACAGAAATCTATAAGTAGCATCAATGTAGAGCATAATCATCTCACCATCCTCCATAGCTGTCAATTCTATTCTAATAACGTGACAGAGGTGAGCTATCGCTACAACCGCATCTTGACAGTCTTCGCTTATGCTTTCAATTCTACGCCGAATGTTAAGACGCTGGAGCTTAACATAAACATAATTGCTTATTTAGATTGTGATGCTCTCAGCGGGCTAACAAGTCTTGAGACACTACGTTTGGATAATAACATTTTAACTGATTTGTTGCAGTGCATGTTTAGAGATAATCACAATTTAAAAATCCTTAACCTACGCAACAACCGCATAGCCGTTATTTTTAAATGGACATTTTTCAATCTCAGCAGTCTAACTACGCTGGATCTAGGAGGTAATAAGATAACTCACTTTGAGGAATCTGGCCTTGATGGACTAAAAAGTCTGTCCAAATTCTATCTAGATGGAAACAACCTCAAACAGATTGACACTTCCTTCTATCATGTATTTCAAGACACACTAACAACGCTGGATTTACAACGTAATCAGATTCGCTTCCTCAACGAAGAGACCAGTTCACCCTTCAGGAATCTCAGCAAACTCAGTGATCTGAAACTAGATGGGCAGCGGCCGTATGGCCTCACGGTTTTACCCCGCCATTTTTTCCGTGGCCTCCACTCACTGAGATCTCTGTATCTCACCCACAATGATATCTTTTTTCTTGAACCGGATGCCTTCGATGATCTGACAGGCTTACAGTTTCTCACATTGGATAACTGCTGTGTGGGGGCGACGCAACTACAACCGGGAGTCTTTAAAAATATGCGAAATCTGACCCTGTTGGTGTTAGAAAATATGGGCATTCAGAACTTCTCAAAAGACGTTTTTGGGAATCTCACACAGTTAAGCAGACTGCAGCTCAACCGCAACGTTATGCAGATCGTTGATGTTGGTGCATTAGAAAGTTTACCTAACCTCAACTACCTCGATATACGCAACACTCCTTTAATATGCACTTGCGACAACAGCCTACTGCAAAACTGGACAGTATATTCGAATGTTCAGGTGGTCTATCTGTACAACCTGCTGTGCCCACACGATCCAAAACAGAGATTCTACAACTTTGACACCAAAGTTTGTTACCAAGACGTAGAAATGTACCTATTCATAAGCACAGCAGTTGCAATCTTTCTATTCACAGCAACTCCTTTACTTTATATCAAACTCTACTGGAAAATGAAGTACGGCTACTACATGTTCCGTTCCTGGTTTAGCGAGCAGTGGCGAATACTCAGGGAACAGGAGGAAAATTGCAAATACGATGCATTCGTTTCCTACAATTCCGCTGATGAACAGTGGGTCATGGAGCAGTTAATGGCCAACTTGGAGGGGAATGGATCGTCTTTAAAGCTGTGCCTACATCACAGGGACTTTGAGCTGGGCCGGGACATTGTGGACAACATCGTCTCTGCTGTGTATAGCAGCCGGAAAACCATTTGTGTGGTGAGCAGGAATTTCCTAAAAAGCGAGTGGTGCTCTCTGGAAATCCAACTGGCCAGCTACCGACTCTTTGACGAGCACCGCGATGTTCTCTTGCTCGTGTTCTTGGAGGAAATCTCTCAGAGGCAGGTGTCCTCCTACCACCGCATGAGGAAAGTCATGTTAAAAAAGACTTACCTGCAGTGGCCTGGCTCGGACTGCACTAACCCGACACAGGCCCAAGAACTGTTTTGGAATAAGCTCCGCAGGGCAATGAGGAGCGGGAGCAATCCGGAGACGGAAGAACAGCACAGCGAAGGTTGTAAAGAAGAAAATAGAGAAACTGAGACCCACACATCAGATGAAAAGTATTACTTGCTACCGTGAAATTATTTTGTGATTGTCAAGTTAAACCTCATCTGTGTTAAATGAATAATCACATTTTCTGTTGTTTGAAGAGGGACATTTAATGTGGTGTAAATATGATGAATTGTAAGACTAATCATTTCTCAGAAATATTATTTTGATAAATAAGTACTTGGTTTAGTTTGATTTAGCATGTATTTTATACCATTGCAAAGAATGTGTTTAATTCCAATTAAATGTGCACAAACAACAAAATATAAAGTGGCATTCACAATAGTACATTGTTAGTTATAATCTTTAACCAAGGATGCAAACAATAAATTACATGCTTGTATGTATTGCAGCTGCATAGGTCAAAACACAGAGGCAATTCTTGAGATGTCAGCTCTCGCTATCGCGTTTAGTAAATATGAGCAGACAACACATAATTTTGCTGACTGAACAAAATAAATTGATGAATGAACTGGAATAATTGTTTTTTAAGAAACATTCATTAGTACAGTCGCATAGGAGGGAGGGACCAGTGGTCAGGGCTCGGGAAAAAATAATGGGGAGCTGCCGTGTCTCTTTCAAGGGTGTGAGATGGTGGGTAGTGAGTCATGTCGGGCAGGTGGGACCTGGATGGAGGGCAAGTTGAATGACTACCGAACTGGCTCAAAGGTTGGAAGCTCTGTAGAGGATGGGGAACTTGAGCGCAATGGGAGGTATCATAATAATATCTGTCGGTTTCCAAGGGGTCTTTGTCCGGGGGAAAGCGCTCGGCTGAACGTCCACCTGGCAGCTTCATCTGGTAAGGAAACAAAGGCTGCATGTCGCTGCTACTGTATTGAGACCCACTGCTTCTCTCTGGAACTGCTTGGGTTTCAAAGAAATCAAACATAACACCCATGTTCTTCTTTGGCTTGTTGAAACCGTCTCCCCAGTGCTGAGATACTGAGGCCGTTTCTTCCCAGCATGAGGTGGAGGAGAACAACTTATCACTGGTTCCCCTTTGGGAGGGCTCAAAGTCCATGCAGGTCAGATGAGCGTAAGTAGGTGTGAGGAGACCATCCAGAACGCTGAGAGAAGTTTCCATGGGGCTTGTCAACCAATCAGCAGTCTTTACATAAAAAACAGAAGACATTTTATTTCCGGAATTATGGAATCAGAAATGATCTGTGTATTACTAAAGGAAGGCTTAGAGCTGGATTATATGTATAATAAAAACAAACAAGAAAGTAACAAGGTAAATGTAAAAGGGTACCTGCTCCAGGTTTTGGTGTCGCTGTGGCCTGGACTTCCAGCTAAAAGGTATACTTCCCGTCATCTGGAAAGATGTGGTTTTCTGGGTTTTGAAACACGGCTGACTTGCTGTATCAGATGGAAATGCTGTAGCACCTGAAAGGTTAAAAAAATACATGACTGGTAGTTGGTGGAGAGACATTTATGACATTGGGCGTATAAATAAAACTCACTTGACATGCAAATAAACTTAGTAATGCTCCAACAAAGCTGAATTCTAGCGAACACAGATGCAAACAAGGAACGGTTCAAATTCTGCTTTGCAAACGTTCTACAAAAAGGAGCAGTGGGCAAGTTACTGAAAATTAGTATTTAGTTACAGTTACTAGTTACTTCTTTTAAAAGGTAATTGAATTACTTACCAGTTACTGTGTATGAAAAGTAATTAGTTACTCTGGAAAGTAACTCTTAAGTTACTTTTATGTCTGCTTTTTAAATGTAATGAATATAAATAGTACTGAACAGTCAAACACAATAAACATATTTTTTAGACCTATTTCTTGTAATCAACAGGGCAACAGGCCTTCAAATCAAGCAATAGTACAAAAGTCCTTTTTAATACTTAACTTAGTACGAAATAACTGTTTCAGGCATTACCCTGAAGGCAACTGACTCGACAGTTGACAGGATGCATCTCATCTTCAACATACCGAGCAATCAATCTATTCAGCTCTGTCCGGTTTATCGGCTGCACTGCAGTCCGTGTAAAGTGGAGCCGTGGTTGTTTGCGTGGAGCGGCGCCTGCAGCATCCGCGGGCCTGCGCTCTTTCGTCATGAGCGACGCGATGCTGTTTACATGCACATACGCCGACTATTCTGTGACACACAACGTTTGGTGGCCACAACTATTTTGTGCTGACAGGCAGCTACTATTTGCCGGCCCTCCGCTTCGCTTCACAAAAGAGAGTAACAAGAGTAACAAACTCATTTCAATATCAGTAATTGTAACTAGGTTAATTTATTTAAAAAAATACTTCGTTACATGCTTGTTACCGCTAAAAGTAGTGGAATTATGGTTACTTTGTAACGCGTTGCTCCCAACACTGATAATGAGTACCACTGAATGTAAACATCACTTTTGTTGACAGGAAAACTCCACAGGGCAGCTTTAAATATGGATAACGATCATAGCATAGTAAACAGTATCATCAATATTGAGGTCAAGTTATCACTTAAAAACAACCTTGGTGTATTTAAGTGCCTACCTGGAGGCAGGAGCTTGTCTGTCATAGTTAGCTCCTCATCCCAGACTTTCTCTGTTGGACCAGGACCAAAGCTGAGGCCTCGCTGCACCACAAGGAGGTTCTCCTGAAGCCGGGGTCCATGACTCTCCTGTAGAGCTTTCAACAGCACTTCCCTGCTCTCTGCCACCAGGTTTCTTCTTCTTCTTAGAAGTGGGAACTGCAGAAAGTCACATAAACTTGCTGCCACCGCAGCAACAGCCTTCGATGCCCAGCGAGCATCTTGTCGTCCGGGCTGTATGTCGAAGCTATCTACAGAGCCTGAGCTGGAGAGCGGAGTTGGGCTCATGCTGGGACCATGAGCTAGTGTCTGGTGGATTGGAGACTCTGGGTTATTTGGGGTGTGCTCCACAGTAGAAACTGTGTGTCTATTCGCCTTCCTGCTTAACGTCTTCACATTTCTATCTTTGACAGCAGTGAGAGTCAGCGGTGACTCTCGGCCCTTTGCAGGCAGAAGTTTTGTCTTCTTGCTCTGAATTATGGCTGCATCATGGGAGCTTTGTTTAGAGGAGACGCTTTTAAAACTTTCACATGAAGGATCAAACTGTTGCTGCGGCCTTTGTCCCGGAGTAATATCGGATTGGGGACTGAATTTCTCCTCTTTCTTACGGCAATCATCAGGGGCAGATTTCCTTTGAAATGGCAGAACCGCATCAGCATCAGTAGCCAATAAATCGTTAGCGAGGAACAGCAAAGGAACGTGAGATGTTGAAGATGGATGTGGAGTAGAATTTTGCTCTACTTGCTGTCCACTTTGCCTCTGCACACTTAGCAAGCGTTCTATGTCAACGGACTTCACCTCATGGTTGAACAGGCCGTGGTGTCCTATCAGGCGACGGTCCGTGATTATGCTTGGCTCTTGTGCAGTAGGAATGACGTTTGCAAATGGAGCATTTCTCTGTGAAGCACAATGACAGCGGCTCTGAAAATAGGCCATGTCTTGAGCCCTTTGGCAGAGATGATGCCGATGTGCTTTGGACTTTGAGGCTTCTTTCCGGTTATCGCTCCTCTGACTCCTCTCCTTGCGGCTCCTCAGTCGTTTCATTCTGTGCTGCCTATCTGTCTTATTAGAATGGTTTAAACTTTTGCAGTCCGTAGTGAATCCCTTAACCAGTTTTTTGTCCTTGTTGAAAACATTCAACAACTTTTTTTGGTCTGATACAGCCCTGCCACACATGCTGCACCAGCTTCTGTAAGTAGAAAAATGCAATTAGAATTTTTCACATCTGTAGAAATAGAGAACCAAACAGCTGGGCCTCTTGTGCAGAGTTACTTATAGTCTCAATGACAGTGGTTGAATAAAAATGTTAAGCCTTCTGAGGACTGTAACATTTTGGATCATAGATACTAAAAGTTAGGTACTTTTCTTAATAGATATGGAAGATAGGTCTGATTATTTTATTAATCATTTTATTGAAACTTTCTCTTCAAGAGCTTTTACATTAAGTGCAATTTTAGCATTTCACCTATTTACACTTTACTGTTCATGAGCCTGTGCTCAGTGATGAGGACTATAAATAGCATACTTTAGTATTATATGATATATAATATTTTCTAACATAAATACATGATCATTTTATTGTTTGTTGATGGCATTTAGACTGTTATGATAGAAACTGGAACAGCTGCTGATTGAAAGCAGCCATAATTTGGAGATTTTTGGACTAATTAAAATTGGCCAATATCTTAAAGCCTTGCTCCAGTGGATCCGGGTTTCCCCGGGCAGATAATTAATCAACTTTACATGATGGACAGAGCGCGAGTGTCTCTTGTCAAATGCAGAATTCATATCTTTAAGAAAGATTCAGATGTTCTTGCAAGTTTTTTATGGAGGGTCAACAGTCTTTACCCAAGTTGCAGTGGATGTAAATATCTTTTAAGCCGCTATTTCGAACACATTTCTTCCATGTGAAAAATATGAAATGGTAACTAACGTATTCACACTCTCGCATAGAGGCCAAACTAGAAATTAGATACAGAACAGATATACAGATCAATATAGTATTACATTTTGACCAGCTAATGGCCATTGGCGATTGAATGTCTTCTCAATTATTATATAATTAATATGTCAAAAACTATTTAGTTAATGTAGCAAAACGGTTAGCTATGCTAGCTAGTTAGCGTTATGTGGTAAGCAAACAGGTGACTTTTTAGGGCAATCACCAATTTTAAGAGAAGCCCACGTGTATGACTTTATACTTAGAAACAGAAAACTAACCTTAACTCTACGTAAACGTCAGACGACTCAAGCAGTAAATACTTTTTTTATACAAACCTAAAATCGTAAATTAGCGGCGCTGCTTACCAAGACCGTTATCAAGACCGTCAATACTAACGTTAACTTGTTTTTTTCCAGTTATAATTCTGTCGTTGCTCAGCAACATGTCGAAGTAGATGTGTTTCTCTGCGCAGCAACAACTCGCGCGAACACAAACGAGCCGGGCGAATCCACTTTCATAAACTAGCAGGTACAACTGTTTAATCCTTTATATTCTTACTAGTTTGAACAATGTCTGATTCATAATTTCTTTATGATGTATGTTTTTAATCCAATTTATATCATATATTAACAATAAAATATCGAACAAGCTCAAACTATACGTAAAAATGTATGTTGTTGCCCAGGGACAACAATGGTATTGCCAACTGTAGTGAAAATGTACTTCCTGAAACTGAATTGGGAGATGACGATTTTTTGATTTCATGGTAACCTATGTTCTCTAACGTTAAATGCAGCCGCGATAGATAGCTCGTTTTTTTCCCTTTTTGCAGAATACAGAGTTGTATAATTGAACTTTAATAACAATATGTGTTAATTGTTGGAGCGGTATCTCGGTTAAACTAGCTACATCATTCTTGTGTTCCAGCAAGTCGGCTAGCTGCTGTGGCTAATTCTACCTAGAGCCCTACATTTAGCTTGCAGTTATAGCTATTGTCTGTGCATGATCGGTTTGTTTTCTGTTGTAAAATAGTGCCAACAACCCTCCGTGATTGCTCTCCCAAAACAGATAAGAGCCAAGTCATGAGTGCAGAAGACCCAAACCCAGCCGCCACACCCACTCCCTGTGAAGACACCCAGGGAGATGGACGATGGATTTCTCTGGTGTGTGAAACACTATTGCGAGTTTTCTATTACATTCGTAGGTTTAGCAAAATTCCAGTATAACAGCCCGGAATTCCCAAGCTGTCCCGGGCTGCATTGTCGCTAAAGTTCCGTTTTGTGAAAAAAATAAGACAACAACAGATTTGCAACAAACACAATTGTGATTGTAAATGAGCAGTTTTTCGATCCAGTGAGGAAATCTTCCCTTGAGTATTCCCGGCAAATTTTTCAAATTTCAATATCTTAATTGCATCTACAAATGGCAATTGTGTGTGTATGTTTTTCTATTTAGATTAAAATCTTTATATTTGTCTTTTTCTTTAACTCTTTGTAGCACAACCGCTTCGTGTCTGACAGCAAAGACAAAGAACCCGATGTCCTGTTTGTTGGAGACTCTCTGATTCAACTCATGCACCAGTTTGGGGTAAAACATAAATCAACACTGAACTGTGTCTGGTTTTGTATGCAGAGTTTGATAGTATGTCTTGTTATCATATAATTGATGCATGCTTTCAAATAGTGTGAACTTTGGTTGTAGCATCCCTTCAACTTGGAATAAACAGGCTTGGGAGTGTTTCCAGACGGGTGTACTTTAATTCAGATGAGTGTGCATAGCACCAACACCAACATCAACACCGTGAAAACTAAAAAGGGAAATAACAAAGGCAATTTAGCCAGATACAAAATAATCCTTTGACAAATGCACTTTAGCATACATGAATAACAGCATAGCAGGCAACAGTCATTATATAAAATGAATTTTCATGAAATACAATTACAAATGAACCACATACCTCGCTCCGCATATCAAAGGGTGCTATAAAGTGGTAATCCAGGGAAGTCCGCCGCCATTAGCTTAATGTATTAAGTTGCTAGCTAGCTTCTCGTGTCTTCTATTAAACAGATGTGAGCACGAGCGCGGGCGATTAATCACGTGAGCGGATAACATGATGTCAAAATAAAAGTCACATAAAATCTAAGTAGGAAAAGGATCATCAAAATAAAAGAACACTGCTAGTGGTCATTTACACTCCCACCACTCATGTTATGTAGAGTGAAGACAAGGGTCAACCTGGCTGAACGGATCATACTTGAGTCCTGTCTGTATCAGTATTTCTAGATGTGTGTAGGTGAGTATTACTTAATTTCTAGTAGAGAATAGACTGTCATGAGGAAATAAAAGGTGCAGACAACTAGACTGATTACTCACTCTCGAGGAGGAGAACTAGTTTCTGAATGGGTCTTTCTATGATCAAAGGTTTGGTAGGGCGATCTTGTTTTGCTGATGTTCTTTCCCCTACTAACACCTTGACGCGACGCACTAGACCATCGCTCCCCTTTTGTGGTTTCAACCACTCGTCCCAGGTGCCACTGATTTCTAGGGGTGTCTTCCCTTATAATGACTAAGTCGTCTACCTTAAGGCTGCGTCGAGTTGTATGCCACTTTTGGCGTGTGGAGATGTTCATGAGATATTCTCTCCTCCACCGGCTCCAGAACTGTTCAACAAGGTACTGGACTCTTCGCCACCTTTTAGTTGCATACACATCCTCCTTCTCAAATTTGCCAGGCGGTGGAAGTGCAATCTTGGACTTCATCAGTATGAGATGGTTTGGAGTTAATGGTTCGAGTGAGGTAGGATCATTTACTCCGTTTACAGTTAACGGGCGGCTGTTCACAATGGCCATCGCCTCATAGAACAGAGTTCGAAGGGAAGAGTCGTCGAGTCTGCCTAAGTATTGACAGAGTGTGGCATTTAAGACATTACGGACAGTCCGAATCTGGCGTTCCCACACGCCGCCAGCGTGACTTGCTGAGGGAGCATTGAAGATGAACTCACACTGCTTTTCTGCGAGGAAGCTATCGATTGTTTTGGTGTCACATTGTTTCAGTGACTCTTGGAACTCATTTCTAGCTCCCACAAAATTGGTTCCTTGATCGCAATGGATTTGACGAACAGCTCCTCTCAGACTAATGAAGCATCTTAGGGCGTTGATAAATGCATCTGTGGATAGGTCCTCAAGCATCTCAATGTGAACAGATCGAGAGGCAAGGCAAGTGAAGATTAAGCCATAGCGCTTTTGCTCTTTGCGGGCTTTCTTAGTGATGAATGGGCCGAAGCAATCGATGCCACAGTATGTGAAGGGAGCAGAGACTTCCACACGTTCCTTAGGAAGCTCTGCCATGCGTTGTTCTTCTACAGGCCGTCTGAGTCTTCTGCACTTCACACATCTGTGTATCAGCTTAGCAACTGAATTACTTCCACCAATGACCCAAAACCCATTGGCTCGAAGTTCTGTTAGAGTTTGATTACGTCCTTGGTGACAGATCCTCTCGTGGCAGTGGGTCAAAATCAACTTGGTAATATGTTCTCCTTTGGGTAGAATCAAAGGGTGTTTGACTTCTAGGCTTAAGGATGACTGATCCAGTCTTCCACCAACACGAAGTGCTCCTCCTTCTAAGATGGGATTCAAGCGAAACAGAGGGCTGGAGTTTTGAAGACTTTTTCCCTTTTGAAGTGTCTCCATCTCTTGGGAGAATGCTTCTTCTTGTACAAGCTTCACTACCGATTTGGCAGCTCTTTCGCGTTCTTCTACACTCACAGGTTTGCCAGGATGAATTTGCCTTGATTTCAGCCTCTTGATTCTTGCAATGACTTTCAGGAGTTTTGACCAGGAGGAGAATCGATTTAGACGGGTAAGAAAGTCTGACTCGGAAGGTTCAACCTTAGTTGTGAACGCCTGCATTGACCTGACCTCAGGATCACCGACAAGCAATTCAGGAGTGAGGCGAGACTCTGGATGTATTTCTTGTTCCCACAGGAACTTGGGTCCTGATAGCCAGTTTGTTGAGGAGATGTCCACTGCGTTTAGACCTCTCGACGCATGGTCAGCAGGGTTTTCTGTTGTGTCTATGTAGTGCCATTGGCTGGGGCTGGTGTGCTCTCTGATCATTTGCACACGATTGGCAACGAAGACATGGAACCTTCTTGCTTCATTACTGATATAAGCCAGGACAACTTGGGAGTCAGTCCAGAAGAATTCTGCATGGATCGGCATTTCAAGCTCGTTTCTCAGCATGACACTTGATCTTGCAGCGACCACTGCTGCTGAAAGTTCCAATCTTGGAATGCTTGTGAGTTTTGTAGGCGCAACTCTAGCCTTTGCCATCACGAGGCTGCAGTGAACTTCACCATCTTCATTTTTGCTTCTCAGATAGGAACACGAGCCATATCCTATATTGCTGGCATCGGAAAAGTGGTGCAGTTCCCTTGTGACAGTTTTGCAGAAGCCTTGTGGTTGGTAGCATCTCGGTATTGAGACTTCCTTCAGCCTTTGTAGGTCGCTCTTCCAACTCTCCCACCGTCGACTTAAGTCTTCGGGAAGTGGGTCATCCCAGTCAATGCCTCGACGACACAGTTCCTGGAGGATGCACTTTCCAGTTAAGATAAACGGAGCCACGAATCCGACTGGATCGTACAAAGAAGCAATGACGGATAGGATTCCACGACGTGTGGATGGCCTGGGTTGTGGGTTTACATTGAAGCTGAAGGTGTCGTGTTCAAGGGACCACTGGACACCAAGAGCACGTTCTGCTGGAGCTGCATTTAGGTCCAGATTTAGGGGTTCAGATGTGACTGCTCTCTCAGTTGGGTCCACAGAGTCCAGAACTGATCTTTCGTTTGAGTTGAACTTGTGTAGACGCAAACCTCCTTTCTTGCACAACTCTTGTGCTTCAGCAATTAACTCCTTTGCTTCTTCTACGGAGGGGACGCTGATAAGCCCATCATCGACGTAGAAGTTCTTTTCAACAAAAGCTGATGCTGATGGATAATCTTCCTTGTGTTGACGTGCCAAGTACTTCAGGCCAAAGTTGGCACATCCGGGTGACGAAGCGGCACCAAATAGGTGGACAGCCATTTGATACTCTTGAGGCTCTGCTTCGAGGTTTCCATCCTCCCACCAGAGAAACCGTAAGTAGTTCCGTAATTCAGGAGAAACGTAAAACTGATGGAACATTTTCTCGATGTCGCATATGATGGCTACAGCCTCTTTCCTGAAACGACAGAGCACTCCAAGGAGAGAGTTGATCAGGTCAGGACCTGTCAGCAATGTATCATTTAGTGAGACACCACGGAACTTCGCTGAACAGTCAAAGACGACCCTTAGCTTCTCTGGCTTCTTGGGGTGGAACACCCCATGGTGTGGTATGTACCACGTAGTCTGTTGTTCTGTCGCAGGAGAGGCTGGCTCTGCGTCGCCTTTCTTTATCATATCCTTCATGAAGGCTTTGTACTGTTCTTCATACCGCTCGTTATTTTTCAATCTTTTCTTTAGGTGCTGCAGTCGAACTGTTGCCAGCTTCTTGTTGTCTGGTAGCAGGGGTGGCTCTGTGCTCTTGAAAGGAAGGGGCATTTCATAGTGTCCATCTTTCCTTTGAGTTATGTTGTCACTCAGGAGCTGAATGAAGCGAACGTCGTCTTGTGACACATACTTGTCTTTATCTGCATACTTCCTTTCATTGAAGTCTGATTCCAAGACCTTCAGCACGTCATTGGTTGATGGCGCTGGTATTTCCTTCACTGTCACTCGATGGACGAATCTCTGGTTTCCCTGGCGATCCAGATGTGGATTGGATGAGCCTACGATGCTCCAGCCGAGTTCCGTTCTCTGGGCGAACGGATCATTTTCGCCTCCTATGACAACTTCCTGGGGGGCTAGCGCCAACGGGCAATCATTTCCAATTAACAGTCCCACCTCACAGTCCTTCAGCAGTGGAAGTTTGTTTGCTAGATGCTTTAGATGAGGCCAGAGCAGCGCTGTTTCGGAAGTCGGAATGTAGGACTTGTCGACCGGGATGAAACCACGAGTATAGGCTTGGCGCAGCTGAATCTGTTTTCCAGACTCTAGTCCTCGAACTTGTAGACCACAGACACTTTTGCTTGCTATGCTACAGCAAGCAAAAGACTGTCATGGAACAGCTGTCATGGTGCTCAATTTAAGCTGTACTGGTTTTGTCTCCACGTTCAGCTCTTCGAGTAGGTCTTCCAAGACGAATGTCGAATCACTCTGCGTGTCTAGAAGAGCATACGTTATAACTTCTTTCTGTGGTTCATTTGCAGATGACATGAAAACAGGGACGATGCTTGATGTGGCAAAGACGCGCTGCGTCACTGCATGGGACGTCACTTTGATCTCTTCCTGACTAACGTCTTTATCTGTGGAAGTGGACTGTTTCTCTTTTGCTTCCACAGATCGGTTCTCTCTCTCTTCATGTAGACAGGTGGGGTGACGTCTGCTGCATATGACACAAGTGTGTCGCGTTTTGCAATCCTTACTGTTATGTCCCTTTCTCAAACATCCGTAGCACAAATTGTTTTCCCGTATGAAGGCTTTCTTATCTTCCAGAGATTTTGCTGCAAATGTAGGGCACTTTACGACGCCGTGCATCTCATCTTTGCAGATAGGACAAGGTGGCTTCGACTTTGTGCTGAACACTTTCTCAACATTTTCTGTGGGATTGTTCCTTTTAGTGTTTGTGTGAAGTGCTCTAGCTCTCTTGGGCTGTCTGTCATCTGTGGCCTTGATCAGAAGTGGAGAGGCGACAGGGTTACATGCTATTCGAGCCTCCTTCTGGATGAACCTTGTGAAACAGGAAAAGCTTGGGTAATCCCCGGATTCGTCCAACCTTTCCGTGACGACTCTGCTCCATCTTCGTGTGATCCAGTCAGGTAATTTCTTCAGCAGCTTGTGGTTCTCTTCACAGTCGTCCAAGATGGCCAATCCTTTCACATGAGGCATCGCTTCAACGCATCCTTGCAGGAAGTCAGCAAACTCTCGAAGTGCAGCAGGATCACTGGTACCAACCTTGGGCCACTTCATGAGCTTGTCTCTAAAAGCCTTTTGCACAATGAAGTGGTTTCCGTACCTTTCTTCCAGGACCTTTAAGGCCCCATGATATGCTTCTTCTGAGTTTCTATAGAAGAATCCCTCTACAGCTTTACGTGCTTCTCCACTCAGATAGTTTTTTAAGTAAAACATTTTTTCATGAGCGGGGAGAGGCTGGTGGTCTATGAGGGCCATGAAGGACATCTTCCAGTCTACATACTTTAGGGCTTCGCCAGAGAACTTTGGTGGCTCAGGAGCAGGCAGGCGATTCATACTGAGTGAGTTAATGAGAGCTTGAGTAAGGCTATCTTTCTCATGAGATGCTAGCTCTTTGGCGTGCGCTTGTGGAGGCTGGTATGCGTTGGCCATTGGATTAAGCTGGCTTTTGGATTCAACTGTGAGATCAGTCTCTTTTAGACAGTCTCTGAAGTCATGTTCAAAGCTCTCGTATGCGTTTACTCTCGCCTCTGCTATTCTTACTTCTGACTCTGCTTGAATTTGCTGTAGTCTTTTCTTTTCCTGACGCATATTTGCCTCTATCCTTTTAAGAGCTACTTGCCTTTCATCTTCTAACCTTTTGAGAACTAGCTGCTTCTCTTCTTCTAACTTGCTAAGAACTTCTTCTTGAGCTTGTATTTGATATACTGCTTTAGCCTTTTCTTGTTGCGCTGCGAGTTCTGCTCCTGCATCTAGAGGTTTGCTTGAGCCCTGGGAGTGGATGGAATTTTCTGCCAGAGAGAGTACAGTATCTGTCTTTGTGTGTCCGAAGATAGATCCATACTCATCCTTCTTAAGTGCCATCCTCACTCGTAGTTTCTCAAGTTCAGGATTGAAGACCTCATCTACAGTTTCAAGCCGCTTCTCTATTATTTCGCTGATCTCTGCAGTGAGTGCTATACAAGCATCCATTTTCGGTACAATGTCTGGTGTGGCATCATGGTTGCGCTGAATGGGCTCATAACGTTCACTTACTGCACTGTGTCGACTTTGGATTTCTTCTCTGATGTTATTTAGTTCATCTTGAGAACAGAATGATTTTAGTGCGGTCCTAATCTCTCCTGCAACTTCTTTCCAGTGGCCATAAGCTTTCATGAATTCTTTCTTGTGTTTAATGGCTTCCTGCTTGTGCATTTCTAATCCCCTTTCTGTAAACGTTCTTTCACGTGAACTAGACCTGACTGGCTTTGGGTTATCCGTTTTCATCGGTGGATCATGTGTGCTAGCTACCTCCTCTCCATTAAGTGACATTTTTGTTGAAGTTGTGTTGCGGTTTGGTTATCTTGAACTACTACACTACAGTTCAATTACTGAAATAGACTAATAGCTCAAGTACTTAATATCAAACATGCACTGGGGCGATTATGATCAACAGAAAATGTAGGCTAACACACAAACAGCTTAGCAAAGAATGCTATCATACAGATTTACCCATGAAAGAATTTACATTTAACAGGTTCGATTTGTTCAATAGTTATTCAATAGTGTTTTCTAAAGTTGCCTTTCTGTATCTTTAAATGCACCTTTCAAATGTACGATTAGCTTAGAGCATCAAATATGCAGTACATTGTTCATAAAAGGTGACTTCAGTCCCCCACACAAACATCACTGTTCGTAATCAAAGAGTCCCTGTGGTTGAATGCAGCAATCAGCAAACAAAGAGGACCGATCTTGCCTGGGTGCCGGTTGAAGTGAGGGCGTTTGAACAGCAGGTGGCAGTCTTGTACACAAATGGCGGACGGCAATCCTTCTAACGTTGAGTTGAATTTTCACTCCACATCATGGTCGAGTTTTCACTGTAGCATCCCTTCAACTTGGAATAAACAGGCTTGGGAGTGTTTCCAGACGGGTGTACTTTAATTCAGATGAGTGTGCATAGCACCAACACCAACATCAACACCGTGAAAACTAAAAAGGGAAATAACAAAGGCAATTTAGCCAGATACAAAATAATCCTTTGACAAATGCACTTTAGCATACATGAATAACAGCATAGCAGGCAACAGTCATTATATAAAATGAATTTTCATGAAATACAATTACAAATGAACCACATACCTCGCTCCGCATATCAAAGGGTGCTATAAAGTGGTAATCCAGGGAAGTCCGCCGCCATTAGCTTAATGTATTAAGTTGCTAGCTAGCTTCTCGTGTCTTCTATTAAACAGATGTGAGCACGAGCGCGGGCGATTAATCACGTGAGCGGATAACATGATGTCAAAATAAAAGTCACATAAAATCTAAGTAGGAAAAGGATCATCAAAATAAAAGAACACTGCTAGTGGTCATTTACATTGGTTAACACACGAATGCTTTGTTGCAATTTTTCTGCAGATATGGCGGCAGCTCTTCTCCCCTCTCCATGCCCTCAATTTTGGGGTCGGTGGTGATGCAACACAACATGTGCTGTGGAGACTGAGCAACGGCGAACTTGATAACATCAGCCCTAAGGTGCAAATCTCCGTCAGAAATAGAGAACACGATTGGGCTTGTTTATCCACACAGTAGACTCATTGTGCTAAAATTCATAATAACGCCCAAATTCCGAGTGTAACGACCCAAAACTACAACAAGTGTTGAGTGTTGAGTTTTTCCTTCTCTTTTGTTGTTTTAGGTTGTGGTGCTGTGGGTAGGAACTAACAACCATGGCCAGACTGCTGAACAGATCTGTGAAGGCATCATGGCTATAATCCAAGTCATCAAGAACAAGCTCCCAAATGCCCGGACACTCGTACTTGTAGGTCTTTTCTGTGATTAATTACTTAAAGTGTTTATCTACTCACCTGCAGACTGTACAGTTTTTTTTCATTTCATACCTTCCAAGTTTCATCTCAGCTATCTGCGATTAAGAAAACCATAGCTCTGTGTTTACTGTAGAGATGAGCTACAATTCAAATTTTATACAAAATGGATCTAAATGGCAATTCAACTGACATGGTTGCAATGTTAACGTTAGAATTAATCAATTTTTTTTGACGTTGATGTATTAATTACTTGAAATATAACCTGCTATCGGGCGTTCTCTCTTGAACAATAACACCCACACATCTGTGTTCCAGGGTATACTGCCCAGAGGTAAATCGCCAAATGCTCTGCGGGAGCGAAATGCCAAGGTGAACAAGCTGGTTCAGGAGGCTGTACTGTCGCTCCCTCACGCTTCTTTCCTCAACGTGGACCCGGGCTTCGTCCACTCCAATGGTAGCATCTCCCACCATGACATGTACGATTATCTTCACCTGACCCCTCAGGGCTACCAGGCTGTGTGTGAACCCCTGCACGCCCATCTCAAGTCCATGCTAGACAAGCCTGCAGAGAACTGAGCCACAAAGGCACAATACTACACTACCACAGTGGTCCGCATCCCTGTTCTCAGAGAACCTCACAATCTACTTATTAACAGTTGTCTAATAGATCAAACCAATTACATGGGGCTAAGAGCTGCACCAACGATTTGTGTAAGTCCTGTTCATGGCCAGGGTTGAAGACCACTGTTACAGCTAATGGGACCATACAGATTATTTTTGTCCTCATGTTACAGTCAAAAAATGAAATGTTCTGTGCTGTAGAGAGACAAAGTCTTAATTTCCAGTGTTCCCCTGTTCCACTAGCTTTTGATGGTGATGAATATCATCTGATGAATATGACATGGGGAACTTCTCTGTCATCCACGGGGGGTCAGAGCCAGACAGTGAAATGAGACTGGATGACAATTATACAGTTTTGGTAGGTCTGAAGTTTCCGCAGTTGATAAAAACTGTTATTTATAACTGTCTCCTAGATCTCTTCCTTTTGCCTCCAGCCCCCCGTGAGAATATAAAGGCCCAATTTTTCCACAGAATATAGACCGCTTATTTAGGAGACAATAACTTCTATGATGCCTGTCTGCCTGAGGCTACTGGAACAGGAACTAGCTGGAAAGGTTGCGAGACTTTGGCTCTTTTGGTGCTGGGATACGTCTGGTTAAAAACAAATCTGAGCTGTAAGAACTGCCCTTAATAAGAAATTGCTGTATTTTGACGTTTTGGTTTTGCAGTTTCACTAAGTTACATTTTTTTGGCAATAGCTTTATTTACTCTCGTGGTGTCTTTTGTGTATGTTAATTTGAAGGACCAAATGTTTTTGATTGACCATTACTGTTTACTTGCCTTTTATCATGTCTCATTATTGTCCTTGTACCGTTTTACTCCACGTATTGTAACAGAAACAGATTTTGACGCAAGAGGCTGTGTTGCAAACATAGATGTAGTTGAGTAGCTTGTGAAGTTGTATAGATATATCTACAATTACTTGTGCTTCAAGTGTAATCTCATCTGCAAGATAATGGCCAATCAGGCCATTTCCAAAGGCTTTGCTTTACACTTAAATGCTTCTGAGCCTCTTATTGAAGCGTTGCGCTACAGAACTCAAATTATGCTTCAGGATGGCTGATTGCGTAAGAAATGGAAGAATGCATTAAATATGAGAAAGTGTTTTGGTGTTGACTGACTGATTAATCAGATCTGCATGTTGTTACTCAGTAAGATAAAATGATGCATGCCACCAATGCAGTATGCCTCAAAACTACAGGTTCACTCTGAGTACACATACACAGATGAGGTTGTTTCAGGTCCAGACGTGATTGTTGGCTGAAAGCACCATTTCCGTCACTGTTGGAGGTTGGACAAGTCTTGCGTTGCCCTTAACCTGCATCCAACACTCATTACATGTAAAACAATACAATATACTTACAATTCTGGCAGATTATTTCGGGGATTATCTGAAATATGATAACTGACATCTTATAGTCTATTACATGAAATACTTTGTATCCTTAACGATGCACGCTATCCACCAACCAAGTTAGAAGACCTTACATTTATTTTGACATGTCAGTTTCCCCTCTGATGCATACTAGACAAGACAAAATAGAACTTTTGAGAAAGTATGGACACAAGATTTCATGATAACAAGACCATGTTAGAGGTGAGCGGTTCCACTTTAGACCAGATGGGTTCATCTGGCATCCAAATGTTTTTTCAGTGCAGGTCAGTCCCATGTGGGCCTTTCAATTTCTCAAGTCTTCTCACACCTTTATTCAAAACCACAATCATTCTTTTGGCAACATTACAAGTTTCCTTTTTACAGTTACCCACTGTGAAAGGTGCAGGTATGTGCAGCCTTCATGCTTCACTTAACTGGAAAGCGATGAATGTGCTACGGGTATGATTTCAGAAATCAACACCGTCCTTTATAAAGAGCCCCAACAACGACCTCTTCATTACCTCGCTGGAGCTGAAGTCAACGCACATGCAAGATTTCTATAGCGGGACTCTGAATTGGACTGGCGTACAATATGGGATCAAGAATCTTGCCCTGGGCTCTTTTACTGCTTGTATTTACTGATTACAGCCAAGGTATCGTATAATATATCAGACAATATACTGGGATACAAAAGTAGGAAATCAGTGTTTTATTTTGTCATTTGTTTTCTCCATTTCTTAAAGGTGTTGTGACACATGCAGAACCATTGGTTGTCAACGAATCCACCAACGGTTTGTAGGATTAATGTTGTATTTATTAAGTTTCTGCATTACTTATTTCACTCAAATGGCACTATCACTAACCTCTTTTCAAGTTTGATGTCAATTGTTTTGTAGCTTCTGCTGTTGGAGAACTTCTGACCGCTGCAAATCCTCTCAACATCCCAAGACAGCGCGCCAGACAGTGTAACTGTGATGGCATCATCAAAGGTTTAAAGTGAACAAAACGAATGACAGCATCTCATCTGTCGACATGTAATCAGATCATTAGTAGCAGTGCAGTGCATTTTATACTAACTCATTCTGCTCTTTTGTCCTTGTGTATTTGTCCCCCTAGAAACGCTCTGTAATTGTCAGCAATCTGGCAAGCGCAAAGGCAAGCCTGAAGCATGTAAGTTACATATATTTCTTTTTTAAATTCATGTATTATCAGAGTAAAAAGTATTGATTTATCTGTCTGGATTTATTCAAACTACCAGGGAAAAAATGGTGCCAGTGGAGAAAAAATAAGAATCTGCAAAGGTGCCGCTGCTTTCTCAAAGGAAAAAGCGACGGAGGACCGAAGAAGAAGAACTGCAGGACGTTCGGTCCCAGTGTCCCTATATAAATAATGTACACTCATATCATTTAACCGTATGTAGTGATGGTAACGCAATGTTTCCTGTCATATATAGTATATTCTTACATTCATGACAATGTTTCCCTCACAAAAGTTTGCGTGAATACAACTTTCAAAATAAAAAGTCCACACAAAATTGTTTCTGTTGATTATTTATTGATTAAGAAATAAATGACAAAAGGCTTGATAATACTTAAATTAACTTACAGTTTTAATATCATTACACATGACTAATGACGATTTAATTTCAAAAACCTAAACCAGGCCGTACAATGCTACGTTATTGAAAATAAATCTGATAAAAGGAAAAGAATCTAAGAAAAAACTGAAATTCTGTCACTATTTCATTTTCGTATTTGTCTTTTCATCACTAATCCACAATAACTGATAAAGTGGCATCAAATTAAGTACAATCATTTTCATTTCCCAATAAGATAAGCTAAAAGAAGATAATTCTTTATTTGTCCTGCGGCGTCCTGCAGCAGGGAAATTTACAGGATCACAGCAGCAAAGTGCACATAGTTAACGGCAGTGATGAAGACTGCTGAGACCAGCGGGAGGAAGAGGCCTCTGTATCGCACTGCGTTTCCCAGAGAACTCAGTGGAACAGCACAGGGACGGAAAAAGCAAACAGACCCGTCAGTGTCACAACAGCTTGGGATGGAAAGCTGAAAGCTGAGAGAAACAAAGGGACAGAAATAATGACAAATCAAACACACGTTACATTTATTACAACATGAGACATTTGTAATTGTGTAGCAACTATTCTGGTAAGGTTTTAACGGCAGTGATCTCTTTATATACACATCTAGATGAATGTTATCACCTTGGCGATCCACAAATGATTTAAAAAGAAAAAAGAAAATGCAAATGGCCAAAACCCTTTTATTTTTATTTTACTTTTATTAATTCTGTTAAAATCCACCTTTAAAGCTGAAGGCAGCTTTCAACATATTGGAGAACAAAGAGTATTGTTACTGTTCATATTTGGCTTGTTGGCTCATTAAATATCCACAAATGACTTTTGAAGAAACACTTACCAGCGACAGAAAGGGCTGTGGTCTGGTACATTGTGATATTGGTCACAGGGTTCTTTGCCTTACAGGTGTAGTTTCCCTGGCTCTCGTTGTTCCTGAGGAAAGTGTAGATGGGGCCCGTGTGTACAGCCATTGATTGCTGACCATTAAAGAACCATTGGAAGTCACAATCTGGCTGAGAATCAGCAGAGCATGTCAGGGAAACGATGGGACCAGGTTTTGTTGAATCTAATATTTTCACACTCAGAGGTCCATCTGCAGACACAGACAGAGAGAGAAAGGGAGTTGGTCACAGTCGAGTACACAAGTCCAAAGCCGCATAGCCACCAACGTTTGGTTATTGGGGAGGTGATGTTAATGTGTCACACCTCATCATACATCTAATGTTATAAAAATATCCATTTGGTTTTTCCTTTGCAAAACTGTAAGCGACTTAAGTATCGGGATTTTCTATTTTCACATATGTTAGATTGTCATAAAAACATGTTAAAATAGACACTCACAGTTCACCAGGAGCTCATATCCGGAGCTTGCGTAGTTATCAGCCAGGCAGTGATATGTGCCGTTATCGCCCCGGGTCAGTGGAGTGAAATGCAGCTTGTTGTTTTCAATGTGGTAGGACATGTGAGGGTCAACAGCGTAGTGCATCATGTTGAGGGGCACGTTGTCCTTCATCCAGTAGATCATATTATAGGGAATGGTGGCGTCACAGATCAGAGTAAAGTTTTTATAGTTAATTGGAACTGTGTTGTTTCTGATCATCACTGACACTTTTTCTGTGGAAAGACAAAAACACAGAGGAAATCCATCAGTATTTGATTGGTTTTACAGTGATACAAAATGTATTCAAGGAGTCAATCTCGCCGATATTCTTACCAATCACTGTGAGCATCTTGGACTTTGTGACATTCTTTCCTGTCACCAGATTATAAGCCTTGCAGGTGATTTTTCCACTCATATTTGTAGACAAAATGTCAGTTGTAAACACTGAAGAGTTGCCCACATTGGAGCCGTTGAACCACCAGCTGAACTGACTGGGCGGCATCGACATGGCCGAACAGTGGAAAGTCGCACTTTGTCCGGCCTCAGCAAAATCTGGCCCCTCAACCGCAGGTGTTTCTGGTCCATCTGCAACAGCAAAGGAGACAACGGGCTTGATGCCGTGTGCAGAATTGAAAACACTTCAGATGATGCACTACAGTGTGTGAAAGTGTTAGTTAATGAATCCTTCTTAAGCTTTACTCACAGTTCACAACGAGGTTGTGCGGGTGGCTGGTCAGGTTCCAAAGACTGGCAGTAGCCGTACACCGGTAGTCTCCAGTATGATTGCGCTCAAGTGGGTGGAAAGTGACGGTCATGTTTTCCAGGTTGAAAACAGTTGTGCTGTCTTCGTGCAGTGGCTCTCCATTTTTCCACCAGTGAACATGCATAGCAGGCTCAGTCACATTGCATGTCAGCACATAATTATCACCCTCTTTTGCCGGAGTCATCGGTGCCTCTACTCGAACATAATTTCGTGGATCTTAAAAGAAAGCAAAAAAGCATTAGAGCTGCCGTGAAGCGGCTCCAGGTGAGCTCCCCTTCCCTCCGCTTCCAGTCTCAATGCTGAAATTAGCTAACGGGCTGCTGTCTCCAGGGTTCTTTCATCTAACTTGCTGTGAGACAGCAAATATGCACACACTACAAAATCACAATCACAATCACAATTTCTTCCAACCTTACCCAAAATCCTGATAAGTGCACTTTGGCTGCTGAACCTGGACGTTACTGTGTTGCGAACTACGCATTTGTAATTTCCTGAGTGACTCTCTGTAACCATCTTCAGTTGAAGCTGTGGGCCAGAATGATTTAGGTACATCCCATCAACCATCCACTGGACTATTGCTGCAGGGCTGGAGTCCGCTGAGCACGTCATCGTGATGTCAGACCCCACTTCGTAGTGGGACCCCATGGGCACGATCACCATCGACGTGTTGCTTGGACCATCTGGCGGCACAACAAGAGAGAAATTGTTAAATGGGTTGACGTTGAGAGGGACCTATATACAGCACGTATTTACTGTAAATAAAATATATCTCCAGTACAAACTCACAGCTGATGTTCAGATACAGAGGGAGACTGCATTCGTGGCTCACACCATTAGACACATTGCAGCTATACCACCCGTTATCATAGCGGGTCACCCCGACTATGGTGAGGGTGGCACCTCCGTCGCTGAGCTGGCCCTTTGTGACCACTGAGCCGCCCTTCAGCCAAGTGTAGGACAGGTGCGAGCCGATGAGCGCAGAGCATTTGAGAACTGCGGTGTCATTGAACTCCACCAGGTCTGTTGCGTTTGCCCACATAGTCACATTTGAAATAGGCACTGCAAAGAAGAAAATTGTGTGAACGTGGCACACAAAAAGTCGTGTTCTCCCTAAGTGGTAGGCGGAGGTGGAAACATAGCTCTCATGATGAAGTCTGATCCAAGCTACGGTTTTAATTAGCCTTTTTAGTGGCATCATGCAATCAATGGCTGAAAAATCTCCACAACTTTTGGAAGGATGTCCAATATACTATATACAATATACTAACGGTCCTAATTATTCTATTTAAAGACTAAATACATGAGACCAACTTGGGAATTGTCAACACAGGCTAAAGTGTCTCTTACCTTGGACTGACAGTGTTAACTTAACGGGAGAAGAATTCAACACCGCTAAAGAGTAAGATCCAGAATCGTTCTGCTTCACTGAATTTAAAGTCAATGAAGAGTTTGAATGTAATGTAACCCTGGGAATCCAATTGTCACTTATGATTGCACCTCCGTTTAACATCAGTGCAATGACATCACTTTCAAACATCCACACTAATGCCTTGACATTGGGCGGGCTGAAAAGTGTGACATTGCTTCCAACGGGTGCCGGGTTCTGCGAGGCAATCAACTTCTCGATGGACGCAGCTAGAAACAGAAAGCAAGGAACACTGGGTCACCTTAAAATGTAGTTATCGTCTCATATGTTAAATCCTAAAAACTGCTCAAAGACATAAAGTAGCACATTTATAACTTGTGTCAATCAAACAGGCTCAATAAAATATATCCAAACTGCATTAATATTAAATGAAATGATTTCTCACCAGGTGCAAAGGCCGTCGTGAACAGAATCAAGGCGAAAATCAAACACTCCATTTCTCTCTTCGGTTCCTTTTTGGTAGGACTCTTCTTTGCCAGCTAAATCGACTTGACTGGTTGTGATTAATAGAAATCTGCCAGCGTCGTATGGTCACAGCCTAATTCTGATCCACTCGAGCTCTCTGTTCTCAGGATATGAACGCGCACCCCTACCATCACCTCATCATCTCACAGTCCTGGCTCCGCCTTGTTTTGCCTTTGTCCATACCGGTCCACACCGAGGACCCATTTACTGTAAACCTCGGGCGCATGACTCGTCTACCGGAGCGTGGGTCCTCTGATGCAAAATGTAATGTGGGCTGACACGACACGCCTGCGCACGATGGTGGTAGAAAATTAAGGACAAAAAAGTTAAGCTCAATGAATATTTTTGGTCTTCCAAAGTTAATTAAATACCTACATATAAATGTATACACATACACAAGAATAATTGAATCCAGCATTGTTATCAAATTTGTTTTTAATAATGCTCAAATTGAAAACATTTGAAGACACATTTAATTGGTTTTGATTTGCTGAATTATCACCTTAAGGTTCACTGGATCTGGTTAATTGCATTGCATCTCAGTCTAAAATAGACTAAATCAGGCACTGATATCTGTAAAGGAGAGGCAGTTAGTTGAGCCATTAGTCATGTTAGTGAAAATATTTTAAGTTGATAAAATACATTTATTAACTTAAAATGCATTTTTGATTTTTTGTCCTCAGTATTACGACCAAACATATTAAGATTTTGGGAAAATCAGGCAGTTGGATTGATTAATTGTATAATTGTAATAAGTCACTGTTTAGGCATTTTATGAACCGAACTTTGAACTGATGAACAGTGGTAACCATACGGATACATATAACAACGTTGCAGCGTGTTACAGCACTGATATCAGGTGCTGCTCAACAAGAAGCAGTTTGACCTTGATTCTGCCCTCTGCTGCACACATCTAAGCATCCGACTCATTTTCAAGACTGGTCTGAATGGATGTAGAAGGCTCACCATTCTGAAGGGATAACACACCTTTTTTCTTCTTCTAAACCGCACAGACTTGAATCCACACACTAAAGTATAGTATAGAAGTCAGTCAGTGTCATAAAGACGTTATTCTACAGTTTTTCTGGCAATAAAGAGAGCAACTCAACCAACAACAGCAGCGGCAGGAGCATCACATTGATCGCCTGTTGTTCAGACCTTGACGAAGTCTCTGTGGGGACAAACCAAAGTAAGACACCGGAGGAAGCATGCGCACGCTGATGCCGCCAGACTTACAAACTCACTTGCTATCTCGATGCGCGCCGTGATACTGCTGTTCATGCCGGTGTGGTTGTTGAAGGCCAGACAGGAGTACGGGCCGCTTTGCTCCTCGATGACACTGAAGCGCTGCAGCAACGGACCCGTAGTGTTCACGAGCTGCCCTCTGAAAGCCCACCGAAGCTGAGCCGGCGGATGGGACAGTGCCGAGCAGAGCACCGTCAGGTTGGACCCCGCGTCAAAGGAAGTCGTGTTCTGCCCATTCACCGTTAGGGCCATGTGGTCTGGACCGTCTGAGAAAGGGAGATAACGGTAATCATGGAAGCTCTGTCAGTAGATGTGGACGATTGTGTACAAGAGAAGATGATTGGACTGACTGAGTTTCACTCACAGCTGATGGTCAGATTTACTCGATCGCTGGTTCCATGGCTGACGGGATTGAACACGCGACAACGGAACGGCCCTCGGTCGTGGCGGGTCACGTTCGCTATGGTGAGAGTGGCGTTTCCGTCAGTGAGCTGAACTCCGTCCCTTCGTTGAAGCTCCGCGCTGGCGTTCATCCAGAGGAAAGAGAGAGAGGATCCGGAGGAGACGGAGCACGTGAAGACTGCCGAGCTGCTCAGCTCCACCAGCTGGGTTCGGTTGGCTCTGAGTGTCACATTTGAAATGGGCTCTGTGAGGACGAGACAAGGATTAACATGTTTGTACGTACTGTATACTGTGAGGCATTGTAGTAGGCGAGCATACAGAAAAAAACGTATGTTAATGTTTCACAGGCCTGCGTTTTGTGGCCTCTTTATTACAAAAAGCAATACAAGCTCATGTGGTCCAATACAAAAGCATCTTTAAAACACATGCATATTTTCTTAAGAGGGTCCTCACGTGCGCGTATCAACGATTATTACTGATATGTAGAGTATTTAAAAAATGTATTACATAATGGTATCTGTTGGTATAAGCTAAAAAAGTACTTATTTTTTAAATTTGTATGAAATCTATTTTTAAGAGAGGCTAACTATTTGAGTTTTCTTATATGGAAAGGCCTTATACACATACACCATGCTGACATAATTCTCGTAGTTGGTTTTGTGTGGGGAAGCAGAAATATGCTCCGGGAAACTGAAGGAGCGAGAGAAAACGAAAGGACACGTGCAAAGGTGAGTGTTGACAGATACGGACAGAAACCACCCGGAGGACGCAACGGGCACCAAAACCAAAACACAGGAAGGCTTTCACAGCGTTTGAGTTTGCTAGTTGTCAGTCTAAATATCACGAGGGAGGTGCATTACTTATTTTATGTTGTTGGTAAAGACTGTTTAGGGATGCTCTCCTTTCCTCAGAACAGGAACCTGTTCCAGTAGAAAGACTGAAGTAAACAACTCATCAGCACATTTTTCTCCACCTTTGTGTTTAACTGCACTTGTGAATCGAAAGGAATTGATGTTCACTTTCTAAAACGCTCCAGTACGTTCTTGCTTATATGTTCAGTACCTTTAATATAATTCTTGTTTTTGATGATTTTACTGTTTGAGTGTTGTCTGTCAAAACATGAAATTGATGCTTGTCCTGTTTTTCTGCCTCTGTCTACACCACCTGTTTATTACACGGTATGCAGGCCACTAAAACTGGTTTCCTTGTTGACTGTATATAATATTTAGATTAGTTTTTTTTTAGCTGACAGCACCAAAAATAACATTATTTAAGAATACAATACCACAGCTATCTTTAAAAAAGAATAGTTAATATGAATGTTAATGTGAATTACAGTTTATTTACAGAATAATCCCTAACTTTATTTGAATTGTTAACAGGCAGTTGTGGAATAAGTCCTTAAATATACTTATAACTTATAAACTCATTTTAACTGTCGAAATACAACCAAAACCAGCTCCCTTTAACTTTTAAAGCCCCACAGTGAATTATTCTAACATGGTTGGCTTTGATTTTTCCGTACACTTGACAATTGAGTTGCGAGTATTTCTGTTAAAACTGTTAAACTGCTTCCCACCAGACTGAATAACCTTAAATGAACATTTTTCGGTTTCAGGGAGGCTTCTGAGTCTCTAAATGCTGAACTCTCGAATTACAGTCATTGAAAAAAGCCATTTGTTTGCTCTCACCGAAAACCGCGATGGAAGCGGCGGCCTTAAGCTCGGGGTTGCTGCTCTGCAGCACGTACACTCCCGAGTCGGCTACCGTGACGGAGTTCAGAGCGAGCGCTCCGGTGAGCACGTTGACTGACGCCCTGCCGCTGTGAGCGGGGAAGACCGCCTGCTGGTCCCCCACCCAGGTGAGGATGAGGGACTCTCCCACTGCCCAGCTTCCGCTCCGCAGGTTAGTCAAAGGAGACAGGGACAGCGTCACAGAGTCCCCAACTACAGCGGGGTTGATGGAGGGCTTGACCTCAACAGCACCGGAGGCCAGAACACCTGAAGAAGAGAAAATGTGTCACTGACTGTTAAATCAACGACAGAAAAGCCCTTTACGCTTTAGTTACGTACGCCTACCTTGTATTAAAGCCAGCCATACAATAGCCAGGCGTCCTTCACTTTTCTTCTTCATTTTGCATGGATGGTCTGAGGAGGGCTACTGTTTCTCCTCTATTATACTCGTATTTGCGTCCAGCCCCCCACCCATAAATACCTGAAGCAGGAACCCCAGGTCTTATCTGCAGGTGGTTTCTGGTTATTTGGTCTTTACTCTTGTCAAACTTACAAAAGGTGCATTATGCTTTCCGTTTACTATCTGTAGTTCTGTGAATGGCCAAAGAGCAAAATGACAAATTATGACAGAAGGAATGTGAGGCCGGGTTGGGGGGTGGGTCTGTGGGTAGTTATTCCGTTGTATTCTTCACTGATTTGGGCTAAATATTTTGTTATATTGTGTCAGCGTTATGCTATATTTCTCCCCATCACTGTCCTGTACATCCAACACCTTCATCAGATAAGTGTTAGATTTTGGGGAGTTTTTAAAAATCTTCTTTCCACCCCTACCTCTGAAGTTTTGGTGTAAACATTTGTCACTTCCTGCTCTTTTTCCCCCCGTATCATAGACAAAGACTTCGCTTCGATTAAACTTTCAGCGGATTGAGAATAAAAACGCCTGCAGTAGTTTTGTAGTGTGTATAAAAGCATATGTTTGATTATATGTCTGACCAGTGGATTGATTTGTAGTCTCATACCTTTCAAATATCTTTTCCCTCAATAAACGAGTACAGTTAACCCATTATATTTCTCACAATACCACTCACCAAACACCTGTGCAAAGTTCAGTATCTGAGTACACCTGTGTTGTGTAGCAGACCCAAAAAAGGAGAGATTGATGAGTGTTCTGCCTTATTTGTAGAGCATGAAGGGGAGAAGGATGGAAGGGCAGCTTCTTATTATCTAACTGAACAGCACAAGATGCGAACGACTATTTATGACTTGTCCTTTTTAAATGAATAATGCAGTCTTTTATAAATCTAACAGCATAGCGCTGTCTACGTGCCAGTGGAGTAAACATTGGACAGTTCTTCCATAAAAAAGTAGGAATTGTGTTCATACGTTCATACTTACTTAAAGTATGAAGCCTTGAAATTTAACAGATGCATGAGGTTAAGTTACCTCCTCTTAACCGAAAGTACTCATCCAGAATAGGCAAATTCAGAGAAATATATTATCAGGATTATAATACTCCGTAATGTACCGTTACGTTCCCCAGTTTCTGTGTCTGTTGTGCTTGTCTTTTCAAAACTCAGGCGATTCCAGGAGCAGCCGTCCCCAGATTGGAGATCTGGCCCCACCCACTCGTCAGTGGCAGCACCTGCTCGCTCTTACTACACCTGTTTCCCAGGTGTAGTAAGAGCGAGAGGTGATGCTGTTTTTTTTTGTTCTGTGTTGCTGTGAGAAGTGTATTTTCAGTTTTGTATTTAAGGCAAGCTGCCCATGGGCCTACACCACCCGTAGTCATCCTCCTGTCTAGAAACACTAGGCGAGACCTGGACGGACCACCCCTCTGTATTTTGGTTAGTGAGCCTTGCTAGTGCTCAAAGCTAGGTTAGTGGGGGGTGTGGGGGGGTGTTTCAGGTCAGGTAGGCAAGAGGGACTGTTTTGTTACGTTCTTTGCTTTGGTTCCGTCCAGCCCCTTTTTCCAAGCAACCCGTATATAAATAGTTTTTTAATAAACATTTCTTTTTACGGGTTATGTGTTTTGGTCATCAGTGCATCTACACACACTGCAGCTTTTCCCTCCATGCTGCATTGAGGTCATGAGCGGCGGGTCGTTGCGTTTCCTCCCCAAAGAGGCAACGTAACACTATCCATCACTTTAATGTTGATTAAAAGGTGAGCCTATTTTGAAAACAGTATGGTTTGATAGTTAAGAATGTTTATTATTACAAGTTGTTTTAGTAACCAAATCCCCAAAAGTACCTTTAGCTGTCAAATAAATGGAGAAAAAGGCACAATATTTCTACTACAGCATAAAGTGTAATATAGAACTTCATTTTTCCATCACTGGTTACGGAATTATTACATCGTATTTTAGTCCAAACTGCCTGAGGATTATTTCCCGGCATCCAAAGGTTGTATTTTGAATGATGCTTCCATGTCACATCAGGAGGGTTTATTTCCTTCGTTACAGCCTCAGTGTGACAGTCTTATTCCTGAGAAGGTGCAGAAAAAATATAAAAGTTTTGTCACCATACCACTTTTACATGTATACATCCTAACAAGGTAGGATAATAACTACTACTAATAAATGTAAAAAAACGATGTAATTCCACAGAATGCTCGTGAAAACATTTGACTGACATTTGCTGTGTTGATGCCGTCATGTTGTGTTGACGTCGTCATGTTGTAATCCAACACCCTGACCAGAGGTGCCACATTTCCAGAGAAGCTGACTGGTGCGTGATGTGTTGATGGCATGAATAATCAGTACCCTTCCTGGGTGAATTAGAGTTTAAGGGTAGAAGTGTAAGGTTACACGCTTAATTATAAACCATCCTTCTATTACATTTCATTAATTTTAATAATTATTACATGAGTAATTGTTTGCTGATTGATGCCCAATAACCTTGAGCGACTCTTAGCTATTGTTGTTCACGTTGAGGAATACGTTTGGGAATTACAGTATATTCAAATGTAATATCATTTGTTGTTATGTAACTAAAAGCACAGCACCACCTTTTGGAAAGCAAACAGCAGTTCATGACCAAAACAGAAGAGGAGAGGTAAGTAAAGGAAACACAGGAAAAAGCCTCAAAAGTAATTGCAAAGGAAATACGTTTTGTTTATTTAGCGAGCTGGGGTCGTCGTGGCGCAGGGGGTGGAGCGAGTCCCGGCTGCCCCATGTCTCAAGTCGAAGTGTCCCTGAGCAAGACACCTAACCCCTAATTGCTCCCTGGGCAAAAATGTAAAAAGCCATGGGTTTAAAGTGTAATGTAAGTCGCTTTGGATAAAAGCGTCTGCCAAATGACCTGTAATGTAATGTAATGTAAACAGCATTGATAGAAAACAGCATTTTAAGTAGTTTTCTAGTTTTTGCAACTAAACCACGAGGCCAACATGATTTGAAACAGGTGAGACAAAACAAAAAGGACGGATGATATGGAATATAAAAGCACATTCCTGAGTCCTAGCTGATTCTCTTATCTGTCTCATTTGTTCAGCTTCAGGGGGGGTCATGAGGGACTTTCCGGAGTCACTAACTTTGATGTGTTAAAAGCAAAGGGAGTCAGTTAATCTTTAGACAGCTGCAGAAAGAACTGAGGTTGAAGAAATAACACAGAATTGCGACAGGCATGAGTTGAGTATTGAAACCCAGAGTTACAAATGTGAGCAACTATGTTCCCGTAGCTTCCAAAAATACGGAATTTGTGCAATGGGTCAAAATTAGAATGACTTAATTGCAAAAAATAACTGTGTCTTTTGTTGCTTTTCCAAAAGGGCAACACTCTCAGTACACAATATACACTCTAAAAGGGTAAACAGCTCCGTGAATCAAAAAGCAGGAATCCCAGGCTGACAATCATTGCTGAGAGTCCATCTAGCTGCACCGACTGCGATCCAGAGAGAGGAATCCCTGTGTGAGTGAGAAGATGACACAACTCATTGAACTGGACTTAATATGTTACTCGACGCTGATGTGATAGCAGACACACGACGAGTAGAGAGTTGTTTGGTACCTAAAACTTCCACCAACTTGGTGGCCTCAGACGAGTGTCCAGCAGCTGCGTTTTCCGCAACACAGGTGAAGTTTTGGGAAGTACCCGGTATGGACGGGGTCCACCTGAGCTCATTTTCATGGACTGAAAAGAAGCTGCCGATGGGGAAACCCTGTCTGAACTGCCATCTGACCGTACAATCCACGTTTAAAGTACAGCTCGTCAAGCAGGTGAATTTACTCAATCTGCCAGGAAAGACAGCGTCGGGTCCGCTGATGCTCACGTTCCAAGGATCAACTACAAGAAGGAAATGAAGTTCAGTCCAGCATGTGAATAACAGGGCAACAATTCTTGAAACTATTCTTGACCTAATGACAACTTACAGCTGAGTAGAAAACCCAGGCTGAAAACTCTCGGCGCACGAGTCTCACACAGGTAGAATCCAGCATCAGCAGGCAGCGGCGAGTCAAAGTGAAGTGTCAGGTTGTTTTGCAGCAGCTGCATGTTTTCCTGCAGAGTCAGCCTCCGTCCATCTTTGTACCAGATCACCTGGTTCACCAGCGGGGAAGAGTCACCTGCTGGAGCACCACGGCAGGTCAGATCCAGCGGGTGGTTGAGAGACGGGACAGCGGTTGGTGGACTGATTTGAACAGACACTCGATCTGTAAAAGAGGACATTAGAAGATAATTTTAAAATCGAAAAAATAGTAAGAAGTAGCTGCATTAAATAATGCATTTAATGTGTGTCACTCAAACTCTTTTGGGCCATACACTAATAGAGTAACTCATTTGTTTGAAGGTACTGGATTCAGGGCATTAATATAAAAGCAAGTTGCTTTTCTTGCCGCAAAGCTAACAAACTGTTGTTCTTTATTTTGAGAGGCAATAGAAATGCTTCCAACTTTATACAAGTCTCCTTTTGTCCAGTGGCCCATGAAAGGTCCTAAGAAAAAACCTGAGCGGCAATAAGACGCTGAACCAGAAAAGTTATAATTTCTTTCATAAAGAAGCATTAAATGGTTATATGTATATTAAACTACCTCAAAACTGTTCTTAAGTACAGTACTAATTTCTACAATGGAGGTAACACTGCCTGAGGCTCCTGTTTCCGGATTGAGCACGTTGCATTGTAATTCCACTGTGTTGTCCAGCCCATCTGGCGTCCAGGTCAATTTGCTCCCCTGGACTTTGTGGCCCTCAAAGGACCAGGTGTAGATGCAGTTCGGCTGGCATGAAGAGGAACATGTGAACGTGGTCGTGACCCCAGCCGTGACCTGACCGGTCCAGGAAATCTGTTCCCGGGCCTCCAAACCTGATGCACCTGAGGAGAGAGGAGTCGGTAACCTCTAACCCCTTACACAATTTACAACTGTAATAATAACACATTAAACTGTTTAACCAGTCGTAAAAAAACTTTTTTTTATGAGAACCTAGAACCTAAAATCTGCCAGTAAAGGAAGTGATCTTACCCATTAGTGCCACCAGAAAAACGCAGTGAAGACCCCTCCAGTTGGGTTTGAGAGGAGTGTTTGCCATGGCAGACTCCTCTGTGGGTTCAAAAGCGAACTACGGAGCTCCCTCCTTTAATCCTGTCACCGAGATTACTCATTACAGTCACACCCAGCATCTTGTTCAACATCAGAATTTACTCCATGACGAAATCTCTAACCAAAGGAAGTTTACTTAAACTATGCTGGGAAATCTGAAATTGCAGTACAAGAGCTGGTAAACTATGTGGTTATTTGACCTTTTTTTTAATTCAGTGGATTTGAATTAGTCTAAATCTGATGAAAAGAGTGATGAGACAAGTAGGAAAATATGTGTGAAATGTTTTTCAGCGCATTGAAAGAAACGCTAGATGGCGCCGTCGCACCGAATGTCATTATTTGCCGTTCCCTAATCTTTTAAAAAGCCTACTGTGAAAGTATAAAAAAACGGCCTACATTGCTGTGTTCTACAGCAGCATCTGCTGAGAAAGTGTTACTTTAATAATAAAGCAGCTTTACGTTGTGGTATTCTGCTCCACTCCTCCTCAAATCCCCCAAATATCCTTTCCTACTCTGATCTCTAAACTTTCATTATCTACATTCATTGGCCTCAGGCATGTGAAAACAGTCTTATCATTACAACATGTAAGTAATGATGGGCTTTTATTACAAGTTACTTAGTCATCATAAATGACTCGTCCATGGCCAAATAACACTGTCTGGTTTACCAGTGGGGGTTTTCTGGCGAAACGCTTGTTAACAGTGAAGACACGGAGAAAACTAAAAGTCTTACGTTTCTTGAGTGTTAAATTGATTGAGAGATTTAAGGGCATACAGGAGATTGCCTTGATACCTTGAGTTGCTGTGATGCCGTTTGGTTGGCACAGCAACGTTTTTAGTTTTTAGTGTACTTTCAATTTACTGTAAGAATTTAAAAACAGTCATTCCTCAAAATGGAAACACCTTCCTCTTTTTTTCTGTTTCCTCTTTTCCTGCTCTCGAGTTCAGTTATATTGATTTAAAAAAAAGACAAGCAGCAATTGCCAAGATCAAACCAATTATACAATGACTCTAAATAGCAAACCGACTGCAGCAGTCGGGTCATTTCAGACTTTCAATGCACAATGTTGTCTCTTCAACATGGTGTGTTTTGCATTGGCAGGTGCAAAGTCTGCAAATGTTAATTTATTATAGTTTAATCATCCAAATGAGCAAAAAATATATAAAAACAACAACTGTAGCTACATCCACATGTCTCTTTCTAAGGTCAGACGTTAATCACATGTTCAGTTTGATACGCCAGTAAATGAACGTTGCAGTTAGGTTAAACAAAAAAGAATAACAAAAGAGTTGATACTACTAAATCATGATACAACACAATTCACTATATAAAATATAATTACCATTCCTCCTTAAACCACCAGTGAACATACCAAAGCTTTCCCAAATATAAAACATACCAAATATTAAGTTAACGTGTTGGTAAGATAGCCAGTCCATTTATTTGAAAAGGCAAAAATCCAAACTAATAAAATGAAGTGGATCACAAAAATCACATGGTTCTGAATGGATTCAAGTCAAAACCATGTGATTTTAGAGAATCTGTTTTTTTGTTAAAGATCTTTGTGTTACAGGGATGGAGGAAATGGGAAGTGGGAAATGTTTAGTTTACAAATCCTTCCCTAATATGCAGCTGTAATCCAAAATGGGTGTGGCTCACATGGAGTTTGAGCTTCACCAATGAGTAACTAGTGGGGGAGGGGAAATCTACCAAACAGTCATTTACTTATCAGCTAACCTTGAGATGCTTCATCCTCTTTCTGGCTTCATCTGAAGCCCTGCTCTATAAATGCACATTTACTGAGAAAAAAATACACTTTTAATTGAATGCATTTGTTGTGGTAACAGATGAAAATGTGACCACTATTCATATACTAAATCTATTAAATAACAACGTGAAAACAATGAATACGTGTTGTTCGGCTCCCTTGGATTTTACCGAGCTCCATAGTGAGTTACAGCCGATGGTTCAACTGTCAACTGTTTGGATTGGATTTTGTTATTATTGTTATTTTATGAGATATTTCAGACATAACTACTTTATCAACCTCAAAGTGAACCCTTCAAACGCTGTTTTCTTCTTTATACAACTAAAGAAACCTTCCATGTGCAGACACACTGCCTCTAATGCCTTGAATCACAGATATGTTCAGCAACTTGTAATGTGGGATTTAAGTCTATGTCATTGAATTACTTCCCTGTTGGCTTGAGGCCTTTGTGGAAGGTATGAAGCAAAGCATCATATAATTTGTTCAAAGAGCAATTTTTATTGACATGTACGGTAAGCGTAATCTAAATTACTCTGATGATCCCAGATATTTCTGACTGGAAATAGCTTCCATTTGCCTTTCGTAGGAATTACGGTCATTGTTGTTATTATTGTCCTGGATATCAAGGATATAACTGTTCAGGTGTTTTCTTTTGAATTTGATGAACTATTTCTCAAGTAGAACTGGAAAAAAAACCATATTGCATACTGCTGCAACTTTCACTACTAATTCGATTACAAATATGTATTTGTCTATTCATCTTTCAACTGTTCCTTTGAACCACCATAAACCTTTTATGTGAAGGTCATTATAGTTCACTTTCGCACAGACAAATTAACAAACTCAAGGTGTGTCAATAACCCGATAGAAACCACTGAAAGGTAAATTACATATTGTCAACAATGTTTAGTTTTTCTAAAATGCGTAATATATGTGAAAACAAATCCAAAACCCGTGTGGAATCAAGCATTGACACCAACAAACAAACAAAGAAAAGCTATTATGTCAGATGCAAACTTACAGGCGAACATTGTGGCGCCTGACATCAGTTATGGCAACGACTGTCATAACCTGGTGCAATTATTAACCACCGCTAAAGTGCATCGACATGGTAAACACAGTTCAGAATGAGTCCTCTATAAAAACTGAGAGGGGAGTGTTTCATGACCACATATCAGATGCTTGTGGCCTCCATATAACCCGTCACTTCCAGTAAGGTCAGTTCTTTTTAATCTCAGCGTAAAGCTGTGAGATGTTAGAAGGAGGCTGAGGAGCCTGGTTCTTCTTTCGCTGCAGGTGGTCATCGTAGGTGGGACGGGAGGAGGCATCTGGAGGACGGTCGTTCTCTCTGATCTGGGCATATTCTGATGCGTCAGGCTGAACCCCGAGCTGCACTGTCCCACCGTCTCTTCTATGGAAAGTAGTGATATCTGCATAGGCCAAGTCCTGGAAACAACAAAGTCAGGAAGAAAATATACAATTACATTTAGAGTTATATTGCATCAGATGAAATATTAGCAGTAAAATGGATATCTGAGTAACAATGCCCAAAACAAGCATTAATACGAAAAGCTGAATTAAACTTTATCGAATGGATTTTTTCTTGTATTCATATAATTTTAAGAAACGTTGTACCTATAATTCGTCCGAGCAATATGTGCATACATTTTAGAATTACAATTAGAATCATTTTGACATTCAGTTTGAAATGTAAACCCATGCCATCATAACCTTAGGCCTTCACCAGTCAGGATTTGAGCTTAGCGAGGAAACTTAAGGGTTAACTGTCCTATAATGGTTGTTCACTTCTTGCCAGGTAGCACTGTAACTTGTGCCGCATGTGTAACCTGCTCCAGAGTAGATCAAGATAAGTGATCCACATGAAAGCAGCGCCCAATGACTAATGAAAGCTCAGTGAGCAAATACAAGTAAGTCAAAGTCAGAAACATATTTTAAACTGCTAAATACAAAAGGTAATATGCAAATCAATGTAATAATATCATAGTTCCAATTGTTAAACATTTTCCAGCTTTGATACTCAGGTTTATATCGGTTGTCTGGTAAATATTGGTTGAATTTTACCCAACTTACTGTGCATGCTTTGTTGTCCTGGCCTTCAGCTCCTTCAAATACAAGAAATAAACAATGTTTAGCATAACTTGAAGGCGTAGAATTCAGGAATTGTTGCGCCGCTAATTCTAGTCACGAGTTGTAAAGTGATGATTGTGAAGGATTCATGTTGATTAAGCCTATGCGTTATTTTTCGTGGTGAAATCGTGGCTTTTATTGCTTTAATGAAGCCAGTAGATACTGTTATAAAGTTCATATACTCTCATACCTGTTGGAGCGGTTGGGCTTCTGATGGAGTGTTTGTTTGCTGGTTTTCTGTTGAGAGAGTTAATGAGTTATTATGTGAGTAAAACAGTTGATCGGCATTATACCTCATTTTGCCACATAATTATAGGAATATTGACATGATATTGTGGAAATCAAACATATACTTATAAAAGTCATTTCTCCATATAAATTTTAGTCCAAAATGTGTTTTGAAAGAGTGAATTAAAATCATGATTTATAGCCAGCAACCTTTTCAAAGACACTCGAACACGGTTATTGGTTTAAGAGTTTTGAAACACTGATGTCAAATTTTTAACTCCTGGAGAGCCAAATACTCCAGAACAGTTTAATATTTATACCTGCCTAGTGTTACTCCACCATAAAGAGTCCAAGATGAAGGTGGGTTTAGCGTTTACTATATGAGATATACAATAAAAGCAGCACATGGGCCATTGACGCTTTGCTGAAAATCAACCTCTTGATTAAACAAAGTTCATGGTCTCAATGTCGACCTGATTCTAGTCCCTTATTGTCGGCTCTCTTCCTCTGCCGTGTAGTGACTCTCCTGTCATGCAAATCGCCTCCGCCTTTGGGTCCCAACTTAATAATACTGAGTGGTCTCCTGAACATAATCCTGAGTTTTATTCATTTAAAAAAGGCTCGCTGCTAGTTTGTCAAAGATATTTTCCACTTACTTTTTGTAATATAAGAAGCTCGCTCCGCAAACTGCTCCTAAGACGACTAAAACTGCGATGACTATTCCAGCGATGCAACCAGCCGAACATGGTGATGATGTGCCTGGAGGGTGAACTTGCAACAAGGGATAAGAACAGGATTTTTGCATCATTCTGTTTACAGAAACCACAGCAAGTGACTCATTACATCCGGCGATACAAAGCATACAACCATTTCTATTGGACTCCACAGTTGGTCAGTGACAACTACTGGTTTGTTTACATCAGTAAGGCCTTTAATGTACGTCTACTTTAGCTTCTCAACATCTAGTCATCATGTGTTGGTACTGATGACATTTTGGAGGTGAAATAATTAGATGGCCTCTGCGGTACGCTCATCTCTGCTTCAGGCCAGCTTCTCGACTAGTTACGAGTTAATCCCAGCTAACCGTGCAGGAGACTGTAGACCCGGGACTTGTTGACAGTCCGCTGACATGGAGACAGACAACCATTCTTGGAACCATTCGCACAAGTCCCTAATTAACCAATCCTGCCTGTCTTTGGACTGTGGGAGAAAGTTTCACAATGCGTGCGATGAGCTAGTATGCGATCTCAAAAACTTCCTAAATCACTGACCAAACTGTAGCCAATGAGTAACATTGTAGGAAGAGAGAAGAATGCTGTGAATAAAAACTACTTGATGTACTACAACTAAAAGAACAATGTTAAGCAACATCTTGGTACCTGTTACAGACAATCCATGGAGCGCTGTCGATGTTCTCCCAGTCACATTATTCATCACTTCACAGGTGTAGTTGCCGCCATCAGAAGGTTCAGTGTTGTCTTTAGTGTAAACGGCAGAATTGTGTATCTCTGTCGAGTTCAGCATCCAGGTGTAAGTAGCAGGTACGGACTCAGCAGAGCAAGTTAATGTTAACGTCGTTTTCAAATCAATATCACTTGGACCTTTGATTTGAACATTTTCTGGTCCATCTGAAAAACAGATATTTGTAGTTCTTTAAGCGGCTTTAAACAACGTATTTCAATATTCCACAGTCATTTATTTATTCATTAAATGTGTAGTTTGTTACCCACAGTAAACAACCATCTTGTATTCAGCTCCTTCTTGGCTCACAGGGTTGGTGACGTTACATAAATAAACTCCGGTGTCGTTTCTCCTGAGACTGTTGAAAGTCAGCACTCTGTTGTTCTCCTGAAGTGACAGGTGGTCATCTGGAGTGAGCTTCACGCCGTCCTTCTTCCACTCTCTGGAGATCATCGAGCCACCAGCGTCACATGACAAGTTGAAAGAGTTCCACTCAATTGACAGGTTTGTTTGCGATGTGACAGAAGCACCTGATATTCTCTCTGTTGGGAACAAGAAGTATGAACAATATGAGGAACAGGAACAAAAGTAACTTTTACTGTGAATTGTCTGACAAGCTTGACCAAATGTCATTGTTTCATTGTTTTGACAATATAGATGTTGTCATCCATAAACACAACATTGACACGTTGTCGTTGTTGATGTTTATGTAGCAAACATTTAGGTTAGACATGCAGAACATACAAAGTAATATTTGGAGTTGTGAGTCTGTCCATCAGATGAATGTAAGTCCACAAATATCGGTTGTTTCAGCTACAAAATGATCCACTTTTTTCAGCAGTTATATATACATACATATTTATATACACTTTAAATTTGCTTGTAAGATTAGGCAATATAGTTTTAAATTCAAAAAGGTTTTGAATTGATGTTGAATTTGATGTTACACAAGTTACTCAAATGTATAATGTTTGTCTTTAATCATTGTTGTTCCATGATAAACTGTCTTTAATCTTTGTAAGTACAAATTGATATACCGATGCTACCATCACTAAAAATCCTAATTCAATTTTACCCAATAAGTGTCACGGTTTGGGTTTGTTTTCTGTTTTATTTTGTAGTTTCCTGCCTCTCGTGTCCCTGGGTAACTTCACTTCCTACCTTGTCCTGTCACCCGCACCTCCCCTTTGTCGCGTCATTGAATCTACTGAATGTCTTGTGAGTTCCTGGTCCCTGCCTGTGTTTTTCCCCTTGGCAGTTTGATTTTGACTATTAAAGTCTTTTTGCTTTTCATCTCTGCGTCTGGGTCCTGTCTTCCCCGTTCGTGACAATAAGAGAAAACTGAGGGCAGAGATGTTTTCCGTTCTTTGTTGTTAAAGGCCAGACAGCTGTAGTTCCCACTCGGATCATCTGAATGTTCATCAGTCCGAGCTCCGGTATGCAGTATCAGACAGCGAGTCTCCATTTAGAAACCATAGAAGCAGTGCAAGAGGCCTGGAGCCACCTGAGCCCCTCAGGCTGACCTTTGACCCCTCGTCATAATAGTTTTGTGTTTTCTTTTGTGAGATATTCTCAAAATATTTTCTGGCCCATCCATAGTGTCGAGAAAAACTAAAGAATCACCGAAAGAAGATGCTACACGACATGCAGCTCCTCCCGACGTGAAGCCTCATGATGCTGTGCATCAACTTTGAAGCATATATGCATGCACATGGTGCAAGATAAAGAATCTGCACATTTAAGTCAATAACTCAGTTAATGGAGAGGTTTACTGGATCACCGGTGTCATTGCTTAGAGGATTAAACAGCTGACACTTGAATGGTCCCTGGTCATAGCGGGTCACATTGACTATAGTGAGAGTGGAGCCTCCATCAGCGAGTTGAACTGAGCTGCAGTTCAGCCAGAGGAAAGAGAGAGAGGATCATAGTGCTGTAGTCCAACATGTCCGTTGGGTTTGCAGTTACCAAAACATTGGCCACATGCACTGTGGGTAAAAAACAAAAAATGTAATTTATTTGATGTATTTTACCTAATCAGCCACGACCACATTCACCTAACAGACAAAAAGTTCCATCGCTTACAGAATAGACTGCAAAGCAACACAATAAAAAGAAGACACTTCTCAAAGAGAAGGTTGATTGGCCTTTTCCTGACCTCTTTATGTTGTAATCTTGTGACGTCATGATAATCCGGCTGCTGTCTAATGAACTAACACAGAGAAAGAAGAGCTGCAAGAAGAGGGCTGTGTTTTGCAAATTCTGACTTTCTGTCTTCTCCAGAAAACTACATTTCCCAGCTTAAGATACTGTCATCGGATATCATCACAGGTACATCCTGTTGTTTTTATATCCATCAAACAAAAACTTCCATTGAAACTTACTCAGTACAGAGACGGCTGCAGGCTGAGATTGTATTGATCTCAGAGTTTTGTTGTTCGAGGCTTGACAGTAGTAGTTCCCACTCTGGTTCTCCTGAACATTATCCAGACTGAGCTCTGGGCTCTCAGACAGCTTGTCTCCATTTAGAAACCACATAAATTGGGCAGCAGGTCTGGACTCAGATGAGCACGTCAGCCTGATTTTTGATCCTTCATCATAGTGCTCAAGTGACGGAGATATTGTCAAATTAATATTTTCTGGGCCAACTGCATGTAGGGTAAACAAAAGCAAAAAGTGAGAACGCAAAACTGCATTTTCATGTGTCAAGTCAACAAAATAATAAAAAGTCTATAAATATAACAGAACAAGTCTGTGTCAAACAATTTCTAAATGAAACAGTCTGTATCATTTTGTTGACTTTGTGATGTAGATTAATTCATTTCATGAGCCTGAAAAATGTGTTTCTAATACTTTGGACAACACAATGTAGACAGAAGTCAGAGGAGAGACCTTTCCTCACTAGATCTAAACTTTTCTATCTGGCTTTGCATCCAGATGTTGCCGGATGAAGAAGTGAGCGTGCAGGTCAGTAACTCACAGCTGATGGAGAGGCTTATTGGATCACTCGTGGCTTCACTGACAAGGTTGAACACACGACACCTGAATGTTCCCTGGTCGTAGCGCGTCACATTAATTGTGACATTTGCGCCTCCGTCAGAGAGCTGAACTCTGTCGCCGGCTGTAAGCTGAGAGCTGCCGTTGAGCCAGAGGAAAGACAGAGAGGATCCATAGGAGGAGCAGGACAGACGGACAGAGGTGTCCTCCTGCAAGTCCCTGCTGCTGGCTGTTGCCGTGACATCAGAAACTGGAACTATGGATGACAACAGAATGTTTTGATGTTTGCCACCACATAACTGTGGCTCAGTGGAGAGCAGGTTCGTCCCTCGATCAGAGGATGGGTGATTCGATCCCCAGCTGCGTTAGTGTCCCTATCAAAGTGTCTTTGTGCAAGACGCTTCACCCCAAATTGCTGCCGTAGCTGTGACTGCGGTGAGTGAATGTTAGTTACTGATTGGCAGGCATGTATTGTATACAGGTGTATTTAAAAGATGGTACAGAGGGTAGAGTAGAACATTTTCAGTGATGACAATGTGATGAAAATAAATATACACCACAAAATGTTGAATAAAATAATAATAAATAAAATAATAAAAATAAATAATTTTGTGAAAAAGTAATTTGAAATAAGTTAGTGACTCAGCGAGCCAAATCTCATAAGGGTGTTTGTTATAAAAGGGCCCTGATCGCAAAAGCACTGGTCCCTTAAGTTTTATGTTTAGTATCTAAAGGCCCTAACTGGCAAATAGGGGATTAACATTTCCTCTACATATTTTGGGGCCACACTCATACGTGCGTAAAAGTGATCAGTAATATCTCAGATTCAATTCTAACACAAACAGGGAGCCATTGAAGAGAATCCAGGACTGGGTGATGTTGTCTATTAAAAGCAGTGATTAACACAGCTGGTGTGATCTGGACTAGTGGCAGGTGACAGAGAGGCAAGACAAATATTTAAATTACAGTCAAACGTGTCAGACAGACATGAGGACTGAGGATTGAGGATTCATAGACCTTAAATGACTTAAATGATTACCAGAGGGAAACCAATCCCCAAATTTGGAAAGAAAATACAATTTACAATAACAGTTTATTCTTGCTCTTAGAAACACTTGTTTGACAAAAAAGAAAAGCTTTCTTAAAGTTGATTTGCTTGTTTTTGTCTCAATGTCAAACAGTTATCATGTTATTGTGTCATCATTATCCGTTTAACATCTGTTTAAATTTATCTAATTAAAAATCACCCAACACAATTATTCATTTATCACCCAACTCTCATGCATCTCCACCCAAATGAAAAACAACATGTGAAATGTCCTCACCATGTACGCCCAGTTCTGTTCTCCCATCCTCTATTAGTGCTGTACCTGTAAGGGAAACGCTGTACTGTCCACTGTCGTTAGAAGTCACGTTCCTGAGCTCCAGAGATCCAGTAGATATGAAGAGAGTGATCCTGCCCTCGTACTCCGGATGAGTGATGTTGGCACCCAGGTAATCAATTATTACCGTGTCACCAAATTTCCACCTCACTGTTAGAAATGGTGTTTCTGGTGGAGTCAGAGTTGTGTTGAACCTCACTGTCGCTCCCACAGCTGCGTTCAGAGGACCGTCTGGCAGTACACCAACTCCTTTGGTCAAACCTGGTGGAGACATTTAATTACAGGTCTGAGACTTGCTGATCAATTGAGGAAATAGCCAAATCAGCCATTCGTAACACATAACATTACTCATAATGCCAGGAAGGAACACACAAAAATGTTTTTTTCCGATTACAAGCACAAAGAAATTGAGCCATTTATCCCAGTTGGGTGATTATTTATCAGAACCGCCTACAATATCATACATCTTAATGCATCACACACTTTTCAATAAATCTACACTTTTGATATTTATTTTATTCATAGCACAGGCATTAAACCCAATTATAAAAAAATGTCTTGGATCAGGCATTAAGTTACTTTTATTAGCTATGAATACGGTCTGCTGTCCATGCTGCTATTAAGTCACAAAAGCACGACAGAAAGCATTAAGATCCAGGCACCTTTCCAGCAACATCTATACAATTTTTAAAGTTTAGAAAAAATGTTTTTAACACTGACGGTAGTAGACAATAGAACTTGAAAATCAGAAGAGCTTACCTGTAAAAACCACCACAACCGTACAAAGTAAAGAAAAAATATCCATTGATCTGCCTTTGTGAGATACTAACCGCTGGGCGAAATGTCACTCTTTAAACTTTGACGGTCCTATTAAATGTGAGACTCCGGCAGCTGTAATCATACGAGTGAGTAAACGCAGAGCTGATGTGACAAAGTGCATATTGAGACAAACCCACTAAGCAAAGGCACTGGGCGTCGCCCTCTAGTGGTGTAAATGTGTTTTTTTTATTGGCATACATACAGAAAAACGAGGATCCGAAAATACAGTAGTATAGTACAATTAATTTATATTTCTAATTATTGAATTACTAATGAATTGCTAAATTGTATTTTTACAGGATGTGTGCCATACAGAGTGGAATACTGTTTTTAAAAAGTGAATTGAATGGAAAGGAGCAGTAGACATCTTTAAATATTCTTACATTTCTTTTGCCTTCTCGCCCCGCAAGTTTCCATTATTCGTCCCATTACTTTTGCTGTCAACGTCAATGCAAACCTTTGTTTCTTCTACAGAGTATTTGTGCTTTCTCCTCACATGTTTCTATGCATCAGTCTGGGCCCTGTTCCTGGCCCCTGCCATGGACTTGCTGACAACTGCTGCCGCTATCATTATTATTATCAATATTAATTACAATACTAATACAGTCGTCATAAACAAAGATTAACGACTGAAGTCTTTGTGCTTTCCTCCCCACAGGTTTCTGGGGATGGTGGTCTGGTCTTGTGGTTATATCTGATTGTGGTCAGATCTAATGGTGGTTGTGTCTGATGGTGATTGTGTCTGATGGTGGTTGTGTCTGATGGTGGTTGTGTCTGATGGTGGTCGTGTCTGATGGTGATTGTGTCTGATGGTGGTTGTGTCTGATGGTGGTTGTGTCTGATGGCGGTTGTCCATGCATGCATAGGTCCTGGCGTACACCTGGGTTACTACTCGCAACATTTGAATCATTTCTGCTGTAGGAATTTAATGAATTGTACATATTTTTACACAACATTTATTGCATTCTGTCCATCCCGGGAGAGAGATCCTCCCTAAGATTTTCCTTTTTATCTCACATCGAAGGGCATTTTATCTGTTGGAGAATTTTTTCTTTGCTGTCGTGAGGTTTCGGGACAGGGAATGTCGCAAATTTGTAATTTGTGATTTTGGGCTACAAAATAATAATAAAATCATGAATTGAATTGAATGGAAAATACATACATGAATGTTTGAGTCATTGTATGATATCGTGAACAGACAAAACACTAGTTTCGATTCAGCTTTTATGAACTTTTTTTTGTTTTTTTTGTCTGCACTTTTAAAAAATTTTTACTTGTGAATTGATACGATTGAGTTTGTTGAGTCTTTTTTTAAAGATAGAAGAGGGGTAACAAAATAAAGAAACTCATAATAATGAATAAAAAATAAACATACATTTCAGCCCCATTTTGTTGTAATGCATCATGGATCTAGATATATTTTCAAAAAATAAGATTTGACCAGCAGGTGGGGCAATTGGATATTTCATGAGATGTTTGACTAAAATTTTAAAGAGGCACAAGTGGAAGGTCAGAGGATCACACGGTATGTGTGTGCGTATGTGTGTGTTTTTAATCTCCGAGTGCCATGAATGTCTGTATGACCAAAGTGGACGACAAACCTGCCAAACAACAGACTAACATTGATACAGAGACTACAGAATATTATGGCAAAGAACAGCTACAACGGACATACAACAAGCCACTGTGGTGGAATATATTCTCTTATACAATCAGGAATCAGTTTCTTGTGAATCAAAGCTGGTGTCGTGGAACTTTCTCAAAAATTAAATGTAATAAAACATTATGGCGTCATATTTTACCATTTATACCACACACTGCATTCGACTTTGTCCCCAGTGGTTGATGATACAGTGAGTTAATGATCAACAGACAAGTGGACCTTATGAGGATGTAACATGACTTCACTTCCTGCACATACCTTCCTTGTTCTACCTTCATATAATTAAATCAGCCCTCTTTGAAAATGGAAACGCTAAGTGAAGGAGTGTGATCCTGCTTTTTCTCTTACTCATAGTAATAAAACGACAGAAGAAATGGAAATAGCGGTGATCATCCTGATGGCCATGTCAGGTGAGCTCTTATGATACAGCAGATACAAGTGACTATTATTATTATGATTATCAAGGTTCCTCTGTTGCTCTATGTGGTAGGACACATTTTACCAACAAAGGCTCAAAGAGGAGTTTCTGTGCAGCTCTTTATTGACAGCTTTGTTAACAACTACTGCAGCCTTTCATCACTTTGATGATCACTTTAACTTTATTGAGTAAGTATCTATTTCTGTTCGTAGCGAAGACAACATTTTAAAAAATACTTCCATAGCCAAAACTGAGCTATGAAAAGATGCTTCCCATAGGCAGAGGTGTACTGTGTAAAACCTTCTGAGGGAGAATAGTTGTTTAGTCTGCTAACGATTTGTGTTTTGGGTAGTTTTTTAGTCCCTGTAAATGTCTCCACCAGGTTTGACCAAAGGAGCTGGTGTGCTGCCAGATAGTCCTCTGAACGCAGCTGTGGGAGAGACAGTGATGTTCAGCACAACTCTGACTCCACCAGAAACACCATTTCTAACTGTGAGGTGGAGATTTGGTGAGAAGGTAATACTTGATTACAATACCACTAGTGGCAACATCCCTCATCCGGAGTACGAGGGCAGGATCACTCTCTTCATATCTACTGGATCTCTGGAGCTCAGGAACGTGACTCCTAATGACAGTGGACAGTACATCGTTATCATCATTACAGGTGCAGGACAAATACAGGATGGGAACACAGAACTGGGCGTACATGGTGAGGACATTTCATTTGTTGTTTTTTATTTGGGTGGAGATGCATGAGAGTTGGGTGATAAATGAATAATTGTGTTGGGTGATTTCAAATTAGATTAATTCAAACAGATGTTAAAATGATAATGATGACATAATAACATAATAACTTTGATATTGAGACAAAACAAGCAAATCAACTTTAAGAAAGCTTTTCTTTTTTGTCAAACTAATGTTTCCAAAAGCAAGAGTAAACTGTTATTGTAAATATTTTTTGGGGATTGGTAATGATGTTTAGGGTAATTTAAGGGCAATACCAAAGTGTAATTTAAATATTTGTCTTGGCACACAAATCACCTGCCACTACATCAAATAGCAGCAGCTGTGTTAACCACTGGTTTTAATAGACAACATCACCCATTCCTGGATTGTCTCCAATGGCTCCCTGTTTGTGTTAGAATTGAATCTGAGATAAACTTTAAACACTGATGAAATCAACATTCTGAAAAAACGTGGTTACACTGTGGAACATCTTTTAAATCAGGGGTCTTCAACTCAAAAGAGGTCCAGTTAGAGGTTCCGACAAAATGTCACTCCAAGCTATTTTGAAAAGTTGAGAGCGCTGTGGGACGGTTTAACTTGAATGCAATTGCACAACTGTCTTTTTTTATCTTTTGGTCCGTATCCGGATGGAATGGCTTCTGGGACGCGGTCCGCCATTTAGGGACCTCTGTTTTAAATACACCTGTATACTCAAATACATTGCTACACAACAGCCTTGCTTAGTATGCTTTTCACTTGACATCGATCCAATTCAAAATCTTCCGACCACTCGAAGCGCTTTAACGCTACATGACATCATTTACCCGTTCACACACTGATGACAGGAGCAACCACACACAAGGCCGCCTGCCCATCAGTTACTAACATTCACTCACTGTAGTCACTAACAGAGCCGGGGATCGAATCGCCGATTCTCTAAATAAACGATGACCTGCTCTCCACTGAGCCACAGTTATGTGGTGGCAAACATCAAAACATTCTATTGTCATCCATAGTACCAGTTTCTGATGTCACGGCAACAGCCAGCAGCAGGGACTTGCAGGAGGACACCTCTGTCCGTCTGTCCTGCTCCTCCTATGGATCCTCTCTGTCTTTCCTCTGGCTCAACGGCAGCTCTCAGCTTACAGCCGGCGACAGAGTTCAGCTCTCTGACGGAGGCGCAAATGTCACAATTAATGTGACGCGCTACGACCAGGGAACATTCAGGTGTCGTGTGTTCAACCTTGTCAGTGAAGCCGCGAGTGATCCAATAAGCCTCTCCATCAGCTGTGAGTTACTGACCTGCACGCTCACTTCTTCATCCGGCAACATCTGGATGCAAACCCACATAGAAAAGTTTAGATCTAGTGAGGAAAGGTCTTTCCTCTGACTTCTGTCTACATTGTATTGTCCAAAGTATTAGAAACACGTTTTTCAGGCTCATGAAATGAATTAATCTACATCACAAAGTCAACAAAATGATACAGACTGTTTCATTTAGAAATTGTTTGACACAGACTTGTTCTGTTATATTTATAGACTTTTTATTATTTTGTTTACTTGACACATGAAAATGCAGTTTTGCATTCTCACTTTTTGCTTTTGTTAACCCTACATGCAGTTGGTCCAGAAAATATTAATTTGACAATATCTCCGTCACTTGAGCACTATGATGAAGGATCAAAAATCAGGCTGACGTGCTCATCTGAGTCCAGACCTGCTGCCCAATTTATGTGGTTTCTAAATGGGACCATGCTAACTGCTACTGAACCAGAGCTCAGTCTGGTGAATTTTCAGGAGAACCAGAGTGGGAACTACTACTGTCAAGCCTTGAACGACAAAACTCTGAGATCAATACAATCTCAGCCTGCAGCCGTCTCTGTACTGAGTAAGTTTCAATGGAAGTTTTTGTTGTACAGGATGTACCTGTGATGATATCCGATGACATCTTAAGCTGGGAAATGTAGTTTTCTGGAGATGACGGAAATAGAAGCGAGAAGACAGAAAACAGCCCTTCTCGTGCAGCTCTCCCGTGCTAAGCACCTCCCATTAGACAGCAGCCAGATGCTCTTGACGGCACAACTTCTTTTTCAACATAAAGAATTTAGCAAAAGGCCAATCCATCTTATTTGAGATTTTTTTTATTTAATTGGGTTGCTTTGCAATCTATACTGCAAACAATGGAATAGGAAACCTTTACGACCATTAAGTCAGGCTTTTCACCAACCTGTATGTGTGCGTGCATCTGCATTGTGCAACAGTTTTTTGGTACGTCTCTGTGAAATGATCTGCTATTGCTCATAGTGTCCCTTCAGCAGGTTTTCTAGAGTCTGAAACAAGAATAAGAGTTTTAGACGTAAAAACAAAAACGGCTTTAAAAAACATTTAGGAAAAAAAGCGCTTTAACGCTACATGACATTATTCACCTGTTCACACACTGATGACAGGAGCAACCACACACAAGGCCGCCTGCCGATCAGTAACTAAAATTCACTCACCGTAGTCAACAACAGAGCCGGGGATCAAAAACATACAAATTAAATATGTACAGCATTATTTTAAGGTGTATTTATGTAACTGCCCTTCAAATAACAGTTGGACAGTATTAGAAATGGACAGTTAAATATAGGGCATCATTTTGTAGCTTTACATTCACCTGGACAGAAACACAACTCCAAATGTTACTTTGTATGTTCTGCATGTCTAACCTAAATGTTTGCTACATAAACTCCAACAATGACAACGTGTCAATGTTGTGTTTATGGATAACAACATCTATAGAGACCTGTGGTCAAAACAATGAAACAATAACATTTAGTCAAGCTTCATCTGTATTTAGAGTCAATCTCTATAATAAGTAGCTGCTTTGCATTTATTCAGTGTGTGAACTGACTTTATTTTTCTAAGAAGTCAATGATTTTTCTAAACTATAAAATGGTCATAACTGTGTCTGACAGTCTGTTGTCATGTTGATTGTGGTGATGGACTGTTACGCACTTCTCTAAAGAGAGCATACCGTAACACGCCATCACAAGTGAGCTGGCAGTAAGGTGGGTGAGGTGAAAAAATTGCGTGGGCACACAAGCAGGACCAACAAAACACAGTACCGTTTAAACGAGGTTTATTTCACCTATAATACGGTAGTGGGGGAAAAGGGGCTGAGCGGAGCCAAAGCAAAGAAATTAACCAATGAAAAAGACCCCTAACCTATCTAGTCTAAACACAATCTGCTAAACTCTCTATGATAAATACAAGGGGTGGTCCGCCCAGGTCTTACCTCGTGTATATAGACAGAGGTTTATCTACGGGTAGTATTTAAACCCCATTGTGCGGTCCCCTTTTCCCTGGGACAACTGAAGAAACAAAAAATGAATAGTACACACAACGTGATAACAAACAATAACAACAATAACTTAACCTTCACCAGTTCAAATAACCAAATACATACGTAAACAAAACAAAAGAACTGTCACTTGAACACAGCGCCGCTCAAAACAATAGTTCCTTCCAAAAGTTCCAAAAGCACGTAACATGGCCCCAAAAGCTGAAAACGGGGGAAAAGGTTCAACAGTCTTTATTATAGAGAACCGGGGGTTTCATTGTGGAGAGCAGGCGGGGGGAATGGTCGGCAGGGTGGAGCAGGTTGAGTCCAGAATGCAGGTTACGGGGAATCCAGAGTAGAGTATGGACCTGAGGCTGAGGCAAACAAAGAGCATTAACAGGTGGCAAGATAGCAGCGCGTCTAAGCCTTTGGATAAGGTCCAGGTTTGCAAACTGACGATCTGTCGGGGACTGAGTGGAAGAATATAAAGCCTGGAGCTTGATTGGTGAATGCCTTTCAGCTGTGCAGGTCAAATGGTGGGAGGGGCACCGCAGGTGTGTGGACAGAATGACACTTGACGTGTTACAAAGTCGTTACGTCTGCGTCATTCAAGTTCCTTTGAAAGGTTTTAGTCAGACAATTCACAGTGAAAGTTACTTCCTGTTCCTCATATTGTTCATACTTCTTGTTCCCAACAGAGAGAATATCAGGTGCTTCTGTCACATCAGAAACAAACCTGTCGATTGAGGGGAACTCTTTCAAATTGTCATGTGACGCTGGTGGCTCGATGATCTCCAGAGAGTGGAAGAAGGACGGCGTGAAGCTGACTCCAGATGACCACCTGTCACTTCAGGAGAACAACAGAGTGCTGACTTTCAACAGTCTCAGTAGAAAAGACACCGGAGTTTATTTATGTAACGTCACCAACCCTGTGAGCCAAGAAGAAGCTGAATACAAGATGGTTGTTTACTGTGGGTAACAAGCTACACATTTAATGAATAAATAAATGACTGTGGAATATTGAAATATGTTGTTTAAAGCCGCTTAAAGAACTACAAATATCTGTTTTTCAGATGGACCAGAAAATGTTCAAATCAAAGGTCCAAGTGACATTGATTTGAAAACGACCTTAACATTAACTTGCTCTGCTGAGTCCGTACCTGCTAGTTACACCTGGATGCTGAACTCGACAAAGATACACAATTCTGCCGTTTACACTAAAGACAACACTGAACCGTCTGATGGCGGCAACTACATCTGTGAAGTGAAAAATTTTGTGACTGGGAGAACATCGTCAGCGCTCCATGGATTGTCTGTCACCGGGCTGCCTGGTCTGTCAGGTACCAAGATGTTGCTGATTTTGTTGATGCATTTGATTATTGAAGTGACTCATAGGGTTTCTCGTCTCATCATCTTAAGTGCAGTCGGCTTCCTCAAGGTGTTTCCTACTGTCCACACATGCTGGTAGCAGCTCATGTAGCATCACCACACCAGCCTCACGCAGATATGAGGAGCACTTTACTGACGTGTGGTAACCTTCTCCTCACCCCTCACTCCAAGATGTTGATTTTCATTTTCCAACTTGTTATCTTGTTACTTTTGTCATCCTGATAAACAGACACTTTTTAATCGATCGAAGAGGGCCAGGCACTCTGAACCAATCGGTTCTCAGCTGCTTTCTGCCCAAAGAGGATGTAAAACTCTGACAATTTGCTTTGAAGGGATCATTTCACTATTTTGACCATTTCAATTTCCCCTCTAGTGATTATTTTTAAGATTTTACAAATAGCTGATACTTCTAAAGGAATTGGTTGTCTGACTTATTTTTCTTTTCACTTAACGACGGCTCTGCAGGTCTTTCAGTTGGGGCCATTTCTGGAATAGTTATCCTTTGTTTAGCAGCTTCTTCTGCTGGAGCAGGTGGAGGCTACTATATTTATAAGAAAAAGTAAGAATTTGCGCTTTTATCATAATTTTAGCATAAATAGATGAAGGAAAGTTGAAGCCTTACTTAACATTGACCTAACTATGATCTCTTATAATTAAACCTATGAGAGAAGTACAAGATGCAAAGATTCATTGTTTTAGATTAAGGCCATTCTTTAGATTTTCACTGGATGTCGATATAATATATTTTTATATATATAAATATAATTTTGGTCACCTTCACATTTTTTTATAATTTAAAATGTACTTCAAGAAGTTAAATACTTAGTTGATTGTTTTTTAGAAGTTTTATTCATTTAAATAAGTAAACAATCTTGCATTATAGTCTTAAAAGGTCCTCCGGAACACAATACAGATTACAGCTGGCATTTTGAGTTGCATCTTAAGGTACGGCCACATTTTAACAATGCTTTATTTCTAATATTTAGGATCAACAAGAACGCTACGCCCCGTCCAGAAAGTAACGGTTTGTATTTCTCTGATACATACTGTGTAATATATATCTGATACTATATATATGTGTATATTGTATGTGATTAACGTGGCCGGGATTAATGCGATAACATTTTCTAACGCAGTTAACGCTTCACACCGGCGAGCTGAGTGGGCGGAGCCTAATTCTCCCAGAACGGACGTTGTTTGTACAACAGGTCAGCAGCATAAATGAGTTTTTGATTTTAGTTGAGACACCTGCTTGACAAAGACTTGCCTTTGCTTGCCGCTGTCACAAGGAGGATCTCGACCCTGCTGACATCTACCCTAATCAGATGTAACAAACCTTTTTGTTTTATGCCTAGAACAAGAAGGATCTGTGTACGAGAACACGAAAAACATATATGAAAACTGAAAACTCAACAATCGTCTATTCCTTAAAAAGGTGAGTTTTTTTAATTTATTAATCTGATGTGGTAAAAAATAGATGATTGGATTTCATAGGAAAATACACCTAGAATGTTGTTATGGAAACATTGTAACACAGCTTATATAAAGAAATGACAGCATGAAACACTCACTGAACTCTTGGAACATACAGTTGATCAGAGCCAAAACACCACAAGTAACATTTCCCTCTTTTTCACTTATTGTCCTGTAGGCTACTTGAAAGACGAAGAGCTCCACAACAAGACGACACATTTATCAGACACAACATAATTATTACCTTATTCATCTCAACAGTTAATGTGTTAGTAAGGATTTCTTAATCCTCTAATAGACAGAAAAAGTGGTATTTCTGCTGCATTTACTGTCAAAAGCCATTCCAATTTTCACTGTCCATTAATGTAGTGAGTCTTTACCAGAGCTTTGTTGCTGAGAACTACATCAGGGCCCCGTTCCTCGTACGTGGCTGACAGTAGTGGTGTAGTCTACGTGATACGCAGGTCTACGCCGTATAGCCACTAACAAAAGCTCGATGATACGTAACAACATCGCTGTGACAGAACGTTGTAACCTCTCATTCAGAAATTCAGCCCGTCTGTGTTGTGAAGCACTTTGGATCTTTGGGGCTTCCGTGCCCTCCATCTGACGCAACGTCGTTACTAAGCAACAACACGTTGTTTATTTACAAGACCTTCTCGAGCCCAACGTTCTGTACTGTCTCCCACACTGTCGCCCACACTGTCTCTCATACTGTGCATGTTTCTACAGTGTTGCGATGCAGAGAACATTTGGAAAGCCGCTGCATTTCGTGCTGTTCGTAGAGTTCTGTTTGTTTATTTGGCGCTTAATAAACGTCACGTATCATGCATGGATCAGGTCCAGTCTACAGAACTCACGACTCTTTGCTGTTCTGGCTCAGGAATAGTGGAATGAGCTCTCTGATGACATCAGGACCGCAGAGAGCCTTCACATCTTACAGGACACACCTCTTCAGACTATGACTTGACTAAAAACACAATACAAATTCTAGCACTTAATTTGTACCTATAACGGCTCTTGTCTATAACCAGCTGTAAATAGGCTTATTTAATGAAATTGCACTTTCTTGTTTCTTGTTCTTTTTAGTTTGTATCCTTATGGTTGAAATGCACTTATTGTAAGTCGCTTTGGATAAATCAGCTAAATGACATATAATGTAATGTAACATAATATTTCACTGCTTGAATTGATAAAATTTCTGATTATGAGTAATAGACATATACTGATATACACACGCCCATACACACACTTACACATTTAACTTGTCTGTGATACTGTCGGGCTTGTAGCCCTCACAGGGGGCAGTGTGAGTTTTTGCCTTGATGATTAGATTCAATTCAAAATAATTAAAATAATAGATAAATAATTTGCATAACGATCACAATTGAAATAAATCATTGAATGTGTCAATTGATATTCACAAACTTTGATGTATATTGGTGTCTATTCAATAAACACTTTATGTAGATCCTCGGTGCCTTCTGTATCACTGCCTCTGAATACCACAGAATTTTTTTTTCATAGATCCACAAAAACATAAAGCCAGGTGCCAGATTTCACCTTGTTGATCTTCTCTGGGATGAGTCAGGTTCTTCGATCACTTCGGTGACCATGTAGTGCTTTCACTTTAGAGTCACAATACGCTTATACCTTTATCAATTTTCAAAAGATAAGGGAAAGGTTTTACCAGCAGGGGAAGCAAGAGGATATTTCATGAGATCCCTGTCAAACTTTGTGGCAGTCCATCAAACCGTTTTTAGATGTTTGACTAAAATTTGAAAGAATCACAAGCGGAAGGTCAGAGGATCACACAGTATGTGTGTGCGTATGTGTGTGTTTTTAATCTCCGAGTGCCATGAATGTCTGTATGACCAAAGTGGACGACAAACCTGCCAAACAACAGACTAACATTGATACAGAGACTACAGTATATTATGGCAAAGAACAGCTACAACGGACATACAACAAGCCACTGTGGTGGAATATCTTCTCTTATACAATCAGGAATCAGTTTCTTGTGAATCAAAGCTGGTGTCGTGGAACTTTCTCAAAAATTGAATGTAATAAAACATTATGGCGTCATATTTTACCATTTATACCACACACTGCATTCGACTTTGTCCCCAGTGGTTGATGATACAGTGAGTTAATGATCAACAGACAAGTGGACCTTATGAGGATATAACATGACTTGAATTCCTGCACATAACTTCCTTGTTCTACCTTCATATAATTAAATCAGCTCTCTTTATTTTGAAAATGGAAACGCTAAGTGACGGAGTGTGATCCTGCTTTTTCTCTTACTCATAGTAATAAAACGACAGAAGAAATGGAAATAGAGGTGATTGACTTCATCATCCTGATGGCCATGTCAGGTGAGCTCTTATGATACAGCAGATACAAGTGACTATTATTATTATGATTATAAAGGTTCCTCTGTTGCTCTATGTGGTAGGACACATTTTACCAACAAAGGCTCAAAGAGGAGTTTCTGTTCAGCTCTTTTTTGACAGCTTTGTTAACAACAACTGCAGCCTTTCATCACTTTGATGATCACTTTAACTATTGAGTAAGTATCTATTTCTGTTCATAGCAAAGACAAACATTTTAAAAATACTTCAGAGCCAAAAGCGAGCTATGAAAAGAGGCTTCCCATAGGCAGAGGTGTACTGTGTAAAACCTTCTTGAGGGAGAATAGTTGTTTAGTCTGCTAACGATTTGTGTTTTGGGTCTTGATCCCTGTAAATGTCTCCACCAGGTTTGATCAAAGGAGCTGGTGTGCTGCCAGATGGTCCTCTGAACGCAGCTGTGGGAGAGACAGTGATGTTCAACCCAACTCTGACTTCATCAGAAACACTATTTTATGTGTCGTGGATATTTGGTGATAATATAATAATTCAATACAATACCTATGGTCCCAACAACACTGATCCGGAGTACGAGGGCAGGATCTTCATATCTAATGGATCTCTGGAGCTCAGGAACGTGACTTCTAATGACAGTGGACAGTACAGCGTTATCATTGTTCGAGATGGAGGAAAGATAGCGGTAGGGGTCACAGAACTGGACGTTAATGGTGAGCACATTTCACATGTTGTTTTGCATTTGGGTGGAGATAAAGCATGAGAGTTGGGTGATGAATAAATAATTGTGTTTAGTGGTTTTAAATTAGATCAATTTAGAAGTTCAAACTTACCAGGCAAAGCAGATATTAAGATGATATTACATAATGACATAGCTATTTGATACTAAGACAAAACAGGCAAGTACATTTTAAGTAAGTTTTTCGTTTTGTCAAACTAATTTTCCAAAAGCAAGAATAAACTGTTATTGTAAATGTTATTTTCTTTTTGGGGGGATTGGTTTCCCTCTGATAAGGACATTTGAGGTCTATAAATCATACATTGATTGTAATTAAAATGGTTGTCTTGCACCTGCCACTAGTTCAGATCGCCACTGACCATTTTTATTTTGCCTCTAGTGATTATTTTTAAGATTTTACAAATAGCTGATATTTCTAAAGGAATCGGTTGTCTGATTTATTTTTCTTTTCACTTAAAGACGGCTCTGCAGGTCTTTCAGTTGGGGCCATTTCTGGAATAGTTATCCTTTGTTTAGCAGCTTCTTCTGCTGGAGCAGGTGGAGGCTACTATATTTATAAGAAAAAGTAAGAATTTCCCCTTTTATCATGATTTAAGTATGAATAGATGCCGCAAAGATGAAGCCTTACTTAACATTGACCTAACTATGATCTCTTATAATTAAACTTATGAGAGAAGTATCAGAATTAAAGATGTATTGTTTTAGATCAAGGCCATTTTTTAGATTTTCACTGGATGTCGATATAATATATTTTTATATATAAATATAACGTTGGTCACCTTCAAATTTCTTTTAATTTAAAATGTACTTCAAGAGCTTAAATACTTTGTTGATTGTTTTTAGCAGTTTTATTTATTTAAATAAATAAACAATCTTGCATTAATACAGATTACAGCTGGCATTTTGAGTTGCATCTTAAGGTACGGCCACATTTTAACAATGCTTTATTTCTAATATTTAGAATCAACAAGAAAGCTACGCCCCGCCCAGAAAGTAACGGTATGTATTTCTCTGATACATACTGTGTAATATATATCTGATACTATATATATGTGTATATTGTATGTGATTAACGTGGCCGGGATTAATGCGATAACATTTTCTAACGCAGTTAACGCTTCACACCGGCGAGCTGAGTGGGCGGAGCCTAATTCTCCCAGAACGGACGTTGTTTGTACAACAGGTCAGCAGCATAAATGAGTTTTTGATTTTAGTTGAGACACCTGCTTGACAAAGACTTGCCTTTGCTTGCCGCTGTCACAAGGAGGATCTCGACCCTGCTGACATCTACCCTAATCAGATGTAACAAACCTTTTTGTTTTATGACTAGAACAAGAAGGATCTGTGTACGAGAACACGAAAAACATGTATGAAAACTGAAAACTCAACAATCGTCTATTCCTTAAAAAGGTGAGTTTTTTAATTTATTAATCTGATGTTGTAAAAGAGTAGATGATTGGATTTTATAGGAAAATACACCTAGAGGTCGTTATGGAAATATTGTAACACAGCTTATATAAAGAAATGACAGCATGAAACACTCACTGAACTCTTGGAACATACAGTTGATCAGAGCCAAAACACCACAAGTAACATTTCCCTCTTTTTCACTTATTGTCCTTCAGGCTACTTGAAAGACGAAGAGCTCCACAACAAGACGACAAATTTATCAGACACAACATCGCTGTGACAGAACGTTGTAACCTCTCATTCATAAATTCAGCCCGTCTGTGTTGTGAAGCACTTTGGATCTTTGGGGCTTCCGTGCCCTCCATCTGACGCAACGTCGTTACTAAGCAACAACACGTTGTTTGGCGGTCAGTTTTTGCGCGGTATTTCCTTTCCCGCAACTAGTCAGAGTCAGAGCCAATCAGAGCCATTGTCTCTTAGAGAGTTTGTACAAAGTTTAAAAGTAACCACATAGGTCCAGTCTACACATCTCACAACTCTTTGCTGTTCTGGCTCAGGAATAGTGGAATGAGCTCTCTGATGACATCAGGACCGCAGAGAGCCTTCACATCTTACAGGACACACCTCTTCAGACTATGACTTGACTAAAAACACAATACAAATTCTAGCACTTAATTTGTACCTATAACGGCTCTTGTCTATAACCAGCTGTAAATAGGCTTATTTAATGAAATTGCACTTTCTTGTTTCTTGTTCTTTTTAGTTTGTATCCTTATGGTTAAAATGCACTTATTGTAAGTCGCTTTGGATAAATCAGCTAAATGACATATAATGTAATGTAACATAATGTTTCACTGCTTGAATTGATCAAATTTCTGATTATGAGTAATAGACATATACTGATCCGCCCATACACACACTTACACATTTAACTTGTCTGTGATACTTTGTCGGGCAGGGGGCAGTGTGAGTTTTTGCCTTGATTATTCAATTCAATTCAAGATAGTTAAAATAATAATAGATAAATAAATCACATAACAATGACAATTGAAATAAAGCATTGAATGTGTCAATTGATATTAAGAAACTATGATGTATGTTGGTCTGTATTCAATAAACACTTTGTGTAGATCCTCAGTGCCTTCTGTATCACTGCCTCTGAATACCACAGAAAAACATGTAGATCCACAAAAACATTAAGACAGACAGCACATTTCACCTTGTTGATCTTCTCTGGGATGAGTCAGGTCCTTCGATCACTTCTGTAGAAGATCTCTGCAGACGCAACCACGTAGAGCTCTCACTTTAGAGTCACAATATGCTAAGCTTATACTCAGCTTATTTTGTTGTAATGCATCATGGGGATCTTCATATATTTTCAAAATATAAGGGAAAGGTTTGACCAGCAGGTGGAGCAAGAGGATATTTCATGAGATCCCTGTCAAATTTTGTGGCAGTCCATCAAACCGTTTTTAGATAATTGACTAAAATTTGAAAGAAACACGAGCGGAAGGTCAAAGGATCACGCAGTATGTGTGTGCGTATGTGTGTGTTCTAAATCTCAGAGTGCCATGAATGTCTGTGTGACCAAAGTGGACGCAGAGTTGAGGTTCAGCTTTTATTTCCCAACAAAAAACGCAGGGAAGGCCCTGGGAACAAAAACTTCTCCGAAGAGGGATGAACAGGGAAATGCTCTGGCAAAACAAAGAGCTGAATAGAAAACAAATGCAAAACCAAAATCTCTCTTACAGAGGAAATAACCAAACAATGAATCACAAAAAAAGGGCTCTAAACTAAATTAAGGAAGTGTGGAGCAATAAGCGGCACAAAGCCAACTAAGGAGTCCACAACGTGGCTTGGGGTAAACAAAACTATGACCTTGGCTTAATTATTTCATGAGGCGGGTGTGCAAGGCAAAAGGACATGACACACTGGCACAGGACGAGGGGAGACACAGACTACAAGTACACATGAGGGAAGTGTGGGAACAGGTGGACACAATCAGGAATCAGGGAAGACAATCAGACTGGTGACACATGAGGAGGGGCCAGGAACCTGAGACGAGAGGAGAGTTCATTTTCAAAATGAAGTCACAAAACAAACATGGAGACAGGACAAAAACCCAACTTGACATTCAGGTGTGACAGAATAGCTACACCAGGCCTACAACAAGTCACACACTTCATTTAACTTCATAACTTGTGGTTAATGATATAGTGTGTTAATGGACTTTACAGGCCTACAAGGAAGGAAAAAATAAACATTCCACATAACTTCCTTGTTCTACCGTCATATATTTATAACAGCCCACTTTATTTTAAAAATGGAAAAGCTGAGTGAAGGAGTGTGATCTCGATTTTTCTCTTGTCATAGTCAATAGTTCCGCAGAAGAAATGGAAATAGCGGCGATTCACTTCATCGTCCTGATGGCCATGTCAGGTGAGCTCTTACCACATGATACAGCAGATACAAGTGACTATTATTATTATAATGATTATCAAGGTTCCTCTGTTGCTGTTGCTGTAATAGTTGTTTAGTCTGCTAACGATTTGGGTTATGGGTCTTGATCCCTGTAAATCTCTCCACCAGGTTTGACCAAAGGAGCTGGTGTGCTGCCAGATGGTCCTCTGAACGCAGCTGTGGGAGAGACAGTGATGTTCAACCCAACTCTGACTTCATCAGAAACACTATTTTATGTGTCGTGGATATTTGGTGATAATGTAATAATTGATACATACCCATGCTCCCAACAACACTGATCTGAAGAACGTGAGCGGGATCTTCGTATCTGATGGATCTCTGGAGCTCAGGAACGTGACTTCTAATGACAGTGGACAGTACAGCGTTATCATTGTTCGAGATGGAGGAAAGATAGCGGTAGGGGTCACAGAACTGGACGTTAATGGTGAGCACATTTCACATGTTGTTTTGCATTTGGGTGGAGATAAAGCATGAGAGTTGGGCGATGAATAAAAAATTGTGTTTAGTGATTTTAAATTAGATCAATTTAGAGGTTCTTACCAGCCAAAACAGATATTAAGATGATATTACATAATGACATAGCTATTTGATACTAAGACCAAACAAGCAAGTAAACTTTAAGTAAGCTTTTCTTTTTGCCAAACTAAATTTCAAAAAGCAAGAATAAACAGTTATTCTAATTGTTATTTTCTTTCCAGGTTTTGGGAGTAGTTTCCCTCTGATAAGGACATTTGAGGTCTATAAATCATACATTGACTGTAATTAAAATATTTGTCATGCACCTGCCACTAGTTCTGATCGCAGCAGCTGTGCCCTGGATTCTCTTCAAGGGCTCCCTGTTTGTGTTAGAACTGATTCTAAAATTTTACGGATCTCTTTTTGTGGCCACGTATGGGTGTGGCCCCAAAATATGTAGAGGAAATGTTCATCCTAATAGCAGCTAGGGCCCCTCCTCAGGTGGGGGCTTTTTGTTTAAAAACTAAACACCAAGAGCCGGGAATCGAATTGCTGCTCCTGATTGACAGACGATCCTGCTCTCCACTGAGCCACAGTTATGTGGTGGCAAACATTAACTAAACATTCTTACGGGACTTGTCCGTCTGTCCTGCTCCTTCTCTGAATCCTCTCTGTCTTTCCTAATAGAAACAACCAAACATAAATGCTTTTCCATTCAAGAGACATCAGTTGATTGAGCAGAAAAAACTAAGGCTCACAACACCAAATGTGTGAGGTTGTTAAAAAATGAATAAACTCATCATCTTAAGTGCAGTCGGTCCCTCAAGGTGTTTCTTACTGTCCACACATGCTGGTAGCAGCTCATGTAGCATCACCACACCAGCCTCATGCAGATATGAGGAGCACGTTACTGACGTGCGGTAACCATCTCCTCACCCCTCACTCCAAGATCTTAATTTTCATTTTCCAACTTGTTATTTTTTTACTTTTCTCATTGTGACGAACAGACACTTTTTAATCGATTGAAGAGGGCCAGGCACTCTAAACCAATCGGGTCTCAGCTGCTTTCTGCCCAAAGAGGATGTAAAACTCTGACAATTTCCTTTAAAGGGACCATTTCGCTAGTTTGGCCATTTCTATTTTCCCTCTTGTGATTATTTTTAAGATTTTACAAATAGCTGATATTTCTAAATTAATTGGTTGTATGATTTATTTTTCTTTTCACTTAAAGACGGCTCTGCAGGTCTTTCATTTGGGGCTATTTCTGGAATAGTTATCCTTGGTTTAGCAAAAGTAAGAATTTCCCCTTTTATCATGATTTAAAAGATTTATCACCAGCTGTGCAGGTCAAATGGTGGGAGGGGCACCACAGTTGTGTGGACAGAATGACACTTGACGTGTTACAAAATTGTTACGTCTGCGTCTTTCAAGTTCCTTTAAAATGTTTTAGTCAGACAATTCACAGTAAAAGTTACTTTTGTTCCTGTTCCTCATATTGTTCATACTTCTTGTTCCCAACAGAGAGAATATCAGGTGCTTCTGTCATATCAGAAACAAACCTGTCGATTGAGGGGAACTCTTTCAACTTGTCATGTGACGCTGATGGCTCGATGATCTCCAGAGAGTGGAAGAAGGACGGCGTGAAGCTCACTCCAGATGACCACCTGTCACTTCAGGAGAACAACAGAGTGCTGACTTTCAACAGTCTCAGTAGAAACGACACCGGAGTTTATTTGTGTAACGTCACCAACCCTGTGAGCCAAGAAGAAGCTGAATACAAGATGGTTGTTTACTGTGGGTAACAAACTACACATTTAATGTTCAAAATGATGACTGCCTTAAATCACAGTTGACTATTGAAACATTTTCTTTAAATCCGCTTAAAGAACTAAAAATATCTGTTTTTCAGATGGTCCAGAAAATGTTCAAATCAAAGGTCCAAGTGACATTGATTTGAAAACGACATTAACATTAACTTGCTCTGCTGAGTCCGTACCTGCTAGTTACACCTGGATGCTGAACTCGACAGAGATACACAATTCTGCCGTTTACACTAAAGACAACACTGAATCTTCTGATAATGGCATCTACACCTGCGAAGTGATGAATAATGTAACTGGGAGAACATCGTCAGCGCTCCATGGATTGTCTGTCACCGGGCCGCCTGGTCTGTCAGGTACCAAGATGTTGCTGATTTTGTTGATACATTTGATTATTGAATCATAGTGTTTCTCGTCTCATCATCTTAAGTGCAGTCGGCTTCCTCAAGGTGTTTCTTACTGTCCACACATGCTGGTAGCAGCACATGTAGCATCACCACATCAGCCTCATGCAGATATGAGGACTCCAAGATCTTAATTTTCATTTTCCCACTTATCTTTTTACTTATTACTTTTGTCATCCTGATAAACAGACACTTTTTAATCGATTGAAGAGGGCCAGGCACTCTAAACCAATCGGGTCTCAGCTGCTTTCTGCCCAAAGAGGATGTAAATCTCTGACAATTTGCTTTGAAGGGATCATTTCACTATTTTGACCATATTTCCCCTCTTGTGATTATTTTTAAGTTTTTACAAATAGCTGATATTTCAAAATGAATTGGTTGTGTCACGGTTACTGGTACACGATGGAACCCAAAAGCACGACTCAGACCAAGATGGGCAGGACTGGGAGATTTAATCAACAGGTCAGGCAAATTCCAAACCGGGAGATCCGTCAGTAGGCAAACAAATCCAAGAAAGGCAGGGAATCCGTAGATGGTGTCGGAATCTCCAATCCCCCCCGAGTTGGTTGAGGAACAGGCAGGGGTCAGAACCAAGGGGGCAATCAGGGCGAACAAATCCAAAAAAGGAGCAGTCAGGGAATCTGGGGTCGAAAGTCAGGCAGGGTCGAAACAGGTAAATCGAGGTAACTAGGATAACGCTGGAAGACTCAGGAATCAGAAAACATTTATTGCCAAAATATGTCATACATACAAGGAATTTGACTTGGCGGTTGGTGCGTGACAGTAGACAGTGTAACAATAGACAAGACAGCAGTGCACAAGTAATAAAATAAAATAAAATGCTAATGCAATGGGTTAGTAGAATAAGACTATGGGTTAGTATAAAAGAGAATAAAGTAAAAGTTAAAAATATTTTAAAAGTAAAAAATATAAAAAAATAAAGTGCACTAGCGAACAAGTGAAAAAGTTATGAGTGAAAAATGACAGTAAAGTTACATGTGCAGTATGAAAGAGTGACCGGTGGAATGTCAGAGTCAGTCAGTGGGGGACCGGGCTCTGTTGATGAGCCCGACTGCCAAAGGGAAGAAACTATTCGTGTGGCCGGAGGTCTTAGTCCTGATGGACCTCAGCCTCCTACCAGATGGAAGGGGCACAAACAGTTTTTGTTCGGGGTGGGAGGGGTCGGCCACGATCTTTTTAGCTCGCTTCCGAGACCTAGAAGCGAACAAGTCCTGCCGGGACGGCAGATTGCAGCCGATCACCCTCTCTGCACAGTGGATGACACGCTGCAGCCAGCCCTGGTCCTTGGCTGTGGCTGCAGCATACTAGACGGTGATGGAGGAGCAGAGGATGGACTTGATGATGGCCGTGTAGAAGTGGACCAGCATTGTCTTTGGCAGGTTGAATATCTTCAGCTGCCTCAGGAAGAACAACCTCTGCTGAGCCCTCTTGGTGATAGAGCTGATGTTCAGCTCCCACTTGAGGTCCTGGGTGATGATGGAGCCCAGGAAACGGAAGGAATCCACAATAGTGACGGGGGAGTCGCACAGGGTGATGGGGGAGGGTGGGGCTCTGTTCCTCCGGAAATCCACAACCATCTCCACTGTCTTTAGAGCGTTGAGCTCCAGGTTGTTCTGGCTACACCACGACACCAGATGGTCAGACTCCCACCTGTAGGCGGACTCATCCCCACCAGAGATCAGTCCAATAAGTGTGGTGTCATCCGCATACTTCAGGAGCTTGACGGACTGGTGACTGGACGTGCAGCTTTTTGTGTACAGGGAGAAGAGCAGAGGGGAAAGAGGCAGCCTCGGGGGAGCCGGTGCTGATATCCAAAAGGATGAGACATCGTCCCCAGCTTCACGTGCTGCTTCCTGTCAGACAGTGCAGTCTATCCACTAGCAGGTGTAGTGAGAGAGTTTGTCCTGTCCAGGACTAGCCGTTTAAAGACTTCATACTACAGAGGTCAGGGCGACGGGCCTGTAGTCATTGAGTCCTGTGATCCTGGGTTTCTTGGGAACAGGGATGAGGCCTTGAAGCAGGCTGGTACGTGGCATGTCTCCAGGGAGGTGTTGAAGATGTCAGTGAACACGAGACAGCTGGTCAGCACAATGCTTCAGGGTGTGAGGGGAGACGGGAGTCCGGACCGGCTGCCTTACGGGGGTTTTGTCTTTTAAAGAGCCGAATAGAGAGGGTCGTTGCTGGTGGGGGAGGGGAAGGTGATATAGATGTAGAGGCGAGAGCCCCTGATGTGCTGGGGGAGGGAGGGGTGGGGGACTGGGGCAGGTTGGTGGAGCTGTGGGGGATGGAATTAGGACATTGTCTATCGAATCTGCAGTAGAACTCGTTCAGCTTGTCTGCCAGGCGGAGGTAATTTCGAGAACCAGGTGAGGGTAATGAGCTGATGATGTGGGAGGATCTGAAATGACAGGAGAGTTAGATAACATGCAGTGAAGATGAAAATAAACTATGATGTGGTCAATTGTGTGACAGGTTGTCTGATTTATTTTTCTTTTCACTTAAAGACGGCTCTGCAGATCTTTCAGTTGGGGCCATTTCTGGAATAGTTATCCTTTGTTTAGCAGCTTCTTCTGCAGGAGCGGGTGGTGGCTACTATATTTATAAGAAAAAGTAAGATTTTCCCCTTTTATCATGATTAATTGTTTTAGATTAAGGCCATTCTTAACATTTTCACTGGATGTCGATGAAAATGTATTTTTATCTATAAATATAATGTTGATCACCTTCATATTTTTTTAATATAAAATGCATAACTACTTCAAGAAGTTAAATACTTGAGATTGTTGTTTATGAGTTTTATCAATTTAAATAAGTAAACAATCTTGCATTAAAGTCTTAAAGTCCTCCGGAACACAATACAGATTACAGCTGGCATTTTGAGTTGAATCTTAAGGTACGGCCACATTTTAACAATGCTTTATTTCTAATATTTAGGATCAACAAGAACGCTACGCCCCGTCCGGAAAGTAAAGGTTTGTATTTCTCTGTTTTAACTCATCCTGCACAGCACACGGTCTGCAGAGGACCAACACTGTGTCCCTAAAAGACCGTGTTTTGGAAACGTCCTGGCTAAATGTTGGGAGATTGTTGGCACTTCAAACACAGTCATCAAATAATGGAGAGTTGAGAGCAAAGGTGGAATACTGCCTTGGAGATGATCCAATGTGTGTAGTTTTGTGTTTAAATTAACAATTAAATACTGTATCTGTGTCTAAAACACACACTTTCTAAAGTGATCACCTGTTACTTGTAAGATTTAGTCTTTAGAAGAAAAACTTTTATCGCGATTAATGAATTTCAAAATGTCTGATTAATTAGTAAGTCAGTAATTAAATAAGTTATTTGTTTGAATCTATTGGCAGTCCTAATATATACATAGCATACCATAAATATTCTGTATACACATACATATGCATATGTGCATATAAATAATCAGATAAACCTTTTTGTTTTTTGCCTAGAACTAGAAGTATCTGCAGACGAGAACACATTCAACATATATGAAAACTGAAGAAAAAAACATTGTCTATACCTTAAAAAGGTGAGTTTTTAAATGTATTAATCTTATGTGGTAAAAAATAGATGATTTGATTTTATAGGAAAATACACAGAGAGGTTGTTATGGAAATAATTGAACACAGCTTATATAAAGAAATGACAGCATGAAACACTTTTAACATACTGTACAGTTGATCAGAGCCAAAACACCACGAGTAACATTTCCCTCTTCACTTATTGTCCTGCAGGCTACTTGAAAGACAAAGAGCTCCACAACAAGACGACAAATTTATCACAACATAATTGTTACCTTATTAATCTCAACAGTTAATGTGTTTGTAAAGATTTTTTATTGGTATTTCTGCTGCATTTACTGTCAAAAGCCATTCCTATTTTCACTGTCCATTAACGTAGTGAGGCTTCACCAGAGCTTTGTTGCTAAGAAGTACATCGGGGCCCCGTTCCTCGCACCGAGCTGAGTTAGCTGGATAATTTTCAGGATATGATTACATAGATCAGGCTTTTCGGTTCCACGAAGAAATTTGGCAAAATCACCATAGCAGGACATCAGAGATCACAAAGATCCGTTATGACATCACAATGACGTCCTGTACGAGCGCCATCGATGCTGCCGACAAGGGATCATTTATTTAGAAGAAGACCTACTCAAGCCCAATGTGGTGAACACCACACCACACCCACTGTCACTGTCCCACAGTCTCTCACACTGTCTCATACTGTCTCTCACACTGTCTCACACACTGTGCCACAGACTGTCTCTCACACTGTCGTATACTGTCTGTCACACAGTCTGACTCATACTGTCTCTCATACTTTTGCACACACTGTCTCTCATATGTTTGTACAGTGTTGCGATGCAGACAACATCCGGAAATCCGCTGCATTTCGTGCTGTTCGTAAAGCTCGTAAAATAAACAGTTTATTTGTTGCTTAATAAACTTCTGGATGTTGTTCGTTTCACTGCTTCAATTGATCGAATTCCTGATTATGAATAATAAATACTTACTGATCCGCCCACACATAGATTCACACACTTATGCATTTAACTTGTCTGCGATACTTTGGCGGGCTTGTAGCCCTCACAGGGGGCTAGTGTCAGTTTTTGCCGTGATTATTCAATTCAATCCATTTTATTTTGTATAACCCAAATCACAAATTTGCCTCAGAGGGCTTTCCACACATGTGATATACTCTGTCCCGAAATGCTCAGGAAAATGATTTAAATAACAAATATATAATTATTAAAACATTAAATAATAATAAATAAATACTTTGCATAACAATCACAATTGAGATAAAGTGTCAAAGAATGTGTCAATTGATATGTCAAGTGTTTTGTATTTTGGTGTGTATTCAATAAACACTTATGTAGATCCTCAGTGCCTTCTGTATCACTGCCTCTGAATACAACAGAAAAACATTTTCATAGATCCACAAAAACATTAAGACAAGCGGCACATTTCATGTGTTGATTTTCTCTGGGATGAGTCAGGTCCTTCAATCACTTCTGTAGAAGATCTCTGCAGACGCAACCATGTACTGCTCTCACTTTAGAGTCACAATATGCTATATGAGCTTATATATATATATATATATATATATATATATATATATATATATATATATATATATATATATATATATATATATATATATATATATATATATATATATATATAGATATATATATGTATATATATATATATATATATATATATATAGAGAGATATATAGCGCTCGAGAGAGAGAGAGTGCGAGAGCGTGTGTGCGTGTGTGTGTGTGTGTGTGTGTGTGTGTGTGTGTGTGTGTGTGTGTGACACAGACAGAGAGAGA